TGCCACGGAAGACCGAATGAAGATGCCCTATACGGATGCCGTAGTCCACGAGATCCAGAGGGTGACGGACATTGTCCCCATGGGAGTGCCCCATACGGTGATCCGGGACACTCAGTTCCGGGGGTACCTTCTGCCGAAGGTGAGGCTCCCCGAGAGGAAGGGGGCATGTGCAGCGATGAGCTCGGCCATCACTGGTGAATGGAGCTTCATTCTGAGTTTGTGTTTTTCAGGGCACGGACGTCTTCCCCTTGCTTGGCTCAGCTTTACGGGACCCCAAATATTTCAGCGACCCCGAGAACTTCAACCCTGGACACTTCCTAGACGAAAACGGCCGTTTTAAGAAGAATGAGGCTTTTGTACCGTTTTCCTCTGGTAAGCGTTTGGGTTTGCTCTTTTTCTCTTCGGCTGTCCTTGCTCTGGGGCACCTGACCAGGGCAGCGTGAGGGGCAGCACAGGTGAGGCCAAAAGGCAGAGCTGCCTCGGGACCCAGGCAGGACCTTCCCAAAGAGCTGCTTTGGCCATTGGAGCTGCAGTTTTACAGCCAGAAAGAAGAAATAGCTTCCGCCTCCGATGCCCATCAAGCTCCCTTGGAACACCCCCCCCTTTGGGAGGCAGTATCGGTTTTAGGGGGGCAGTATGGGTGGCCTGGCCCCTGGAAGCCTGAGGCCTGCTCCAGGCTGACCCTCTGACCCCTGGCCTGGCCCTCCCATTGGCTCTCTCGGCCAGCAAGATGGGGGTGATGGTGAGAGTGGTGGCCTTGGCCTGAGGCCCCCCCCATGATAAGCCCACTCACGGCCTTCAGCCAAATCCCTCCATCAGGTTATGGCCCTCCCCCTCCCTACCTGAGGCCTTGAAAAGATGGTGACCCCCAAGGCCAAGAGAAGGGGGAAAGTCTCCCTCGGTGGACAAGGCTTCCTTGTGGGCAGACTCTCCGGCCGACGTCTCTCCTCTCCTCCAGGGAAACGTGTCTGCCTGGGGGAAGCCATGGCTCGGATGGAGCTCTTCCTCTACTTCACCACCATGCTGCAGAACTTCTCGCTGAAGTCGCTTCTGCACCCCAAGGACATCGACGTCTCCCCCAAAATGAGTGGTTTTGGGAACATCCCCCCCGTCTACCAGCTGAGCATGCTGCCCCGCTGACCCCGGGCATCTGCCTGCTTCTCTCCAGCTCCCTTCCTGATGCTGCCCTGTCTGAGCCCCACAGCCACCCCACCCGGGAAACATTTCCGTCCAGACAGCTCTTGCCCTGGGCACCTCCCTGCCTCTGGCTGGGCCAGTTGAAGCAGATCACATGCTCTTGGATCTGCTAGGTCAAATGGGCCCCTTCCTCAGAGCAGCCCCTGTTCTTGTCCAGATCCCAATCAGGGGGAACAGGGAGGGCATCTGCGGAGGAGCCCATAGCATCCCAGTTGTACTCAGCCCTGAGGAAACTGTTCCCCCCACCCACATCAACTGGCACCCTGTTCCATCCCAGCCCCGCTTGGCCCTCCAGCTGGGAGCTCTGGCCTCTGCTCTTCTCTCTGCCCCACTGGTGCCCATACAGGGTTGCTGCACCCACACCCCACCTAAGACCTTCTCCCAGCCTCCAGCCATGACTGGGTGGGACAGAGATTTGGAGCGGAGTGTGCTAAGTTCAGTCGCAGAACCATCTGGAGGTATTAAAACAAAATGCCTTAAAGGTGACATATTCCTTCTGTCTCTCTTTGGCTCTTTAGCTGGAGGCTTCCTCTCGTGTTTCAGCCTCCCACAGCCCCTTCATGGCCCAAAGAAAGGTCAAGGACAGCCCACCACAGCCAACTGCTGCGGGACAATTCAACCCTGTATTAATCATTGTATTGCATTACTTTTATTATTGGTGACCACATTTTTGTCAACATTATTGTAACACTTACACTTCTGGATTGACTTTATTTTATGATTATTGAACATGGTTCCATCAAAATCAATATAACTTTTGTATTTGTTAAATTGTCCCATGGCGAATTGGTTGGGATAAATTGGTCATGGTGTGTTGCCCCCTTCCCCCCCAAGAGAGGGCCTGAAAGCCCCCAGCCCCAGAAAGTATACAGGAGCTGCCTTTATACGCAGTGGTGATTCCAGAGATTCTTCTGTCAGTCTTCCTCTCACACGTGTTAACTCATCTTAGAAATCTGCCTGACCTTTAAAACTGCAAGTAAAAGCCTGTTTAGAGAAAGCACCCACAAAAAAAATCTGTATTTTAATAACAAGATATTTAGACTTGGAGAAATGAGTGAAACTGCGGAAACAGAGGCTGCTGCAGTCAACCTTCCTAAGCAGAATTTATTTCAGAAATCCTTTTTTAGTTTCCTATGAATATTCCTTTTATTATGAACATTATGAAGACATAGAAGTTTTAGGAAGAAAGAGAACAAAATGCTGGATTTAGTAAGAAAATACTTATTATGAATGATCCTGTACAGAGTTTGGACAAAGTTCAAACACAGAATAAAACATGTTTTACTATCGAGAGATTATGCATTAAATTTACGGGATTAGGACATCTATATCGTGTACACACAGAGGGCTTCGATAGGTGGCCTCTGCTTGGGTCAGCTTCAGCCCAGGAGAGTGATTCCCAGAGGGAAACTCTAAGGGGTCCTCTTGGACCCCTCAAAACACGGAGAAGCCACAGGGGACTGAAGTGCAGAGGTCCCTCCTTAGGGCTGACTTAGCTGGACAAGCCCTCCTTCCTTTGCGCAGGAAGCCCCTCTTCCCTTGTCCCAGGCAGAGCAGGGGGGGGGCGTCCTGACATTTCCATAGCCCTATCAGCAGTAGCGCTGTGGGGTGTGAGAGGAACCCTTGCTCCAGCGGGTGCAAAGAGCCGCCTGCTCAGGCCTTTGGCCAGTCCGACGGTCGGGGTGGGGGTGGGGAGGAATTGCACAACCTTGGGATCAGCTCCAGCCAATTCCCACCTGGGAGAACCGCGCAAGAGCAGCCGTGTGCTTGTGGGGGTCTGGAGGGGTTTCCAGAGAAGATGGCATTTTTCCCTTGCCCCATCACTGCACACATCACTTCTGGAGGGGCTGTGGGCATTGCCCGCCGATCATTGAGGCATCTCTTGGTTCCTTTCCATCCCCCCTTCCAAGCATGTGGGAGGGGGAACCCAACTCCCATTGGCCACAGGCCTTTCCCTTCAGAGGCCTAGCGATGGGCCCCCCAAGACTGCTGGGCTGCCAGTTCTGGATCTTGCAGTTGATCCAAAGCTTCATCCATGAACGCTCCTTGCATGCTGGCAGTCCCTGAATCGCAGCCTTTGGTGCCTCCCGTCCTCAAAACCCTCACCAGAGTTGCCTCCTTGCCCATAAATGCAGGAAAGGGGAGGGAGAGACTCCTACAGCTGCCCTCCAGAGATGGCATGCACCCATCCTTGCATTCAGGGCAACCAGAGGGCAGCTCCGCAATGTCCCCCGCCAGCCTGCAATCTTGGGAGCTTCGGGGGCTTTTGCTGCAAGTCCTCCCCCAGCCTTCCTCAGCCTTCTGTGGCTAGAGGAGCAGGCTACCACCTGCTCCTCTTCTGCTTCTTCGGGGGATTGATCAGTTCACATCTCCCTGGCTGGGCTGTGCAGAAGGGGGGCATGGAGGCCCAGCTGGACCGGACAGTCTCTGGGAGCAGAGACGCCAAATCTCAGAAAGGGGAGAAATACGCCCTAGGCAGGCTTCGCTCTTCTGCCTGGCTTAGAAGAGACCTGGGCTGTTGCTCAACCTGGATGATGAGGTGGGTGTTGCATTTCTTTCCGGATCCTATATTAGGTCCCTAGAGAGCCACTCTCCCCTAGGCAGCCCCTGGGAAGTGCTGTAGCTGCCCATCCCCATGGATCTCCTGGGAGCAGGGACTCTCCTCCTGGTCATCGCCCTGGCTGGCCTCCTGGTTCTCTCCTCTTGGCAGCAAATGCACCGAAGGGGCAAGGTGCCCCCTGGACCCATGCCCCTCCCCCTGATTGAGAACCTGCTCTGGATAGACGAAAACAACCTGCCCAATTCACTCATCAAGGTAAGGCCTCCTCCTGCCCCCTGCCCCCTGCCCCCTGCCCCCTATGCACCAACCCCCTGCCCTTCTGCCTGCTCCTTCCTACCTTTCCCCTGACCAGCTCAAGTGGCCCTTGCTGGCTTTGGACTCCCTGGCATCAAAGACCAGCCAGCTGGCAGAGCCCAGCACCCCAAAGCTTGAAGGGGATTCTCCCGGTCCCCCTCTTCAGAGGACCTAGGATAGAGAGAGAGGAAGAGGATTGCTTGGTGGTTGATCAGGTGCCATGAAGCACTTGTTGACTCTTAGTTGCCGAGCAGACAGATATTCCCCAGTAGAACAACCCAGCTTGAGAAAGAGAGAGAGCAATTGTAGTCCAGGAAGAGAAGATCCCGATATTTTAAATCTTTATTTTAATAAAAATAAATCTTTCATAATTGCCACACCTTGCTTGATGGATTCCTGATTCCTTTCCTGATGGATTCCTTTTCAGGAACCAGGCTGGTAGGAATTTGGGAGCCGCTGGGGGCAGAATTTGGGGAAACAGGTGGGTGTAAAATAGCAGAAAGAGTCAGGAGCGATAACCTCATACTAGAGTGGGTCAAATAGACCCCTCCCCAGTGTCTGAGGGTTCCAGGGGTTGAACCGTGTTGTCAAATAAAGTTAATCCACAGCAGTTGCCCCACCCCATGGATTTCCCCAGTGAGACCCTCTCTGTCCAGCAGCTTCTTCCCAGGCCTGGTCAGCTGGGGAAAGATGCTCCTGAGGACCAATTCAGTTCCATTGGCCTATTCTCTCCCCTTCTCTTTCCCGGTTTCTCTGGCAGCTGAGCAAAAAGCACAGGCTGGTCTACATGCTCCAGCTGGCCCCCCGGCGCATCATGGTGCTGTGTGGCTATGAGGCCATTAAGGAGGCCCTGGTGGACCAGGCGAATGAGTTCTGGGACTGGGGACTGCATGGCACTTTTGACTGGATATTCCAGGGCCACGGTATGGTCCAGGCTCTGGGCCATAACCCTAACCCTAACCCTCCCTCTTTCTGATCTCTCCCCAGAGAAGATCCACGAGGAGATTGACTACGTCGTTGGTGTCGATCGGACTCCCAGCATGGAGGACAGGCTGCAGATGCCCTACACGGAAGCCGTGATTCATGAGATACAGAGATTTGGGGACATTGTCCCCCTGGGACTGCCACGCCGGGTCACCCGAGATGTGCAGTTACGGGGCTACACAATTCCCAAGGTATTAAGGGGGGATATCTCTGCTCCCATCCTTCAGCTACCACTCCAAGGTAGTCCTCCAGGGTGCCTGTCTTCCACCTCAATTGGATCATGCCTCCCATTATCCCCAGCCAGAGTAATTGATGCTTCCTTTATTTCCTGCCCTCAGGGGACCGAAATTTTCCCCATGTTGGGAACAGCGATGAGAGACCCCAAACATTTTGCAAGACCTGAGGAGTTTGACCCCCAACACTTCCTGGATCAGAAGGGGCAGTTCCAGAAGAATGAGGCTTTCATACCCTTCTCCATTGGTGAGCCCCCCCCCTCCATTTCTCAAGCCAGAAAGTCGCCTCTGAGAACCCTCTCATAGAAGCCCCTTAGAGTCAACCCTGTTTCCTCCCTGATAAGCAGAGGACCGATAAGCAGAGGGCTGGTCCAGAAACGCATCTTGGCCACAGTTGTGAGTTTCCTCCACAAAGCACAAATTCAAAAGAGATGCAGAAGCCGCAGAAGGGACCCCCAACTCCTCTGTTGCAACTGCAAGTTATGTGCGCTCTCAGGCCCCATTGGGGAGGCAGCCAGGGGGTCCTCCTGCCCACCAGCCTCTCTGCTCTGGTCTTTTGCAGGAAAGCGCTACTGCTTTGGAGAACATCTGGCCCGTGCTGAGCTCTTCCTCTTCCTCACCAGCATCCTGCAGCATTTCCGCTTCAAGTCAGCTGTGCCCCCTGAAGACATCGACCTCTCCCCAATGTTGGTGGGGTTGGCAACTATCCCACAGATCTATGAGTTCTCTGTCATCCCCCGCTGAGGGAGGGGCCCTCTGGAGCCTTGGCAACGTTCCTTTCTACATCTCCCCCCCCCCACTTTCTTCTGACTGCAGGAGATGCCCTCTAAGGACATGGCTCTCTTGCTGAGGGCACCGCAGCTGCCTCTCCATCTCCAGAGAGCCTGGCACCTTCGGGCACCCTGTCCCCTGCACTGCATTCCAGCTCCTGCTCCTCTACCCCAACCTCTGTGCCCTTTCCTCCAGCAGCTCTGGCCAGGCTGGCTTCGGGTGGGGGGCATGGAATTCAGCTGGTGTTCAGGTCTCCCCCTTCTCAGACAGTCTAGTTCAGTCCCGCCTCTCTCCTTTGAAGTTGCCAACTCAGGCGGGTTTCTGGCTTGTAAAATCTCCTCTGTATGGTGACCTGTTTTGTACATGAATAAACCTTCTTTGCCAACCTAAAATGGAAGCAGAGGCCAAGTTCAAGGGTTCTGTGCCAGCAGGCAGAGCTGGAGCTTGAGGCTGGTGCCAGCCGATGCCAAGAGCTGGCCCGTCCTTCCCTCGTCCATTCTGAGCAGAATTTGAGATTCTTCTGCCCAGATGTGGGAAAGAATCCTTGAAGATTCCATTGAAGAATCCATTCCAGGCTTCCTGGGAAAAGAGCAGCTGGGATTCCGGAATTCTTTTGCAATCCTTGAAGCTCAGACGCCATAATCAGAGTTCCTCTTGGCTTCCGGTTTGCTTTAATCGGCACAAGAAGCTCCCAAGAATTTGACCTCCAGAAGGTCTTTTGACCTGTTTCTCTGCAGGAGGTAATTCAACGCAACTGCACAGCCTCCTTCCCACCATTAAACAGCCCCCCCACCCCCGCTTTCCCTGTGGTCTCGTGTACTGAGCTTCCTGCTGAACCTGAAAAGTGGGTGCAATTTGGGGTTGGATGGCACATTCACGAAGAGGGAAATTGAGGCAAGGGACCCGGGAACAAGCCTTCCTGAGCAAGTGATGTGTCTTCTTGCGTTGACTGTCACCGCTTTTCTCCGAATTGGATGCTGCTGCATGGAAAGGAGCTCAGGCCAACGGGGAGCAGAAGGGGCCCCACTCCCAGGGACCCCCCAGCAGCTGGAGAGCCCCTAAGAGCGCTGTGCCTGCCCTGGGGAGGACGGTAGCTGCCTTTCCCCTGGAAAGAAGGGGGTCCCACTTGGCGGGAGTCAGTGGGTATTTGCAGAAGTGCCCGTGTTCTGCCCATTGGCCCACCCTCCCTAGACCCAGATGTGGATCTCCCTCTGCCTCCCTCCCCAAAAATGTCTGCTGGCACGAAAGGCACCTCCTGGCCACTCCCCCAACATCGGTCCTGTTCCATCCCCATCCAGCCTTTTCCCTCTAAGCTCTGCTTCCCCCTCTGCAGTTATTACTTCATGCTCTGCCCCCAAAGAGCAAAAGTACAGGCTCTTTCCTTGAAAGGCCAGTGGTGACATCCAATTTTTTTTTACTACCGGTTCTGTGGGCGTGGCTTGGTGGGCGTGGTGTGGCTTGGTGGGCATGGCAGGGGAAGGATATTGCAAAATCTCCATTCTCACCCCACTCTGGGGCCAGCCAGAGGTGGTATTTGCCAGTTCTCCGACCTACTCAAAATTTCCGCTACCGGAACCTGTCAGAACCTGCTGGATTTCACCCCTGGTACAGGCCCTTTCCCTGAAGGGGGCAGTGGTCGAATGGCTCAGCAGCTGCCCCTTGTGCTGCCTGGATGGGTTTTATCCCCCAGGGCACCCAAAGAGGGCAGAGCTGCTAAAGGCCAGGAAGGTCCTTGGTGAAAGCGAACCTGCCAACATCCTTTCCAAGGTCTCAGGTGGGGGCTGGGAAGACCAAAGATTTCCCCCCTATCTTGCCTGCCCCTCCTGCCCCCACCCGAGAGAAGAGGGCTGCTCCCTTGCAGGCCAGCTATTGTGTGCTGGGCTCCCTTCCAATGGGGGCAAAGTGAAAACAGAAATTGGCGTTACTGAAGCGAGCACATTTTATTCCAAGCATTTTGTTTGTTTGTTTGTTTGTTTGGTGGCTGTGGGAAAAGCGCTCACCTAAGCACAAGGAGTGACTGGATTTGGCTCTCTGGAAACAGTGCTGTTCTCGTCCAACGCTGCCATCCCAGCCCCTGAACTTCAGGGCCTTGTTCCCCACGTAGCTGTTTCCTGATTTGAGGGGCGATTGCAGGGGGAAGCAGCTGCTGCGCCATGTGCCCTCAAGGGAGCCGGAAGGTGTCTGTCAGGTGCTCCTCGGTGCTCCTTGAGCTGGGGGTTTCCTTGCAGAGGCTTCGCGGCCCGGCTATGCCGGAGTGGCACTGAAGGTGTTACCCAGTTGGGGTCTGCGAGGAGAGAGCCCCGAGGAGGAGGAGCTCACAGTCCGACCTGAAGAGTGGAGATGCTTTTCTATTAATAGCACTGGGTGCCTGTCACAGGAACTCGCTCCGAAATATATTGCCCTGCTGAAGGAACTTGCAGCCTCCCACCCTCTGGGCATTTGAAGAGTGTGACAGAGGGGAAACTACCTGGGTAAAGCAGACTATCAAGCTTGGCGTGGTGCCACCAAGAGCTGGTATCTCAGGGGCACACGGCTGACGCCACTGGCATCGGGCACAATGCTGATCTCACCCAGGGACACTGGTGACGTGAGAGTGAAGGCTTGCAGGATGGTGGTGAGGAAGAGGAACAACTCCATTCGGGCCAGGCCCTCGCCCAGGCACAGCCGCTTCCCTGCAAAGAGGGGGCAAAAGTGGTTTGGCCTGGTGGATGCCAGAGGCAGCCTAGGGCCCGTGTGCTCTTCGTGGCCTGAGGCTGAGCCACCTTCTGAGAAGGGAGACCCAGCTGAGAGGGAGAGGGCAGGAGCGAGTGGCACAAAGAGGGGATGAAAGGGGGAGGGAGAGGAGAGGAGTAAAGAAGAGGGGAAGAGATGGGAGGGGAGAAAAGGGAACGGGAGCCCCCCCCCAACCCCCAACCCCAGGACACACCTGCTGAGAAAGGCATGAAGGCATCTGCCCTCTTGAAACGGCCACGACTGTCCAGGAATCTCCCGGGGTCAAACAGCTCAGGGCCCGTGTGATGCTCAGTGTCGTAGTGCACCGTGCTGAGTAAAGGGTAGACGTAGGTCCCCTGGCAGGAACATCCAAGCAGGAGGAGCAGAAGGAAAATTGGAGACAGTGGCAAGAAGGAAAGCCCAGAATGAGGTGCCCGCATTGCCAGAGATGGGAAGCTAGGATTGAGTGGCATTTCAATGGTGCTGTCCAGGGCAGAGGGCCTTAGAAACTTTGCTTTGCGGTAGCCAAAAGAGATGTCCACCATCCTTCCCCTGCAGAATCTCTGCTTGGGCACATTCTCCACCCACAGGACCTTCCCCAAAAGCCTTTCTCTGCCAGGGAGCCCGGCAATTTGAGTCTGCTGCCCATCCCATTGGACTAGATTCAATGGAAACCAAGGAATTAGTTTAGCAAAGGCAAGCTGGCCAGTGGTGGGTTTCAAATTTTTTTACTACTGGTTCTGTGGGTGTGGCTTGGTGGGTGTGGCATGGCTTGGTGAGTGTGTGGCTTGGCTTGGTGGGCATGGCTTGGTGGGCGTGGCAGGGGAAGGATACTGTAAAATCTCCATTCCCACCCCACTCCAGGCGAAGGATACTGCAAAATCCCCATTTCCTCCTGATCAGCTGGGACTTGGGAGGCAGAGAATAGATGGGGGCGGGGCCAGTCAGAATTTTTACTACCGGTTTTCCAAACTACTCAAAATTTCCGCTACCGGTTCTCCAGAACTGGTCAGAACCTGCTGCAACCCATCTCTGCAGCTGGTGCTTCAGCATGCAGAACTGGCATGGCCAGGCCAATGGGGCAGGTGCAGCTCTGGTGCAAATGACACCCCCGCCCCACAGTGAAGTGCAGTCCCTGAAGGCTGTAATGGAAGGGAGCATGCCGGACAAACGCTCTGGCCGGTGCTGAGCTCTGAGTCTTGTCCTGCCCCAGAGCCTCACCTTTGGGATGGCATATCCCCTGAAGCGAGTGTCTCGAGTGACGGCATGGGGGAGACCCATGGGCAGAATGTCACTGAACCTCTGGATCTCATGCAGCACTGCCTCCGTGTAGGGCATCTGCCTCCTGTCCTTCGCTGAGGGCGAGCGGCCAGTCCCGATCACTCGGTCGATCTCCTCGTGGAGCTTTTCTGGGGAAAGATGACCAAGGAGGCTCAGGGGTCAGATTTGGGGGGCCAGGCCTGCAGTGCATTCTTGCAAAGACCCCTGAAGGCAAAGCAGTGACAGATCTGCCTGCTTGCCATGAAATGGGCATGAAGAGCGAGGGCTTCTGGTTGATGTCGCGGAAAGACAGTTGGGGAAATAGCGGGCTCTTATGAGTCCTGCGAAAACCCTGGCTGCTAAACCGCTGCCGATGGGTCTGCGGACCGAACCTGTCCTGCAGGGACGGGGGAAGAAGAGGGGTGCCTCAGAAGACTGAGAGGAACAGGCAAGTTCTTCGGAGGTCAGAGGGAACCCTCTGTGAGTCAGCGGCGGGGGGCGGCAGCCATGTCGGCTGCCACGAAGCTGGGACAACTGGGCAAGAAAAGCGCTGGAGGAAAGCGAAGTAAAACGGAGCCCTTTGAAGCTGGGTGAGTGACAATAACCCAGGCTTGTAACAACATTTGGAGCTATATCAGTAACTAGAAGCGGCTTAGTAACAAAGGGGCTTTGAAAAAAAAAAATTTAAACTGCAACTTTAAAGAACAAAGACCCGAGAAACAACTAATTATAGAACAAGAATTAAGAGACTTAATTTAGAGATTTGGTAAAAGAACTAAACACTTTAAAATCTGAATTGGACTGGGGGAAAAAAGATGATTTGATACTTTTTTAACCAAAAGAAGAAAATAAAGTCGATGGTTATATAATAAGAAATAAAATGGAGTCTTGCATGACTAATGGGAAATGTGAATTATAGAGAGACACCATCTGGCACAGAGAGGAACTTTGTAATCCCCCTTTGTTATGAGAACTTTGAGCTCTACAAAAAAAAAAATTGCTGAACTGTGGAGGAGGATTTTTCTTTCCTGACTGCAAGCAGCTGGACTTGGGTGAAAAGAAAAGGAATTTACAATGGAACTCCTACAGTTGAACAAATAATAACTTGAATGTTGGTGCAGGAATAGAAGAAGGATTTAGCGCAGCCCCCAAAGAAAGAGATTTGATACATTATATCCGGAATAAAAATATGAAAAGAGATCTAATTAGATTTATGGAGAATAAAATTAAAAACTTGGAAAATGGAAAGAAATGTATGTTTGCAGACGAGGAAATGAAGATAATGTGATTAAAAATAAAAAAAAGTAAAGATGATTGTAATAAATTAAAGGGAGGCTTTTATAGAAATTAAGATTGTTAAATGAAACTAATACATGTAAAGATATGTTTAATGCAAGAACTATGTTTTAATGGTAAAATGTCAAGATAAAGAATAAGGGTGAATATGATTAATTGAAAATGTTAAAAGAAATTTAAAAATATACTTAAAAATATGTCTTAAGCAAGAACCAAGTCTCAAGGTTAAAATGCTATGATTGCTATGAAAAAAGATAAAGAAAAATATGACTAAATGAAAAGCAATGCATAGATGGAGGGAAACAACAAATAAAGGTTTAAGTAGAGATTGTTAAACCAACTATGAACATGCTGTATTTAACAGCCAAAAAGTTATAATATGCTGTATAGAACAGCCAAACAAACAGTCATGCTGGGTATCAGCCAAAATGAAACTTAATATGCTGGGTAACGGCCAAAAAACAAAAATAGAGATGCCGTGTAAGAGCCAAAAAAACAAAACTAATATGCTGTGTTCAATAGCCAAACAAAGGGCATGCTGGGTAATGGCCAAAAAATAAAAATATGCTATATTTAATAGCTAAAAGGGTTATACTGTAATTAACGATCAAGAAATAGAAATGATTGATTTAACATCAAAGATAATAAAAAGAGGTGGGATGATCAAAACAAGGAGGTGCATGTTGAAAGTGATAGTTAAGATAAAATGTATAAATTAGGTTTAATAATAATTAAATAATTAATGAATGTTCAATTTGTCCAATATAATTGTATGATTTATATTGTCAAAATATCCATCTAAGCAAATGAAAGAGAAAAATGAATTGTTAACTGGATAGAAATGAAGATTTAAGTAATGGGTTTTGGGGGATAATGTTATAGTTATATAGATAGATTTGAGGGAAATATCCGTTTAAAATATTGAATTGTGTTAATTGAAAATAAGATTTGTTAATGATTTGTTTCAATTTGTGACCGGAGCAAAAGCTTCGTTTGAAAAGATGTGTTCTATTTTATTTATTTTATTTGTTTTTTTTTTAAAAAATTATCAACGAAATCGGCGTGCAGAGCAAAGTAGGAGGTTGCCTTGCACGGGTGGCAGTGAGTAACGTTTATGGTCCAGGGGCCACAGAGGCCGGATGGGCCAAGTCAAAATGGGAAGGTGGTTTCCTCCATGTACAAAGGTCAAGAAACTGAAATGAATGAAGAGCTCTTAAAATGATCGTTCCCATATGGTTAATTCATTTCTATCCTACTTATTAAAAAGACACAATGTGGGATTAACTTCTAGAGCTCCCTGAGGGCCAAGGCCGGCCTCAGAATGTGCACCCTTGGAGTGTTAAGCACCAGCAGCCGAGGCCCAAACGTTGTTGTGGACTGTCCACCTTTCCAGACCAGAAGCTCCTATGATACCAAATGGACAACTCAGAAAAGAAGCCCTCCCCAAAGGCTGAACTACATCCCTCTCCTTGCCAGCCCACCCCTGAGGAGGTCCCTGGCAGTGCTGGAGGGGGGCCTCCTTCCTCCCCTACCTTGGACCTGCGGGTGCTTCATCAGGATGAGGAAGCCGAATCTCAGGGTGGTGCTGATAGTTTCTGTGCCAGCAAAGAACAGATTGAAAGTGGCCATCACCAAATTCTCCATGCAGAATTCAGAATTCGGGTTGTGCTTTTCCTGCCAAAGATCACAGAAGATAAGAAAAAAGTTGTATTTGTTTTCAGGCCCTGCTAGCTGCAAATCTTCTAAATTTTGCTGGTGCAGGCAGAATAAACCTGCAGCCAGAAGGTCCGGCAGCTACAGAATCGAGACTGGTCAGAAATGGCCAGTGTCCATTTTTCAGGTACTGCTTCGTGCCCTTTATCCTTTGGGCAGGATGTGGCCCTGGGGCCTTTCCTAGGGGGAGCTTCCCAAGCCGATTCGCCCCATGGCCAGTTGCTTCCCTGTTTGACCTCCTGGGATAAGAACCGTGGCACTCCAGGGTGGAAACCTATCTTTAGAACAAGGTATGCTCTGCCTGCCTTCCCGCCGAAGCTCTCAGGCTGGAGAGAGACGGATGTTGCTGTGTTATGTCATAATCTCATTTTACAAGCTTCGTTTTATGAGATTCATACAGATCAGTACTGTTCTACCGATAATACTCTCTGTATCTCTTCCAATGATGCTTCCTAAGGCACCGTCTGCAGCAGCTCTGGAAATCCCTCTTTCTCAAATTCAGCAGGTGTGAACTTCAGTTCCTAGATGTAAAGAAGGTTCTCAGACATCCAAGTACAGTTGTCTGGAAGATGAGTCACATTTCGCTGCTAATCCAAGTCGCTTCTTCAGATTTTGCGAAATGCTTTGAACCAACAAGAACGGGAGACCGGTTGCTTGGGCTCAACTTCCATTCAGCTCCTAGAATTCCCCAGCCAGCACATATGAACTTCAACTCCCAGAATTCTCAAAGTTGAAGTCCACACATTTTAATGTTGCCAAGGCTGGGAAGTCTTGATCTGAAGGGTCATTGTCCAGGAGTTCAATTCCCATAGCGCAGGGAGGGGGAATAATGGCCCTTTTATAACTGGTGGACTTCAACTCCCAGAATTCCTGAACCAACATGGCTGGCTCAGGAATTATGGGAGTTGAAGTCCACAGGTCATAAAAGGGCCGTGGTTCCACACCCTAACCATAGAGGCTCAAACCCCCTCGTGAAAGCAGTCAAGTGATGAGCTCCAGAAGAACAAACTGGATCAATAGAAGGAAAAGCCAGGTGCTCAGATAGCACCCAATGAGCATGTCAGGTCTTGTTCCTTCTCCCCACCCTTGCAGTTTTCCATGTAATCCACTTCTAATCAGACCGAAGACATTTGGGAGCTGGAGGTCCACATTCCTCTATTACGGGCAACGTGAAGTCTGCCTGGTTACGATCCTGGGCAATTCCTCTTAAACTGAATAGGAGCAGACCACATGAAAGAAGCTTTGTTCATTGGTTCTCTAACTCAGACTTCCATAACCTTTCCAGTTTTGTGGACCAGTGGTGTGCATGTGTGTGTGTGTGTAAGAAGTGATGGTCCTGCGGGAGCGTGTGCACATGCACACTGCTCTATTTGTGCCAGTGGCGGGCACGTGCACCCACCACTCACACAAATGGAGCTTCCGGCATACACTCGCCTTCTGCTTACACAAGTGCAGCTGTGCATGTAGGTGAGCTCACCTGCTGCTTCCACGGCCCGGTAGTGGGCTGCAGCCTGGAGGTTGGGGACCCCTGCTCTAACCAATTCATTACTTAGCTAAGTTCTGATTTGGAAGGTGACTGTAGAAGTGTTTGTTTGCCTGTACCTAAATCTTGACCTAAACTCTGGCGCTGGAGCTCTGCCTGAACCATGAAGACCTGACAGACCAACAGCCTCAGTTGTCTTTGATGGCCATAAAGAAAGGGGGGAATAACTTCTCCTCCTTCTGTTCAAGGGAAGAAAGCCGGGGGACCCCTCTGGAGCCAACAGGAAGACAACAGCTGCACCCCAAAATCCCCCAACCAACCCATTTGCCTGGCAGCTGAACTTTGGTGAAGCACTTTCACGTCACCAAAGTGAGAAGTGAAACTCCTTTGATAAGTAGCGTTACCTGCTCCATCTTTGCCAAGAAACAATCAATATAATTTTGGGGGGCACAAGGATTGAGCAAGGCTTGCTGCATCTGGATCCTCTCCTTTATGAAGCTGATGATCTGCTGAGACAACCTGTGGCCTGCGTGATGCGCTCCAGGGATCTTCTCCATGATCTCCGGAAAGATGTTGTACAGCTAACCCATGTTTGACAGGACAAGGGGAGAAACAATAATACTATTAGCTTTTCTTGACTGTGGTCAAGAGTTTGGATGCACCAGGCTTAACTTGGTAAACAAACTAACCTATCTGGGCAGATGGTACAATACACGCATGTGTTAACTGGCAAAACAGACTAAAAAAACGAAGCAAGCTTAGATAGCTGTGTTCAAGCAGCTGCTACTTCTTAATCACACTGGTGAAGGGCAGTTGTGAGCACATCTTTCTGCCGTGTGAAGATGTTGCTCCACTTTGGGAATATTGTTGAAAATTCACAGGGGGGGGAGGAAGACAGGGTTCCAGTTGGACTAAATCCACCAGCGTCCCAGAAATGAACTTTCTCCAGTTCTTCCCATAAGAGATCAGATGCAGCCGATTCCAGCCAGCTTGGAAGCAAATTGAGTTTGCTCCCCCATCCCAGGCGGGATGGACCTGGAGGAACCTCCACCAACATTAGGAGAACTTTCGTCCTCTTCTCACCGAGGGGTGAGAGCCACGGGGAGCTTTTTTCTCCCCCAAGAATAGCAAATTTGGTTATGGACTTTCAAATATTTTGGGGACAAAATGCCAGACATTCAGCAGAAAGTGGCTCTGTTAGTTCATGGTTTGATTAGGGAAAAGGCAACAAAACTGAATGAAGACTCCTGCTTGTCCTCACCACGGCTTCGGTTGAGCTTGCAATGCGGAAGCGCTCCGTTATCAGCTTGTTCAACCTGAGGAATTTTTCATCGTTGTACTTGAACCGATTCCCAAACACAATGGAGCAGATGATGTTGGAGACAGCTCGGCTAAGGAGGAAGGTGGGGTCAAAGGGTGTCCCTGGAGAAAAGAGGGGGGGAACCTTGCTGGGCCTTGAGCATCCCCTCACTCTGGGCTGAGCTTCCTACCCACCTGCCCAACATTAATAATATCCAGTATGGACATCTGGCTGACTGGGCAACAAACCATCATGATAATAACAGCCATTGAATGTGGACTCAAAAGTCCAAAATCCTCACTTCCGGAAAGGGCAAACAATTGCAGGGAACACGATGACATGATATGGGGAGGAAGGTCAGCTCTAGAGTCGAGGAGCCCCCACAGCAGGTGAGCAGCAGGCAATTCTGGCCCACGGAAGGGAGGGCTTGCAGGGCACATCCTGTCTGTGGCATTTAGACAGAAAGGTGAGAAGGGCTACTACTAGCCATGATGATCTTTGGGATCAGTCAGGATCAGCTTCCAGGGGGACTGCTCACAGATCCCAGGGCATCCAGCTGACCACGGTAGAAAACCAAACCTTCCCCTGTTGGGACTCTAGCAACCTCCTGATCCAAAGGAATTGGAAGGGGAAGACTTCCTTTGCCTGCTATTCTTCTAACTCCCCTTGAGTAAGGCTCAGGTAAACCGAGGCAAGGGAGGGAGGGAAGAGCTACCTTCTGTCTCCCGGAGCTCTTCCACCAGGCACTGGGCCTCCTTCTGGATCCGTTCTTCAGTGGACCTCTTGCCCATCCCAAAGTTCCTCAAAATGGTGAGGGAGAAGCGACGGAGCTGCTGCCAGCGCTGTCCGTTGGCAAACACAATCCCTGCCCAAGAAACGAGGAAGACAGGTGGTTTCTCTCAGGAGAAATCTCAAAATCTCCCCTCAATGCAATGCAAGCCCAGCAAGCCCAGTTCAGGCCCATCTTGTAGCAAAACTATCCCTCACCATGGTGGTTGAAGTCCTTGGAGAAGGCGGGCAGCTGCCCTCGCCCACTGAACTCCTCTGCCTGGTCCACCAAGGCCTCCTTCACGGCTTGGTAGCCACACAAGACCACAACCCGCCGCAGTCCCAGAAAGATAGTGAACACTGGCCCGTACTCCTCGCCCATCTGCCAAGAAAGACCACGAGTGCTTTGGAGCCTCCCTCCCTCCCCCGTCCGTATTTGGAGCCTTTAGTAGCCCCAGAAAAAGCTCTGGCCTGACCCTGCCAGAAAGATACCAGCTCTCTCTCTCTCCCCCCCCCCCACACACACACACACACACACACACACACACAGAGCGAGCAGAAGAGATGCACAACAGTTGCTGAGCAACAACTCAGCTTTTCCCCAAAATCAGAATCAAATGCTGAACATTTGGAGCTGGAAATAGTTTAATCTGAATTTCAGATTATGCATACAGACAGGTTTTTTTTTTTTAATGAAAGCATCAATTCTACAGAAATCCTGGGTTCTTGCATGAATAGTTGGGGTTCAATGCTCTTCTAGGTTAGAAGGTGCTGGAGTTGCTTTGTGCTAACAGCAGCAGGCGAACCCTGCGGTGGAGGAAGATTAGTGTAAGGTGAGATCCAGCTTAAAATCCTGCAGAGGAACCTTTGTGGATGGAAGTTTCCAGCTGGGTGGAAGAAACATTTCTGGCCAACAAAGACACCCAGTTCTGAATTATTCTCTCTGCCTCTCCCTCCCCTCCAGGCAGGATACTCAACTCTGCTTGTACCCAGTGCCACCCCCGCAGGGTTGAGCTTCGATGCCAGCTTCAGATGTTGACAGACGAGGGGCACCGAGCCAGGCTGAGGGGAGGGAGAGGCAGAAGAAATGGGGCCTGGGAAAGAGGCGGAAATGCTGCAGCTGCTCCCCAGACAGGCCTGCTTGGCTCCTCCTGGCCCATCTCTCTTTCCTCAGGGTTTCTCCCGACACCTTTTCCAAGAGGCAGAAAAACCAACCTGCTTCTGGGGTGAAGGAGAGGGGAGGGTTGCCATAACCAGCTAGATGGGTGATGCTGCCAATGGAAAATGCTGGCTCATGGAAAGAGTTGCTGGTGGCTGGCCTCACCTTGGAGGAGCAGGAGGGAAGGTTGACCTGACGGGTCTTCCTTGTCTTTGACACTGCGCGCACATACGCCCCCTTCCACTCCCAGTCAAAGGGGTCTCCAGCAATCCAAAGGCCCCTAAGGCTCCTTTGGGTCAGGGAATTTTGCTGGGCTGCTGCCCCTTCACTCCCAGCAGAAAAGGCAGCCCAGTAAAGCCAGTTCCTGCTTGCGTGCCAGGCTCCACAGGTGGATGCTGGGTAGGTGGAACCTCCTCCTCCTCCCTGGGAGCCGTTTCCATCTCTTCTGTGAAGAGATCAAGCAGGAAAACTTAGCAAAACTCTTCACCCACCATTCAATCTCTTTTTTCTCAAATTGTTGGGAATTCAGAATAAAAATCAGGGCAATCAGCAGATTCCTTGATGCTCAGGATTTCTTGTATTCTTTCTTACTTTGGAATGAGTTGCCAGGATTTCTTCCTCTACTACTTGTCCCCTTATCTCCACCCACCCTCCAAGTCTCTTGAGATGGGGCCCCACTTCTGATAGACCCCAAAAAGCCAGACTGGACATCACCATTGCCTGGGGGATGCCCGCAGGGGCTCCTTTCATGTCCCCATCAAAGAGCTAGAGCAAGTGACAGGCGCTCAACCCACCAGGGAGCAGCACTTGGGTCTCAAACGTAGGCTTGCCAACCTCCAATCCAACACCTAACCACGTGAGCCACGTGCTCCTTCCAGCAGCATAATGACCTCCAAACATATATCTGAGAAAACCCAAGAATGGTTCCGAAATGACCTGCTGTGACCTGAATTCACAGAACAAGGACTCCAACCTTGGCAACTTTAAGATTTGTGGACTTCAACTCCCAACGTTCCCCAGCCAGCATGGAGACCCCTGCAATAGAACATTTATGGAAAGAGCTGAAATTCACGGGGGGGGGGGGGGAAAAGGAACCCACGCAGCCTAAGGCATCTGGAGCAGGGATGGGTTGCGTATTGAGAGTGTTCTTCAGAGCTGCTGAAAGAAGTGCTTCCTTGAAGCTAACTGCCCCAAAAACATTTGCTGTGAAAGATCAGGGCATCAACAATTATGTCCATGGCATTTTAATTTCTTTCCTGCTTTATGACATATGACAATATGTTATGCCATTCATCACAGTGTCTGCTCTGTGGACTGTGGAACAAAGAATGGTGGGTGCCATTTATTTGTATCAGTTTCAACATTTTGTGGCCAACTGTAATTCTTTGGATTAGAATGGAAGGATATCAATATTTCTGGCCACATCTGTGTATCAACCCCTGCCAGCTGCCATCATGATAGCAATGCCTCCTCCCACTGTGTGTGACTTCCCTGATCCCTGAGCTTCCTCATGTCCAGGCCAGGAGAACACCGTCCAAGGGCTGGAGCAGCATAAACAAGGCCAGACTTGTCCTCCTCTCTGTCTCGAAAAGAGGAGGCGCCATATCCTCGGATGGTCTGAGTGTTCCATCTACTTCTGCCCCCTGAAAAAATGCCCGAGGTGACTGTGACGCCTGGTCAAAGGCCAGCCATTCCAACATTGCCCATCAAGCTTGCTGAAGAAGCTGCTGGCTCTCAAGGAAGGAAACCTAACTCACCTTCATCAGGGACTGGACCAGATTCTTCCGGTCCAGCTGGAGAAAATTCCCCAGGATGGGGAGTGGGGTGGGCCCAGGGGGCAGGAGGCCTTTCATTCCTCTCTTCCTCCCGTTCAACCTGAAGGAGACCCAGAGCAGCAGCAGCAGCAGCAACAGCAGCAACAGTGAAGGAGGGACCAGCTCCATGTCAGAGAGCCTGAATCTGAATCTGAAGAGAAACACAGCAGCCATTGGCCAAGGAAAACAGAGAAGAAGAGGGAAAGGACTACGACTTTCAGCTACCTTCAGTGGCTGCAGATTCAACCATAAAATCCCTGTCCTGGGGTGGCTTTGTCCAAAGCATCTGGAAGCCTGGCAGAAGTTCATGGACAGAAGGAATCTACTTTCCACATTGGTTATCCTTTAACGAGATACGCTTTGCCCACCCGGATTTTGGCGAGCCAACTGGGGGCGTGACCTTATCTAGCCCTGTTGCTAGAAGGAGAAGAAGGATTCACTCACCGAGGGGACAGCGGTCATTTGGTAAAACAAACCTGATTTCTTAAATTCAATCTTGGCAAATTCTTTTAAGAGCAAAGATTAGATTCCTTAAGATGAATAACAAGATTTTATTTTTTTTAAAAGGAAACTACAACCCAAAGGCTGAATTCATACAACCGGGTAACAACAGAGGAGGGAAGTGGGGGGGGGAAGAGGGATGGGAAACATTGTTGTAATACTTGTTAAAACTTTTTAATAATAAAAAAAACAACAACCAGGTTACCTCCTAGTTAAAACCAGGAAGTAACGACGTCCGGGTGGGTGGGGGGACGGAGCCTTGCGCTGCCACCGCTACCGGTAGCATTTCATCCCTGGGGTAAACCCTAAACCCTGATTAACTAAACAAAACTTCCATGATTACATTGCTTCCTAAGTCCAAAGAAATAAATTGCATTGTCCCATTAGGTGATGGGCCACAACTGGCTAAGTCAACTGCTAGAGTTCCACAGCCGATGATCACTGATGGGATTCAGCCAGTTGCACCACTTCGGGAGACCCGAAGTGTTAACTTTCTGAGCAGTTTAACAAACTGGTTGTTGGAAGAAATCATTAGGGCAGAGAACCGGTTGTTAAATTACTTGAATCCCACCACTGCCTATGAGCCACAAACTGTTGGCTTGTGCCCCACTTGGAAAAAGGCCGGAGGTTCCATTTCACAGAAGGAAAAGACTGCAGCCAATTCAGGCAGAGCACAACCAGCCTTCTCTGGGTTCTTGCAGTGCAGAGCCGGCTGCCTGGAACTGAGCAGCAATAAAGGAGAATATCTGTAGCTCAGGGATGAAAGGCTGAGCACTCAGGATGTCACCTAGTTTGGGTCATGAAACGTCTGCAAGAAAATAACCCAGTTCAGAGAGCACCAAGGAATTGGCCAGAGCAGGAAAAGAGGGGTGATTCCAATGAAGGCCGATGCAGCCTCCTCTTCCTCACTCCTTGTATTCTTTTACACACACACACACACACACACACACCACTGACATGCATCTATGGAGATTCTCATTCCTCCAGGACAGGTCAGGGTTATCCCAAAGGTTTCTAAAAGGCAACTGGACTTTCTTGGGGTTTTTGTTGAAAACATTTCCCTTCTCATCCAAGAAGCTTCTTCAGTTCTTTGGTCAGAACTGAAAACCAAGAAAGTCCAGTTGCCTTTTGGAAAAGCATCTTTGGGGTACATGCCTATTTCCCTTCATTGTCCGCGTTCACGCTACCTGCTTTATCCCTGATGAAGAGAGCCAAGCTTTGCTTGCTCAGCCCGTTTCTCTGGGCCTCTGGCAGGAGTTCAGAGACTCATAGGGTAGCCAGCTGGGCCTGAGCTGTGTTGCCGGGGCCACCAGTTGTATGTAGTGGCTAGTTGGGGACTCAAGCCTTGCCATCTTGTCTTTATAGCCCACTTTCAAAGCAGAGTTATGGAGGGGCAGATCCAGGAGAAAGAGCTTTTTCCCAGCCCGGGAAACTCTTTGCTGGAGAGAAAAGGCCCCAAGGGAGCAGGAAGGGGAGAACCTGGGGAAAAGGCTCTTTGCACCCAGCGCCTGGTGCAACAGGAGCATGGACATCCATGCGGTGGCTGTCCTGGAGGTGGCTGGGTTAATGTTTAGCCAGCGGAGCAGCCCCAGCCAGAGCTCTCTGGAACTGAAAAGCAATGTGCAAACATGGCTTGAGAAATCTGGGTCACGATGGTGGCTTAATTTCAACCGGCTATCTGTTAAGGGTGTGCCTCACCAAGCTCTAAGGCAGCAGATGCTGCAAGATACCATAAGCAAGGAACGGAAAAGTGCCAAGACTTCCTTGGAAAAGCAACATCTTCTTTAAAGGGGGACTTTAAAAAGAGTCAACAGGTTCCTGGATCCCCAGCGGAATTGGCCTCCTTCAGCCCAGCACCACCCAGCTGACATCGGCCGAGCCTCAAGCTGTGGTCCAACTTCCGGTGGGCCGGGGACTGGCGCAAGCGAGCACTTTGGAGTCCCGACCGTATATATCCTGCCTGGCTGGCCTTGGCAGCCCCAGCTGGATTTGCAGCAGCCATGGAGATCTCGGCCGTCACTCGGATGGATTGGGGGGGGCCCTTCAGCATTCTGTTAGCCATGGCTGCATCCTGCCTCCTCTTCCGCCACTTTGCAGCCAAGAAGAGGTTCGCTGGCCTCCCACCGGGGCCCCCCCCCTCTCCCCTTCATCGGCAACATGCTCCAGGTGGACGTGAAGGAGCTGATCCCCTCCCTCAGGGAAGTGAGTCAGGGCAGGTGGGGGCTCCCGGGGGGGGGAGGGATGTGGAGCATAAGGGGCAAAATGGTTTGTTCATTTGTCTATGTGTCTATCATCTGTCACCATCTATCTATATCTATTGATCGATCTGTCTATCAATCCATCAGTCGGTCATATTTAGAGACCGCCCATCTCCCTGACAGAGAGACCCCGGGTGCAAATAAAATAGAAGAGAAAAGCAAACAGGAAATAAAGACAAGCCCAAGTGGCTGGGAAACTGGACCGGCCCTCCTTTTGGTCAACTGAGGCCGATGTGGGTCCCCACAGAGCCAATGGCATCTCCCCGAACCCAGGGAAGAGGCCATCTATCCTTCCCAGGCCAAAGTAATGCCCGGCATCAGGCCAACCCCCTCCCTGCCTTGGCCTGAAGCAGCAAAGCCCCCCTCAGTTGTAGTGGGTCAAGCACGAGGACCCGAGACAGGGACAGCTCAAACTTCTCTCTGTGGGGAATGTCTGCCAGGCCCCACAGAGCAGCTCGAGCTGAGCCGGAAGGATGTGGCCCTGGGCAGGCACCCCGAGGGCCTGAGAGCACACAGCTCCAGCCAGGAGCTGGGAGGGTCCTCCTCTTAGCAGAGCCCCCTGCTAAGAGGAGGACTAGAGCCCACCTCTAGGTTTGGTCTCTTTTCTCCATCAGCCTTAATTCCAGACAGTTGCAGGGCTTTAGATCAAAGAAAAGGCACAGCTTCCCCCAGAAAAGTGAGTTTGTGTGCACATATTAAATTAGATTGGATTAAAGCTCTAAGCTAGGGGCCCTTCCTGTTGGGAAACTACCAGCCAGGCGAGGAGGGACCAAGCGGGGAGGTAGCCTTGAGTCTTAGGTCTGAGCCCCCGCCCCCCCATCCACTGAGCCTCACCTGTTTGTTCCCGAGAGAAGCTGGGCAGCCTGTGGGAGACTCTTGCGTTCTCAGCAGAAGTCAAGAAAGGGGGAGGCAGCTTCCACCCTTCATTTGTGGGTCTGGTTGCTTTGCCTGACCCTTCCAGGCAACCTCTGGTGGGTCCATCAAAATCCATACACAATAAACTGCACCAAATGTATTATAAAGCACCACTGCCTGCCCTGCCCTGCCTGGGAACCCCCTCTTCAATGGAGGAAAGCCCAAATCCCTGCTGAGTTGGTGGTTCTTGTTCCCTGTTAAGGGAGCCTCCCCCTCACCCCCCCTGAGAAGGAACCCTGCCCTGACCAGTCCTCCTCTTCTCCCAGCTCAGCAAAACCTACGGCCCCATGTACACCTTCCATCTGGGCTCTCGCCCCTGCGTGGTCCTTTCGGGGTACCAGGTGCTGAAGGAGGCCCTGATTGACAAAGCCGAGGAGTTCAGTGGTCGGGGGGACTTTCCTGCTGTCCAGATGTGGAGCAAAGGAAACGGTGAGACACTGGAAGGAGAGGAGGAAGAGGAGGAGGAGGCAGCTGCTCAGGTTACTCTTCAATCCTGGATTTTGGAATGATTCAGAGAGCGATACGATGACTCCACGTTCAATTAAATATATTTTTCAGGGCTTCCAGAGCTGAATTTTGACTTTTAGAAGAACCAGTGAGGGGCGGGTGGTGGGGAGTGAATCATAGCCCAAAATAAGCCCAAGTTAGTCTCAAAATAAGGAGATTCTTGTCTCTGATTCTCTGGGCTGGAAAGAGCTTTGGTGGAAGGGAGCTGGTGGGCTTCCTGGGAAGAAGGAAAATTGTGGGCAGGCCAGGCTGGACCTGGTCTCGGGTATGTTGTCCCATCTCCCCCCCCCTTCATCCCCAGGAGTCGTGTACGGGACAGGGGAGCGCTGGAGGCAGCTGCGCAGGTTTGCCATCGGGACCCTGAAGAATTTCGGGATGGGGAAACGGTCCATGGAGCAGCGGATCAAGGAGGAGGCCCAGTTCCTGGTGGCTGAGTTCCGCAAAACCCAAGGTGGCTGGAGGGCCCTTGCCCCACCCTTTCCTTCTCTGGCTTATAAGGCGGGACAGGCTGCCTCGGGGTGCAACCCTCCTCCGGTTGGTTCCCTGATGTTTTATAGCAGCAGAGCAGCTTGGCACATTGCTTAAGGGGGCAAAGGGGCCTTCCCTTCCTTTGGGGCCAGAAGAATCCCACCTGCTGGATCCCAACTTTAAAAGAGGCTAAGATCACCCCTGGTGGAAAATGTGCTGAGCTTGTTAAGGATTGTTCAATTAGAGCAGGTGGCTCCCTTCCAGTTCCCCCCTTCTGGAAGCTCTCCAGGCCTTTCCTGAATATAAAGTGCCTCATTTTCCAAGCACTCCCTCTCCCGAGGAGGCCGGAGAGACTTTGCAAGAGAGGTGCAGCCGCATTCTCAGGCTGAGCTCCTCCAGGTGTGCCGGGTCCTTCCTTCATCTGATGCCCTCTGGGAATTCTGGAGGCATCAGGCACCACATCTAGCACGGAGCAGGTTGGAAAGACTGCTAGGCAGAGATTTCAGCTATGCCAAGTTATTTCATTTAATTATTCAACTGCCATAATTAAGCCAACTTTTTTTTGAATTGTGCCAAAGAAAGGCTACATGGCATGAAGCAATCCCTGGGTGGGTGGGGGAGTGGAAGAATGTTATAAAATCCACCACCCCCCCGGGCTCACCGTTGCCCCCTTTTGCTCACAGGCCAGCCCTTTGACCCGACCTTCTTCCTAAGCTGCGCCGGCTCCAACATCATCTGCTCCCTTGTCTTTGGAGAACGGTTCGAATACACAGATCAGGTCTTCCTCACCTTGCTTGACTTGATCAACAGCAACTGGAAGCTCATGAGCTCCACCTGGGGACAGGTGAGGCTGACCTGAGGAAGGGTCTGGCTTGCTCAGGCGCCCCAGAAGGAAGGCCCAGCATGCAGCTGATCCTAAGAATTGGCAACTGGATGCGGCCAAGTCCAAGGAGGCCTTCTCACGGGGCCTGAGCCCAAAGTTCCACGAAGTGCCTAAAGTCTGCATTTATGCCCCCTGCTGTGCTCTTCCAGTTTTGCCCTGGTTTATTTTATGTCTTGTGAACTCAGGTCCTTCAGCCCGCTTAGAGTTGGCTGTCGTGATGTGGGGTGGGCTAGTTCTCGCCTGCAGCTGCTGTGGGGCCAAGGGGAAAGGGCAGAGGCCAGTTGGCCGGACCCAAATTGGGAAGGAAATCAGATTTCATTTTGTACAGACAAGGTAGTGGCTAATAATTTAACCGCTCTGTACCAGTCCAGTGGAAGTTTCCAGATCGTCCTCCCATCAATGTCCTCCCGCATGTGCCAGCAATGGAGTGCCAAGGGTTGCCAAGTATAGCTGGGGCGATCCAAGGAGGGCAAAGAGCAAGAACAAGTCCAGACCCAAATCAGTGCCCCTCTTCAGGAAGCCCTACTCCCAACTGAAAATCCTTAATGGGGGGGGGAGAGAAGGAGAGAGAGAGAGAGAGAAGTTGTGAGAGAGGTCACCCAATCTGCAACATTGAAGTTGCCACCTGAGCTGTGCCTTGTCTGGTGCCAAGGGGCAGTTTAGGCAGAGCAAAGGGGCAGTGGAGCTGAAGGCCAATGAGAGAAAGAGAGAGAGACAGAGGGAGGGAGGGAGAGAGAGAGAGAGAGAGAGAGAGAGGACAATGAGGCAGAGCACTCTTCTGGGGAAAGTCCAAAGGAGGCCAAGGGCCACAGGCACCAGGGCCAAAAAGGACCGGGCTGATGCAAGATTAAAGCCTGAGCACAGGATCTTCAGCTGATCACTCGCTGCCACCCCCAGAGTAGCTGCCCTGTGAGAGGGCCTGGCTTTCGCCAGAGTGGTTTGGCTCTTCTTTCTGTGTCATGGGGGATCCCTAACCCCACCCCCACCCGTCAACTGAGAAGGTTGATGGCCCACCCCAGAATTGGAGGAGACCAGAGAAGCTTTCCCGGGCTCAGTCTCTGGGCTCCCTTCTCTCCATCTCATAACTCAGGGGGTTGTGAGGTTGTGACCCGCAAGGTAAGTCCCTGAGGGCTTCATCTATGGCTCGGGGCCACCTGGATGGATGGGCCGGCTGGAAGCAGGTGGGCTCCGCCTGGCCAGAGACCCCTTCAGAGCAGAGCTTTGCCTTTCTCCTTCAGCTGCTCTTCGTCTTCCCAAATGTCATGAGATGGGTCCCAGGGCCCCACCAGAGAATCTACGCCAATTACCTGAAGCTGGCAAAGTTTGTGGGTGAGCGGCTAGAGATGAACAGGCAGACCCTGGACCCCAACTCCCCGAGGGATTTTATCGACTGCTTCCTCATCAAAATCCAGCAGGTATCACCGTGGCCCCTGCCCGGCTCTGCCAAGAGGGGAAGGGGGTTTCTCCTGGACCCCCATGCCCAGGAATCCTCGGAGGAGGCCACGCAGTTGCTGCATCTCCATCTGGGGTCTTGCACCCAGGGCCGGGCAGCCGCGCTGGCTCTGCTTGGGCCTCAGGGGGCGGGGCAGTACCGTTGTGGGAGAGCCAGGCTGAGCCTTCACTTCCCGGGCCCTCCTAGAAAAGCCCATCGTTGTGGGCAAATGGGGTGGGCTCCAATTTCCAAACCCTCTCAGCCTCAGTTTCTCAACTGGCATCTTTGCAGCCCTGTTAGAAGCAAACCAGGCTAGTTTCTGCCGCCTTGCAGGAAAAGGGCAATGCCAGTTCTCACTTCAATGAAGACACGATGTCCAAGACCACCGTCAACCTCTTCTTTGCCGGCACCGAAACGGTCAGCTCCACCCTGCGCTATGGGCTGCGCATCCTCCTGAGGCATCCCGAGGTGGAAGGTAAACTGGGGGAGGGGTGGAGGAAGGGGGCCCCATGCAGCGTCCGAGCACGTGGGAGTCTCGCAGGGACAGGACAGAGCAGAAGGACAGGCAGCCCCCTTTGAATTCCCCCCCGCCCACTCCCAGCAGGGACCTCGGGTGGTCCCCTCCCCTTGCCATGGCTTTTGGGGTGACTCTGGAATTCTTCTGGCAGAGAAGCTGCATGAAGAAATTGACCGGGTCATTGGGGGCAACCGTGCCCCTTGCATGGACGACCGGAATCAGATGCCCTACACGGATGCGGTCATCCACGAGATCCAGCGCTACGCCGACATCGTCCCTATGGGGGTGCCCCACACAGTCACAAGAGACATCGAATTCCGGGGATACAGTCTCCCCAAGGTTCGGCCAAGTAGAGAATATGGGGCGGGGGATGGGATGGGGGTCAGCAGCGGTCTCTGCCGTGATCGACTTGGGCTGGTTCCCAAAATGAGAAGCACACCTGTCTTCTCTCCAAGGCCAAATGGCAAGGCAGGCACGAGGATGCCCTGAGCAGAAAGCACTCTGCCCATGCCTACGATGACGGTCTTCTCCACTCAGTGGGGGAGAACTGGGTTCAGGGCCGGCTGCCCTCTGATCACCCTGCCTTCCCCCTCAATCATAGGACCTCAACATCATCCCCTTGCTCTGCACCTCCCAGTTTGACCCCACACAGTTCAAGAACCCCAATGCCTTTGACCCGACCCACTTCCTGGACGAGAGCGGGCGGTTCAGGAAGAGGGAGGCCTTCATGGCTTTCTCAGCAGGTAAGGGGAAGAGAGGCCTCAGGAACCCCTGCTCCAGAGACCCCTCAGCCCCCATGGGTGGGAAGGGTCTTCATCCAGTGTGGGGCAGGAGAGGCTAAGAGCCTCATCGGTTCCTTCCTCTGGCACAAAAGGGAGGCAGGGAGATGGTCAGGCTGGCCAGTGCCAGGCTGGGCCTCCCCCATCTCCCTTCGCTGGCAGAGACGCGAAGGAAGCCTTCTCTCTCCACAGGCAAGCGGGTGTGTCTGGGTGAAGGCCTGGCCAACATGGAGCTCTTCCTCTTCCTCACCACCATCTTGCAGAACTTTCGGCTGAAAGCCCTGATGGACCCCGCAGCCATCGACATCACCCCCGAATCCACCGGCCTGGGCAGCATCCCCCGACCTTACCAGTTCTGCCTCCTCCCACAATAAAGGGTTGCCTCCCCTGGGGGGCCCAGCTGCTGTGGGTTGCTTGCCTCCCGGATGCCCGTTGGGGGTCCCTGCCCCCCAACCTCTCACTTTCCTCTCAGCCCAGTGCTCCCAGCATTCCCAGCCAAGCCAGTCGCCCGCACCTGCCTGCCTCCATGTGGGCTCTTCTGCAGACGCTTGCCCTGGTGCCAGGGGATGCCAGGCTCAGCTGTCTCTCAAGCTCTGGGCTACCTTGGCACCCCAGCAGGCGTTGCCTAGTGCAGAGAAGAGGGCTTCAGAGCCGAAGCCTCAGCAGCATGAGCCGTCTGCCCTGCAGGTGCCAAGGACGGAGCCGGGTGCTGCCAAGGGGGTCTTTGCAAGGCTGAGGAGATTCTGCATTAGGAAGCGCTGGCTCAGTTTTTTTACCCAACGCCCCCTCACTTGATGCCATGTTTTCCAGGGGAGGGAAACTTGCCGAGGGAGTGCCAGGACTGGCGATGTTGTGCAAACAAGCCGGTTGCCCAACTTGCAGAGGGAGAAGCCACTTCCGGGGGCAGGGGGGCGGGGGGGCTTTCAGAGAGTGGGCTGGGGAGGTGGAGAAGCACATCCAGGTGCCCCACAGGAAGATAGGGTGATTTGTACAGCGTCTGTCTCAGCCAGCTGGGGACGAGAGCTCAGCTTCCAGAGTCAATTCCTCAGTGGATCCCTGCTTCTCACAGCCACCAAAGTATAGCTGGTGCCTTTCAAAGGGATCCCCTCTGCCCCTGCCCCACTGGATGGGGTTTTATGACCCTGCTACTCCAGGGTGTGCCGGCTTCCCTAACCGCAAGTCTTGCTGGCTGGAAGTCAGGAGAGCCTGGAGAAAAGGAAGTTTTGGTCACACCAAGGGTGATTTGGGCGGCCTGAGTGCAAATCCCGGCGGGATTCCCAGCCCTGGTCCCGAATGCAGGAGGGGAGCTTCTTGTGCGTGCTTGCTTAGCATTTTATTTAAAATGTTTGTATCCCACTTTCCAATCCCCAAAGGCCCTCAAAAGAGTTTGCAAACAATTCCGAAAAATAAAAACTGGCTGAAATTGATGAACAGAGCAGAAGAATCTCTAAAAAAGCAAGATTATTCCAGGCCTCTTGACGACCCTCAGCCGATTTCTCCAAGGCAAGCCTCAAGTCAAGGACAGGGGTCAAGCGTCTGTGTTTTAACATAAAAACAGGCCAACTTTGCTGACTTGGAAGGAACCTTTGAAAACATTGGGTCCTGTGCAATTCAGTTTTTGCATAAGAATGTTACTTATTTCTTGGTACCCCTCCCTCGGCGAAGTTATCGCTTTCCCGCCTGTCCCAGGGGCCCTGGAAAACCCCCTCGGGTAACAGGCGCAAAGGGCTCCCGAAGGCCGCCTTAGACGGAGGGTTGGGCGGCTCTGGATGCGGCCTTCCGGCCTCTTATTACAGGGCTCGGGCAGGTCTTTACTCTGGCGGTTCTTTTCTTCCTGTTTGCATTTGGTGCCTCTTGGAGCCGCCTTCGGTGCCCCGGGCAAAGCTTGCGCGGATGAAAGTGCATTTCGGGCTGGCAGGTTTCCCATTCCGCAGCCCTGAAGGCCGAGGCCTCGGATCGGGTTCAGGGCTGGAGAGCAGCGGGCGGGCGGCCCAGAGAAGGCGAGGCAGGGGGCCCCGCGCCCAGTTGCCGCCTCACCGGTTGCAGTGCAGCCGCCCGGGAGAGCCCCCCGCCCGCCCCCCGAAAGAGCAGAGCGGCTCTCCGGCAGCCCCGCTCCGCTCCGGAGGGCAAAGGGGCGGCCGAGCTCCTCCTCCCCCCGGCGGCGGCGGCGGCGGCGGCGTCAGCGGGCGAGCGGGCGGCAGGCGTAGGGCCGGGGCACGTTCCCGATGCCGCTCCTGAGGGGCGAGAGGTCGAGCTGGTCGCGGGGGCGGCTGGGCTGGAAGGAGAAGCGCTGCAGGAGGGCGGTCAGGAAGAGGAAGAGCTCCATGCGCGCCAGGGCCTCGCCCAGGCACAGCCGCTTCCCTGCAAGGGGGAAGGAGGAGCGGGGGCCGCTGAGCTCTCTCGCTCTCGCTCTCTCCGGGGAGAGCGGCCACAGCATCCCGGCCCCCCCCCCCCCACTCACTCACCGGCAGAGAAGGGCATGAAGGCGCTGGAGCGGCGGAAGGCCCCCGCCTCGTCCAGGAAGTGCCCGGGGTCAAACACTTCTGGGTTGCGGAACTGGCTGGGATCCTGGTGCACGGAGTGGAAGAAAGGCAGGACGTTGGTGCCCTGTTGGGAAGGGAGGAAGGGGAGCAAATGAGCGGAGCTGGGGACGGCTCTGCCTGTAGGTGACTCTGGCCTCTTTCTCTTGAGCCACCCCTCCCTGCCTGCCTTCTCTTTATTCCTCCTCTGCAACCCAGAGGGCGAGCGAAGGTCCCCGCTTGGCTTGTGGCTCCATGTTTCTGCAGTCAGGCGTGCTTGGCAGCAGGCTGTAGAAGAGGGCACGGGCCAGTTGAAAGGGCACCCAGCCGATGTTACAGCAAAGTTTGCAGCTGAATGCGCATCCTCGCAAATGCACATATATTCAGGCAAAGACTGGCCAAAATGTATTAGGCACAAGGCCGGGGTGGGGGCATCACTGAAAACTGTGTAAATAGGAAAGTCATGCTCACATTAACCTAGGGGAAATATGTGTGAAAATGAATCCTAAATTTTACACGCCTGTTTTGAAAATGGTTAAACTGAGAAACTGCCCAGCACTAGAGATCTTTGCCTCTTTCTATCCTGAGACACAGCTCGGGGGATGGGCAGTTCCCTGGCAGGAATGGAGGACTTGCAATCAAAGCCACAGATATTTATTTAAATGAGTATTAAACAAGGGGAGAACCGCAGCCAGGCTGAGCAGGAGCTATAAAGGGTGAACCAGGCCTGAATAAGGCCGCCTCCAGCTGAGACCCCACGGCATGCTCTCTGTCACCCTCAAGTACCTCCGGAAAGAAGAAGCCCCGGAAATGGGTGTCCTTGGTCAGGGCGTGGGGGATGCCCATGGGGATGATGTCGGCGAACCTCTGGACCTCGTGGATGACAGCATCCGTGTAGGGCATCCTTGCCCGGTCAGCAACAGAGGGGAGGCGTTCGGAGCCAATGACCTTAGCGATCTCCTCCTGCACCTTGGCTGCAGACAGAGGGGTGGGTGGGGAGGGGCGCGAGACCCCCACCCGGCTGCTTTGAGGGCTGAGAGGCCCTGATCCCTCCCCCCATTTCCACAGTGCCCAGGGAGAAGCTCTGTCTAGCGGGGTCCCCACCAACCTCTCTCCTTTCTGCCCTGTGTTCCTGACCGGTGCTTGCTGGGCAGAGCCGGAGAGGTGCCACCTTTGCCAGCCTCGGGCGCTCGGATGCCACAAATGGCGATTGCCTCTCTGGCCACTGGGTGCGGGGGGGCTCTCAGCCTCACCAGCAACTTCGGGAAACTTCATGAGGATGAGGATGGCGTAGCGGAGGGTGGTACTGATGGTCTCGGTGCCCGCGAAGAAGAGGTTGTGGGTGGTCATGATCAAAGTGTCGGTGTGGAAGAAGCTGCAGGGGTCTCCCTTCTCCTGCAAGCACAGGGATGCCCGGGGTGAGCCTGTGTGGCCACAAGAGCTGCTGCCTCCCCTTGCCAGGCTAGGCAATCCTCCTGCAGGGAAGGGCTTCATGCAGAAGGTGTGACTGTGGGATTGCCTTGCCGGGAGGCAGGGAGATTTTTCCTGCACACCCCGAATTTTCAGATCCTGTGACTAAGAGCCGATCCCCTGGATGGGAGGCTTGCCTCTGGGCTGCCCGGGAGCCGCATCTGGCCACTAAGTTCCCATCAACCATTGCTCTTCCCTGCCCTGCTGGCAGGGGTGGGGGAGGGCAGGTGTGGCTTAGGAAGCCGAGGAGAGAAAGGAGGGGCTCCTCTTCCCCCCCCCCCCTTCCAGAGGCAGCCCAGGGTCTCCCCGGTCTTTGTGGCCAGTGGGAGGTTCAGCCTTTGGACAGCAGCAGCAGCAGCAGCTGGGAAGATTTTGTGGAGAGGAACCCGGCGCTGTCTCCCCCCTTCCTCAAATTGCACTGTGACAGTGACCACCACTCTGCATTTGGCCCTCCTCTGCCATGGAAGTCGACACAGGGCCCCACAGAGGACTACAAAGCCCATTCTCACCTGCTGCATCTTCAGGAGGAAGCAGTCTATAAAATCGCGTGGGCAACTGGGGTCCAGGCTGGCCTGGTGGGCCTCGGCCATCTCCTTCACCAGGGCCCGCAGCTTCTCAAAGTTGGCAAATATCTGGTTGTGTGGTCCAGGCAGGTAATACATGATGTGGGGGAAAATGTTGTACATCTAGAAAGGAGGAGTAGGGATGGGATATGGAGGCAGCCAAAGGAGTGAGGGGGGTGGGAAGCAGGGGCAAAGGATACAAAGACCCCCTCCCAGCCACACAACTCCACCCTTCTATGGGAGCTTCCATGCTTCCCCTCAGCAGTTGTGGCAGCTGCTTCAGGAGGCTCAGCAAACACAGGAGGGCTTCTCCCACTTTCAGCCCTTGGCCGTGGAGAGGAGAAAGTGAGGGGGGCGTGGGGTCTCCCCTCATCTCAAATGTGCTTTGAGATGGGCCAGCAAGGCCCAGATCAAGACCTGAGCCTTTGCCTTTGCCTTTGCCTCACTTTCATGACATCATCCCAAAGGTGTTTTTTCAAAAGGCAACTAGGCTTCGTTTTTTTCTTGAAGTTGTTTCACTTCTCATCCAAGAGGCTTCTTCAGTTTTGTTGAGACCACTTGGGAGTTCATATGTGCCCTCAGGGTCCCTGAATCAGTGCAAATGGGTGTGGAACCTTCTTGGAACTGCTAAAAGGACTCTGTTGTAAACAGGAGATGGGTGGTGTCGTATCCCTCCCCTTCTGTTGAGGGAGGGCTGTTCAATTTTAATGTAGATGGCCTCTTTGACTCCTCTTTCATACCAAAGCACTTTTGGTTTGATGCCATGAAAGTGATGCCGGAGGCTGAAGAAATATTTGAATACTCTGAAACTTTAAAAGTTTATCAGAAAGAAGGTAGGGGAAGCTGCCATGGCCACAAACCCCACAGGAGGGCATGACAGGAAAGAGGGGCAGCGGAGGGGCTACTTCTTCCTGCAAGGCCTGTCTACCTCCTCTGCCTGGCCTCCCCCCCCCAGCAGGTGCTCACCTGGGCACAAGGAGAGCTGAAGAGGCGGAAGTTGTCATTGACCAGCCCGATGAAGGTCAGGAAATGCTGGTCCTCATAGTCAAAGCGATCTCCGAAGACGATGGAGCAGATGACGTTGGAGACCGAGCAGCCAAGCAGAAATGTGGGGTCAAAGGGCTCTGTAGCACCAAAAGCGAAAGGTCCGAGGGGCTGAGAGGCAGGCTGGCCAGCCAGCCCCCCCCCCCAATGTTGGTATCCTTCACAAAAGTGAGATAGCGAGAATTGCCCAAAGGGGCAGCCTGAATCTCTGAGAGCAGAACCCTCCGTGAAGACAGAAAAATGCAGCTTAGGCAGCCTCACCACCAGATGGAGTCATAACTGGCTGACCAAGCGCACCCGGCTTAATGGAACTGCACCTACATGGGGGGAGTAAGCAGTGGGGTGCCCCAAGGCTCCGTCTTAGGCCCAGGACTCTTCAACATCTTCATCAATGATTTCGGCAAGGTGGGAGAAAGGGGGCATCAAATTTGCTGATGACACTAAACTGGCAGGATCAGTCAACACCCCAGAAGGTAGGCTTAAAATAAGATACAGAAGGATCTTGACAGACTCGAACAATGGAATTTAATGTGGAGAAAAGTTAAGGTTTTACACCTAGGCAGAAAAAAACCAAACGTACAAGTACAGATTAAGCGAAACCTGGCTCGACAGCACCAATTGTGAGTGGGGGACCTTGGAGTCCTAGTGGACGATCACTTAAACAAGAACCAGAAATGGGCGGCAGCTGCCAGTGCAATCTTAGGCTGCAGAGGAACAGAATCAAGGTCACTTGAAATGTTAATGCCACTCTGTAATGCCTTGGTGAGAGCACACTTGGAATGTTGCATATAATTTTGGTTGCCACGATACAAAAAAGATGTTGAGACTCTGGAAAGACTGCAGAAAAGAGCAACAAAGAGGATTAGGGGACTGGAGGCTAAAACATACAAAGAACGGTTGCAGGAATTGGGTAGTCTAGTGAAAAGAAGAACTAGGGGAGATATGATAGCAGTCTTCCAATATCTGAGGGGCTGCCCCAAAGAAGAGGGGGTCAACCTATTCTCCAAAGCACCAGAAAGCAAGAGAAGAAGCAACGGATGGAAACTTTTCAAGGAAAGAAGCAACCTGGAACTAAGGAGAAAATTCCTGACAGAGAGAACAATTAACCGGTGGAACTCCTTGCCTCCAGAAGTTGTGGGAGCTCCATCACAGGAGGTTTTCAAGAAGAGACTGGACAGCCACTTGTCTGGAATGGAATAGGGTCTCCTGTTTGAGCAAGGGATTGGACTAGAAGACCTCTGAGGCCCCTTCCAATTTGGTTATTCTGTTAAAGTAAAACGTCTGTTTCTCGTCCTGCTCTTCAACTTTGCTATTGTTGTTGTTAGCATAATTATTATTATTATTATTATTATCCTCATTATCTTCATCAGTGCTCATTCACCCCCATCCTGCCCCTCCTTCCTGGGGCCAGGCGGAGCATTCCCGAGCAGTTCGCTAGATCCCTCCTTGCCAATCAGCCTTTTAAAAGTGTGCAATTCACTGTTCTAAGAAGTTGCTGGAGCAAAGTCTCCCTTGGAGGGAGTGAAGGCGCAGCTCAGCCGGTCCAAGTGCCCCCCCCCCCCCGCAGCCCTGCGCACCTGTCCTCTTGGCCAGCTCCTTCACCAGGCACTGGGTCTCCTCCTGGATTCGCTCTTCAATGCTGCGCTTGCCCATCCCGAAGTCCCGTAAGGTCTGAATGGCAAACCGCCTCAGGATCTTCCACTTCTCCCCATTGGAGAAGGCGACGCCTGGATGGGGGGCGAGGGGGGGCAGAGGAATCAAGGGCAGGAGAGGCCCCAGGAGGGGAAGCCGTTTCTCCCGGACAGCCAGAGGGTCATCATGTGGACAGCCGGAGAGCACCTGATGTCCACAAGCAAGAAAGGGCAGACTGCCCCTCCCTGGACTGGGATGAAGACACGCGCATGCACGCATGCCCCCCCCCCCCCCACGGTCCTGGAAAAAAGGTCACTCGTGCAGAAGAGCATGCCTTGCAATGGTCTGCTTGGAGCCTGCCGGCTGCCCTCCTTACCCATCCTGGGGCAGCCACCTTTTTAGGGAAGCTGATGGCCCCGCTGGCTCCCCTGACCACCCTTCTGTTGCCGAGGACAGCCCCAAGGAAAGCTCTGCAGCCAGCTGGACTCACCGTTGCCCTGAGTGAATCGGAACAAGACCGGCATGTCTCCGCGGCCGCTGAACTCCTCGCCTTGGTCTACCAGGGCCTCCTTCACTGTCTGGTACCCGCACAGCACCACCACCGGCCGGGACCCCATGTGGATGGTGAAGAGTGAGCCATACTGCCTGCTGAGCTGGAGGAAAACAAGGGGAGGAAGTCTTGGACCAGGCAGTGCCTCCCGTGCGATGCCCCGTGCCCAGGAGATGCCTTGGCCCTTGGCCTGCTTTGTTCAACCACTGCTGCCTTCAAGGACCACAGAGTCCTCCATGGAGCACCGCTGCCCCCACTGTTTCTGCCACGCGTGTCCCGATTTGTGGCAGAGGCTGAGCTTACCTCCAGCAGGGACTTGATCATGTTCTTGGCATCCAGGTGAGGCAGGTTGCCGATGAAGGGCAAGGGCCGAGGTCCGGGGGGCAGGCGTGCCTTGGTGCCCCATCGTCCTCCTCGGAGGAGCAGTATCAGGCAGGAAAGGCAGAGAGCCAGGAGGAGAACCGTGGCTGCGCTGGCTTCCATGGTTGGAACCCTGGGAGAAGGCTTCGACGGAGCCAGTGAACACAGGGGCCCGCCTCCCATGCCTGCTTTTATGCCCTGGTTACAGGGACCAAGAGGAAGGCGTGTCCCCTCCTGACGGAACCTGATCCCTCAGGGCGGCTCCGAAGGCAGGCTGGGCGTTGGAGCTGAGGTTGCTTTCGGTCTCTGATAGCCACATCACCTGCTTGCATAACACTTTCTCCCTGGGCAGAAGTGCTGCCAGGCCACCCCCCACTTGGGGCCTCGGGGCAGAACGTGCCCTGCACCCAACTCGGTCCTTGGGAGAATTGCTGGGCAGAGAGGAAAGGATCCTCCTGGGCGCTTCCCACCTGCCGGGCCACTGGGGACCCCCAAGCCAGTGGCCTGGCTGGGGAGCAGCTGGGGAGGATGGGTGGCTCTTCCTGCAGATGGTCCGGAGGCTGCTGGCAACGCTTCCTGCCCCTTGTCCGTGTCAAACATGCCAGAGAGGCTGAGCTGCCGGCAGCGCCCAGCAATTTCACCCAAGGCTTCTGCAGAAAAGCCTGAGACGCCAGGAACCTGCAGGGCCACTGTGGAAGGAAAGTGGGGGGGGGTTGCTAGGAAGGTGAAAAAGAGAAGAAGCCCCCTCCACTTGGAGCCCTTCACAGCTTCAAGGACCTCCCTTGCGGCAGCAATTTTGGCAAAGCTGCCCATCAGAGTGCCTGTTGGATGGCCTCTCTTGCACCCCTCAGCGGGAGATGCCCAGCCGAGAGCAGAGCCCCCTTGCTGTTCTACGCTGGGAATGGAGAGCTCTCCCCACATGCCCAGGAACCCCTGTGGTTGCGCCACAGCCCTGTTTTCTAACATAGAGAGATTCAGGTCCGCCACCAGCATGTCCCAAGATGGGATGGGAGAGGCTCTGGTGCCAGGGGATTATCGAGCTGATACAAAAACAGCAGGATAATGTTACAGGATTAGGTTTCCACCAACCTTGGCATCTCTGCCACTGCCGACCCCACCCCTGACCTCCCAGCGATTGTGAAAGCCTCACACTCTCCTTTAGCCAGCACCAGGAAAGCGAAGGGAAGGCTCAAATGCCAAGGATGTTCTTGGGAACGCCTTTCTCCTCTGCGAAGAGAGCGGATCCTTCAGCAGGATGGAGAAGTCTTGCGAGAGAAGGAAGACCCAGCGGCTGCCCTGAGCCTCACCTGCCCCGGGCTGCCTGGTCCCTGCTCCCCACCTCCAAGGCTCAGTTCCCTTAGTGGCTCCTGCTCCAGGCCCCTGGGAGAGGGAAAAGCCATTCTCTCCTTTGGGACTTGGATGTGTGGGGGGGAGGTCCTCTCTCTACACTCCATTGGCAGCAGGGGCGGGGCTGTTCAAAAGCTATCGTAAATTTTGAGAAAAGTCTCCAGCAGCCATTTCAGATTCCTGACATTCACAGCCAGGGCAGCAGGGGCCACTTCTGGCTGAGAGGGGCCCCACCCCCCAGGCCTTCCTTCTCCCTTAAGAGCAAGAGATAAGGCCTGCGTCCCTCATCTTGTGGCCAATCGTCCCATGATAACTGGGGGATTGACTTCTTAGCAAAGGATGTTTTGGGGTGGGGAGGTGGGTGCCCAAAACCCTGGAAGCTGCCCGGTTCCTCGTCTACCCAGGGATCGCTTTGCATTCCCGGCTTGCAGCCCTCCTCTCTGCTGTGTGATCTGCCCCTTGAGCAGCTGCCCCCTCCCTGGCACAGAGGCCAGGTCTCGACTTGAGCAGAGTCAGAGATTTAAAAGGCAGCCTTGTTGATGTTTATCCTGCATGCTCCAGTTGCCCTGAGGAGCCGGGCGGAGGGCCGGGCGCGGCTGCCAGTCCCCTTTGTTGCTGTGTTCACTAAGAGACGCTTCCCTAGAAAAAGGCCCCAAATCCCCACTCGGCTTGTTTGGGCACTTACTGTCTCTTAGGGTCTAATTGGCAGCCTTTTCATCCTTGGCTTGGCAATGTTGAGATGTGTGGACTTCAACTCCCAGCATTCCCTGGCCCAACCCAGCCCCCCAAGCAGGAGGCTCTGAGGACATTTGGGGGGCCTGGCCCAGCCATCTCCCCTCAGTCCTTTCTGGACGTTTCCATCTTGGAGAGGTCAGGGAAAGGCTTTTCTCTCGTGGTGCAGAGCCAGGAAAGGAGACAATGGCCCACAACTGTCCTCAAACACAGACCCAGTTTGGCCCAAAAGCTGGCAAGGCCCCAGAGGGTCGCTGACACCCCACCCCCACCCCTAAAGTTCCATGCCTGCTTTTCAGGCACATTGCAAGTGTTCACCTCACAGGCAGCTGAATGCGGGACAGAGCCAAGGGCCAGGAAGGGGGAGGGGAGGCAGTTCTTCTGGCCCTGCCCTGGAGGGGAGGGGGTGCAAAAGAGGTCCATGTCCCAGCCAAGGCAACTCAAGGGCACCGCCTGCTGGCCACCACCTTGCCTGCACCCTTCACTTCTGGCTGCTCCCCAAATCCCACTCCAAACCACCCCCACCCCCGGCCTCTCTTCTTCCTATGGACCCTCTGGAGACTTCACAGGACAGGAGAGCAGAGAATTATTTCCAACAATCCAAACTGACCCCCCCCCGCCAAAGGAAGGAGAGCTCAGAGGAACAACCCCTAAACCCATGAGGGGGGGGTTGCCCTGGGGCTGCCAAGGCAGGCAAATGGGGAGACACTGTCCACCAGAAACAGACCAGGTTGAGGTGATTGTAACTGTCATAGCCTGTCGTGGGAACAGGGCCAACAATGGGGCATCATGGGCGCACAGCAGTCATGGGGATGCAGCTGGGGCATCTGGATCGTTTGTCAAGCCCCCCCCCAAGAGATCAGCCAAGAGCCTTTCCAAATGAGGTATCTTTATTGCACACTCCTCCTCTCTTTCTCTCTCTCCTCTTCCGCAAAGGGGTGATGCAGGCAGCAGCAGAGGGGGGCAGCTGGGGGGGGCCCACAGCACCCCATGTGAAAAGTGGAGCTGCATTTACAGACTGGCCAGAGCACAGCGACAACCCATAGGGACACACATCCAGGGTTCCTCCTTGCACTCGGGGGCCCTCTCTCCCCTGAGATCCCCTCCCTGCATCAGGGCATTCCAGCCCAGCAGTGGCAGCATCCGCAGGCAGGTGGGTTGGCCAAAGGAGGGACGGGCCTTGCCAGTCAGGTTCCCACGGCAACGTCTTCCATCCATCACGTGGGGCTGTCAGTCCCTGTCCCAGAAGAGGCTCCTTCCTTCTGAGCAGAAGCTGCGGGGGGGGGGGCTGGGGTTACTCACAGGAAAACCCTCCCTCCCAAGCAGAGCCCCACATCTCCAGGTGCCTCCCGCCCTTTTCCCCAAGCTACCGTCCACTGCTTTGCCCTCCTTTTCCTGCTCCTTTCCCAGCTCTGCTACAGCCTTTGTGAGCCCCAATTGTGAAGCGGCCCCCAAAAGCCGAAGGACCCTCAAGGGGGCAGCAGCCTCTGCTCACCGGCAGACTTTCCTGGCCAGCCACCATCAGCCAAGCCCCTCTGGACAACAGTCCATAGTGCTTCCAAAGCTGGGTCTGCCCCACAGCTAGCTGGGCTAGCCATTCCCAGGGAAAGACCCTCCCGGGGGCTGCGAGCAGACAACTCCAGCACCCAAGCATACTGGGGCATCCCCACAGCACCCCTGTTCAAAGGAGCCCCTCCCCCTCTTACCCCGCTGGTGCGCCTCCTTGGCTCTGGCCCGCTCCTTGGCGTCAAAATACCAGACTGTGATGGCATACCTGGGCAGGTGGCAGAAAGCGGGTCAAGAGGCAGCTGGGACTGGGAGCGGGGTTGAGAGAGCTGACTGACTGACTGATCTAATGGGGAGAGTCTCTCTGGGTAGCAATCTATGTGTAGAGCACAAGAATACTCCCCACATCGGTTCTTCTTAGCATCTTCCCCACATGACTGACCTGAGGAGTAGGGCAGCCCCCCCCAGAAGAACTGCTCCCCCCACCTCAGCCTTTCTCAGCAGCAGCCCAGAAGCCTTTGGCTACAGCCTCCCTGGGGGAAGGGGAGGGGTCTTCTGTTCCAGCCCAGGGACCCCGGTCTGGCTTGGCATCCCAGTCCTCCAGCCTCTTGGAGGGTGCTGCCACTGGATTTCCCTGCCTCTTTCCTGGGGGACAGCCGGCTTTGAAGCCTTCCTCCCTACGGGGCAGGGGCTCCATCCATTGCCAACACGTCATTCTGCATGTCTGGGGGAGAAACAGCTCATTTGCAGGCCCGGGGTGGCTCTTGCCCAGCCCCTTCCCTCTGGCTGGCCCCCATCACCTGGTAGCATAGGCTGGCTTCACTTGGTGTGGGTTGCGCTGGTCGGACCAGAAGATCAGCAGCCGGTCAAAGATGGGATCGATGTTGGCCACGACCGGGTGGCCCTCTGGGAAGATCTGCAGGAGGCCCCCGTGCACCTGGGGAGTGGGGGACCAAGGAGGACCCTTCAGGCTGGCCATGGATGCCGGGGGCATCAGAAGGGCAGCCCCTCGTCCTGGGCCTGGCTGACACCTGATCTTGCCACCATAAAAAGGCCTCTATCCGAGACCCCAGGCCTCCACCCCCAAGCTTCCCTCAAGGGGAGCCCAACTGCTCTTTGCAGCCTTCTAGAAACCATCGAAACTTCCCCTTTGAGGGCGCTTCAAACTTCCTGCTTTTCAAGACTGGGGATTTCACTTGAGGCTGCTCCTTTCTCCACATTCTCCCTGACACAGCAGCTGAGCCTCAGTCACGATTCTCACTGCTCTGAGCTGCCTCAGAAGGCAAGGAAGAAACACTTGAAGCCCACAAAAACCCAGGAGTTGCAGCCTTGCCCCCTCCTCACACGCCCCACCCGCCACCACCTACCTTGCTCTCCCACTTCCGGTTTAGGTAATAGATGCAGGTGACACAGCGCCCGTCTCCGTGGGGGTTGTCCACATGCCGCACGTAGCCCAGGCCATTGCCAGGGTAACAGGCCACCATGGCCTGGGAGGCAGGAGGAGAGGAGGGGAAGGGAAGGGATGAGCAGCTGGCAAATCCACTAGGGCTGCCCCCAGAAGCCCCATCCACCTCCAGCCAGCCAAGGCACAAATAACCCGGGATAACTCATAGCCAAGGACCACCCTGGCAAGGCACTTCCCAGCATTCCAAAACAGGCGTGGGCAAAGGGAGGTAAATGCCAGGGGATGGACTCTTCTGCCACCATCAAACAGGTGCCAAGGCCAAATCCTGCAGCCTTGCTGTTGTCAGAGCTGTTTGACTCACATACCCTCACTGCAGGCACCCCAGACACAGGAGGCAAGGCCAGGCAAGATGCTCTCCTTTGACAGGGAAGCCCCCCACCCACCCACAGAGATTCCCTTGCCTAACCAGAGAGTTTTCTCCTTTAAATCCAAGGTGGACAAAAGCTGGACTCAGCATATGCTCAGAGGCAAAATTATTTGCAGGAGCTATTTGCAAGTGCCCCCATCATGACTTATTCATCTGAACACTGGCAGTGGGAGGGGAGGGAAAGCCCCACTGTGAGCGGGATGCAGGCGGCAGCCCCCACGCAAGGCATCTGCCCTCCCTGCCCACCAAGCCCACCTCTTCCTTGGGCAGCCGACCCTCCTAGCCAGTGGCGCTGCAGCAGGGACCCTCTCCTCACACAGGGCTGGAGCAGCCTGTTCTCAGGAACACTGAGGACATCCAGTCCCGGTGAGGCCGGACCTGGTTCCTCCCAGCTGGGCTGCTGCCATCCACGTGGTGGATGTTCCCTGCAGGGTCACTGGAGGACAGAGGGGAGGAGATGCCAACTCAGGGAGCCTTTTGACCAGGCTCCAAAAGGAGGCAAATTCAGGGCTGGTTGCCCGAGGGGGGCCAGCCTCCGAGGCTCCTCTTATCACTTCAGGGATGGGGGCACTTCAGCCAGGGTTCCTCTGGGGCGTAGGCTGGCAAGACTGGCAAAGGGAGGGAGCCTCTTCTGAGTCAGAGAGGGCTGGCAGTCAGAGCCAGTTGACAGGCATCCACACAACATGCCCATGGTCATCCTAAACCTGACCCATGTGCCCCACAGCCCCTCTCACTTCCTCCCCCTTCCTTCAGGGCTCAGCCCAACCACGTGTGTCCAAAGGGGGAGGGGTGGGGTCCGAGATGCTTATTTCCCTTCTTGGCCTAAAATCCACAGCAGAAAAGATCCAGGATGACTGCTCCCATCACCCCATCATCCACAGCTGCCCATCCCTTCCCAGGTAATAAGAGGGCACGCCTGGCTTCCAGTAGATCGAGCCCGGGAAGCAGAGGCCAAGTCAGTCCCAGGAAGAGCCAAAAGCACCGAGGCCTTTTGGGGGAGGGGGGGTCGGTTTCTGTCTTGGGCTGCCTGCCCAGCGCCATCACACACACACACACACACACACACACACACACCAGCTTAAAGTCGACGGCTTTTAGTGTCCTCGGGGGGTGTCGCAGGATCACCGGAGATCAGATCCCCCTCCCCGCGTCTGCCTGAGGGACCGGCTGCCCTGCGGGTGGGGGGCTGAGCCCGGGCAACGGCCCTTTCGGCCGGGCTCCTGCCTGGCGCTCGCTCACCTTCGTCCGGCCGTTGATCTCGTAGCCGCCCAGCTTCCCGGCGCACTGTAGGATGAGCTCGTCCAGGCGGGCCATGAGAACGCCGATGGCTCGGCAGCCGGGCTCCCGGCCCTCCACCCAGGCGACCTGGTCCCCGCGGATGCGACGGGCGGGGCCCGCTCTGCGAAGCACCAGCTGCCCGTCCTGGAACTTGCCGCCGCGGTGCAGCCCCTCCACCTGCGCCAGGATGTGCCCGCCCAGCGCCTCCCCGAGGAAGGCGTCCTTCACGCAGAGGCCGTAGCGGGCCAGGCAGGGCACCACGTAGTCCCGAGCCAGCCGGCCGACGGGCCCGCGCTGGAGGGCGCCCGGCTCTCCCCGCGGCCGCCGCTCGACCGAGCCCTCCGCCTCCGGGCTGGGCCGCTTCGGCTCCCGGGTCACGGCCAGCCAGAGGAGGCCGCGGACGGCCACCCCTTTGCGCTCCGCGCGGCTCGCCGCCGCCTGCCTGCCCTGGCCCGCGAGCAGCCCTACGGCAGGGGCCGCCGGGCGGGAGGCGTCCATCTCAGGGCCAGGCGGCGCTGGGCGCGGGCCGGCAGCATCTTGCGGGCGCCAGAGCGGCCCAGCGAGGCCCCCAGAGGTCGCCGAGTAGCGGGAGGGGCCGGCCCAGTTGCCTGCGGGAGGGAGAAGAGAGGGTGAGCGCGCAACAGCCCCGAGCGGACTCCGCGTTCCCAACCCCTCCCCCCCATCCCCGGGAAGGAACGAAGCCAGCATGGGAAGATGGGGGGGGGGGAGTCAGCACGGGACTGGCGCGCGGAGACCGCCCCTCCCAGCTAGACATTCCCAGGTCAGGCACCCGATCACAGGTCCCATCATCCCCGGCCTGCGGCAGAGGCTGGCGGGACCGCGATCCCACAAACGGCGAAGAGTTGCGGGAGGGCGGCGGGAAAGGTCACTCTCCGGGGCAAAGCGGGTCTCCAAGCGCAGCCACGGCCGAATCCCGGGGAAGCAACTGAGGCGCAACTTGGCCTTTGGCAGCCGAGCTCCACGCGTGGGCGCCTGGCGACTCGGCTGAGGGCTGCCCTCCGCGGGGAGCACCGGGTGGGCCGGCGGTGTTCTCGGCCACCCGCCGCCGGGAAGAGTCGTCACCTTCGTGGCAGCCACGCTCTGCTCGGAAAGGCTCTAGTCCTCAGCGCGCACCAGGCGCTTCTCACCTGCGCTGAAGCCGCCGCTTGTCCTCCTGGGCTCTGGCCAAGCGCCACCCGGGCAGGCTCGCGCGAGCCCCGGGAGCGAGCCGGCCCTGGCCCCGCCACACGGGACCCACGCGAGCCCCTCCGAACGGAGGAAGCGGAAACGGAGCGCGCGGCGGTCGTTCGGGGAGCCGGGGGCGGGATTGCTCTTTCCTGCCGGCGCGGAGCCGGCGCCCGGAGTCGGGCTGCTCCGGGAGCTCCCCGGAGAAGCCAAAGGGAGCTTCTTCTGCAGCGCGGAAAGGCAAAACGCCCGGCCCGGCCTGTTGCTCTCCCGCCTTAGGCACCCCTCCGGCCCCAGAGCGACCCCGCTGCTCGCCGGTTTCTCCCCCGCGGCCGCTCCGGGCAGACCCGGCGCCTCTCTGCAGCCAGTGCAAATCGGGACCCGGGGCGTTGGGGACTCGATCCAGCCAAGCGCTCCCTGAACGCCGCACCTCTCTAGCGTCCCCCAGCGCCCCGTAGGTTTTCGGAGGAGTTGTTCCTCCAGGTTGGACAAAATGTTCCACACACACACACACACACCGGCCAAGGCAAGCAAAAATGGTCAGCTTGGGTCAGCCATCAGAGGCTTCCGCGGCACAGTCGGTGAGCAAACTTTCGCGGGAGGGAGAGAGGGCTCCTGGGTGGTACCGGTATCCATCACCGAAGGCAAAAGAACTGAACCCTTCCTAAGTGGGCACCAGCAAGGAAGCCGCGCAGGCCCACGGATGCCATCCCCATAGAAACCATCCGTTTCCTCCTTTCCAGAAATTGTCTTCATTTCCCAAAAGGCTGGAAAATGAAATCATTGAATGGGGGCGGGAATTCTGGCAGAGGGGTTCTGGTCTGAGATTGCAGGCTCCCCATCCCCTTCCCCCACGTGCTGCAGGCAAACCCAAAGGGGCACCTTCTTCCCGGCTTTCTTTCTAGAGCTCTGCTTGCGTGTGGCAAACCACTGACGCCCTGAGCCCGCCACCCACCCCTGCTTGGGTCCAATTTTTTGGGAATGCCAAAACTAGAGGCTGCTGCCCACCAAGGGTCTCTATGAAGGGCCGACTGCCTAGAGGCCCCTCCCAATGCTACTATCCCAAGTGTTTAGAGGGGGCTTCTTGGAAGGTTCCCAAGCCCACCCATCCAGTTTCGGCCAGTAGAGGTGTTTGTAGTTCTTCCTCTGAATTGAAAAAACACTAGTGGGGGGGGGGTTTCCCATTTTTGGGAGCTCAGCTAAGATGCACCTTCACTTTCAGATCACAGCTGAGTGAGAGCAGTTTGTGGCCAAGAGAGGCTTTTTCCTGGGAAGCTCAGTGGATTCTTGCCACCCACTTGATCTGCAGATTTGGAGGAGATAAGAACTTTCAGAAGAGGTACTCCATGGATTAACTGGGAAACTGGTCTTTTAATTGTTGCTCTTTTTCTGATAACGTTTTCCAATTTGTCTTTTCTGTTTTAATTTCTGTTCAGTTACAGGCAAGAAATGTGATAAAGCATGTAAATCCTGGAGAACTCGAGTAAGGATTCAGTCTGAATTAAGTTAAAGTACTACAGGATCATTCCTTGATATGGTTATTGCATGTATGTTCCGAGTTGATGGCTTCTCGTTACCATGCTGCCTTGTTATTAAAGGGCTATACAATTTGTCTTCAATGAGAATCAGGGATCCTGTGTTTCCTTATCCCTCCCTCTCTATAGTAAAGGACAGGATCAGCTAATGAGAATAAGAGAGTCTTGACAATTCTCCCGTCTTTTGAAAAAATGAAAAATGCCATGAAAAATGCCATTTCTCCCTTGGAGTTCTTTTGCCTCCTGACAGCTGTAAAGCAATTCTTCCCCTATTAGAGCCTCACTTGAGGCAAACCGCAAGGCTTGCTCCTCCGCTCCTCTGAGGGTGACAAATTGGGGATTCAGCTATCTTTGGAAAAATTAAAAAAGGACTCGCACACAAACATGGGCAGGGACATTTGGCAAACAGCTTTATGACAACCAAGCCTACGCTGTACACAAGAGGGAAAGATCAATTGCCCAAGTTAAAGGAGGGAGGGAGCTTTGGCGCTTAGCTTTTTGGGTGGAGAAGCAAGGGAGGATTTTCCGCTCTTCCCAGCTGAACACGGTTCTAAAAGGAGGTTGTAGAAATGATGGCGGAAACAACTCCACCCACCAGAAGGCATGATGGAGATGCAGAAGAATTCTGGGATCTGAAGTCCACAAGGCTTCAAACTGCCAAGGTTGGAGACCCCTGCTCTGGAGAGCAGCTAGAGGGCCCACTGCCCAACGCCTGGCCCGGCTTCACTCTTGACGGGGAAGGGGAGAGCGGTTAGTTGGAGGCCCTGCTGATGAGATTCCCAAAGCAGATCAGCCGTGGTTAGAAACAGTCTATCTTCCCCCACAACCAGTGTTTATTTCGGTCCTACCGGCAGCCTGCCCTACATTTGAGTAGCCTTCGGCCCTTCTGCTGCTTAGTTACCATATATGTATAGCTTCAAAAAGAAAAAAGGCATCACAATTCTGACATTTGTAAAAGAGGAAAAAAACATTTTATGTTCGAGTATCAGTTTCACAGCCTTAAAGTTGGAGGGAATGTTTGCATTTATAGAAAAAATAAAATAAACCAGAAGATTTAAGTTTTAAACTGCGTATAACTGTCAGCTGTTCAAGTCTGGATGGAAGGAACTCCTCCTCCTACAAAGCTTAAGGAATCAAACCAGGAGTGCAGCCGAGTTGGGCAAATGAGAGCAGGGACCCCACCTGCAAAGCGAGCCTGTTTCTGCCCTTGACACAGAAGAATAAATAACAAAGAGAAACATTACACTTAAAAATAAAATCCAAACCGGGTCCCCGTTTCATCTTCCTTTCTTTCTGAGGGCGCAGCAGGAGGGGAAGCGAAACCTTCCCAGCACACAAGCAGGAGCAGAGATTGCTCCATCCTAGCAGAAAAGAGAAGCAGACCCCACCTCCAGGTTCTCACCTTCCCATTATGTGACTATAAAACTGGGGAGGGGAGGGAGAAAGTCCCCAACTCAGAGCACCCCCTCTTCCTGTAAGGGGGCAACCGTCCATGGCCAGAAGTAACTGCTAATAGGAACTGCCAGGTTCTACCTACCTTCCTCAGTAAACCAGGGAGGACTTCTGGCCCAGCAAACTCTTCCAAACCCACCTGGCTTGCTACCATCTGGACCCAGGCCTCATTCTGGATGGCTGGCAAAGCCATGGATCCCTGAGGATCCATGCAAATGTGGATCAACACACAGGGAGGCAGCTCCTGGCCCACTGGAGAAAGGGAGGGGGAGGGAGCCAGGCTCTGTCAGAGGGTTAAGAGAAACTTGTAATTGGGGGGGGAGAGGGTATCCTCTTTCTCAGAGCTGGTGCCTCTCAAGAGATCCCCACCAAACCATCCTCTCCTCTGCAGGACCCAGACAGCAGAGGGACCACGCACAGCAAGCCTGATAGCAGTGGCCACTGGAGTGAAGGACTGGGGGCAATTCCATAACTTGGTGGTTTTTCCCCCTTCTTCTTGTGACAAAATTTAGGGCTGTGCTCTTTGGAAGTCAGGGGTACTTTGTCAACCGTGGGACTTTTGCCTCTCATGCTGGTGCCCAGTCAAAGGCTCTAGAGATACGGACATCTTGCAACACTTAAAGCATGCGGGAATCCAAGCTCACCCAAAGTGGGGGGGATATCCCCACAGCTTCCCACACCAGCACGGAAGCAGAGATTTTTCTGCCAATGCTGTGGCTTCCTTGCTGTGGACTCAGCCCAGGAAAGAGCTCAAAAGAAATTGCCCGAAGGGAGCATTTCTCACTCCATCAACACCGGGCCAAAAAAACCCCTCAAGGACCAACCCAACCTGCCCACTGGCCTGGCCCAGCCACTGCAGCCCCAGGAAAAGAGGGGTGCAGGCAGAGGCCCAGGGCAAGCATAAGAGGCTTGAAAGAGGGAAGGAAGGAAGGAAGAAAAAAAGTAGAGCATCTCGGGAGGGACACGGACACTCCTTCCCAATCAGATGAATCGGCTGCTATTCAGCTGGAGCAGCTACGGAGCACAGAAGGGGCCAAGGCCCCACGCCCTCTAGGGGCGCCCACACCCACACCTTTGGGGGGCAGCAGTGTGCGAGGGGGTGGATGCAGGGGCCTGGCCACAGCCACTCGTGCAAACCTTCTGCTAGGAAATCTGAGAGCGAACGTGCAACCCTTCTTGTCTTAGGACAGGAGGCGATGCAAGGGGAAGGAAGCGGCAGTGGCCGTGGCAGCAACAGCAGGGGGCGCAGTGGGGTCTTCAGCCCAAGAGGCCTGTTGCGTTGGAGAACCAAACAGAAGAAGAGGCTTCATGTAGCCCCGGGCCCAGAGCAGCGGAGTTCCAGCACTGAGGAAAGAGGGGGAGTATGGTGGGGCCCTGCAGAGGCACCAGTTCTTCACACCACCCTCTGGGGGCTGGACTTGTGGCCAAAACCTCCTGACCACGTAGTGGCCACTTTGTTCACCAAAGCTCCCCATTCCACTCGAAGGTGGCTTCTTGCCTGTGGCTCCGATGCATGGAGGTTAAAGCCAGGCCATGGGATGGGGTGGGGGGGGGGCTGAAGGCACTCCCAGTCACCCCTTTTTCTGAAATGGAATTGGAAAAGTGCCCTGCGCACACAGCCCCAGTCCAGCCTCGGGGGCAGGAGGCACAGCAGAAGGAGGGCCCTGAATGACAGAGTCACTGGGGAGCAGCTCCCAGCTCACCTTGCAAGCCGGTGAGGACCTGGGCCTAGCAGGTGCACTGCTGCCTCGCCTGTGCCTGGCTGCTCCGGGGCTGCCGCAGCTGCCGCAAGGACGCATCCCCGTACTGGATACCTGAGCCCATCCTCTCCGGGTCGAGCTCACCTGGTAGGGGAAGAGATAGTCAGGTACCACTGGCTTTGGCCACAGTCCCCCACAACAATTGCTCGGTCCCAGAGTCTCTTTGCCACGTGGGTCAACTTACCCAGAGAGTATTTGGGCAGGTCCTAGGGCCTCTGGCCTTGGCACATCATCCAGAGCTTGAGGGACCCCAATTTCAAGCAGCTCAAAGCCATTTTGACCCTAACCACTAAGCTGAGTCTTTCCGCCTCTGGCCCAGGTGATTGAGGGATTTGTACTACTGCACAACAGTTTCCATTGTTACATGCCACCCAGAGTCCTTCAGGACTCAGATAGTTCATAAATCTGCTAAAAAAAATAAATGGCACACCTGATTCGATTTTATTTAATATGGTCCGTGCACATTTCAGGAAAGCTTCTTCTACGTTCTCTCCAGTCAAGGCACTGGTCTCGAGAAACATCAGCTCTGCAGGGTGAGAAGAAGCCTCAGATTAAGACCGCTGCCATAATGCTTCAATGTCGGTTCTGGACCCAGAAGTGAGCTTGGTTAAAGCAACGGATGGGCGGGAGGAGCCTTCCTACACCCCAGGACAGAAATCCAAACCAAGGGGTACAGAGGGGGGTTATTGGAGATCAAGTTCAGGCCTCCCATGGTTTCCCAAAGCTCCAGACCTCAAGGAGAGACAGATGCTGGGAAAAACAACTCAGCAGTTGACCAGAGATGGCTGCTCCTGCCCAAAGTATCTCAGCAGCAGCTCACCATGGCCAGCTCTCCCTGCTCCTCACTCAGCCCAGTGGCATGACGTGCTTCTAGGGAAAGCAAGACTCCAGGGGCTGAGCTCCCTCCAGCACCCACCCCCACCCCCTGCATTACCATTCTCTTGAGCAAAACGAGAAGCTTCCAAAAAAGTGACTTCCCGGTCAGCATCCAAATCCTTCTTGTTGCCGCATAGAATAATGACAATATTGAGGCTGGCCAGAGTCCGGGCATCGGTTAGCCAATTGGTCAAGGCATTGTAGGTCTCTCTGCTGCAAGATGGAATTGACAGATTGAATGCCAGAAAAAAAAAATGCCTGGGAGACTCAAAGAAGGCTTTGTCCCAAAGAGGGAAAGAAATTTCTGCATGAGCTGCTTCGCTGGCTTCCTCCCCCAAATCCCCCTACTGGCCTACCAGTAACTGACCCCTCCCCACAGCCATTCTGTATGTCAAGGTGCTCCCCTGCACCCTAAATTCCGCTAAGAAACAGCATTGCAGCTTTTCTTCTACAATGAAAATAGTCTGTGAAGAGCCATAGCAGAAACGGCCCCTTCCCAGAAATTCCTATTGCTGAAAAGCAAGAGATGGGGGGGGGTGCAACATGCTCACCTCGTGATGTCATACACCAAAAGTGCCCCAGCTGCACCTCTGTAGTAGCTTCTAGTAACAGACCTAGAGAGGAAGTAAAGAAGGCTTGACACAGCTATGGCAGACTGGGTGTAATGCAAACTATTGAAATGGCACTCGTACATGCTAACTTGAACCTTATTTCTAAGTGTGTTCTTAGATGCTGGATTGTGCAGTTAAAGCCACGAGTATTACTCTGAAATCTTCTGTGAGCTATGGAACATTCTCTAGGCCAACATGTGGGACAGATTTGGATTCAAACTTGCAGACAAAACATTCTTTGTTTCAGAGAAGACTTTGAAAAACTGGAATGGCATCTGAAGCCTTGCACAATTAAGTCTTAATCCGGAAGGAACCTCTCCCTCCACATATGTCCTTGACATCTTTTCAAAAACAGAACTTTAACAACTGAGGTATGAATAGTATCAACCAGAAAATTCAGCAGACGGCTGATCTTGCAAGCTTGGATGAGTCAATACAATCCTTGCAGAACAGGATCTCATGAAAATCTACTTCATCAATATCCTATGACTGCAAATCAAAAACGAGTTACTCCAAACCCTTTAAAAATCCTTCCAGGTGCCCCTTCCCAGTTGGTCTCCCAGTGGCCAGAGGATCCCCCAGAGGGTCCCCCAGGGATGTACCCACTTTCCCCAAAGCAGATCGCTTCTCAACGACTGGGGGGGGGGGGCTTCCCTCGCCAAAACCCCCAGCGACCGCCCCCCCAGCCCCTCAGATGCTGCTGCTGACCTGAACCGCTCCTGCCCAGCCGTGTCCCAGATCTGCAGCTTCACTGTTTTGCCGCCGACGGTCACCACCTTCGACCCGAATTCCACCCCGATGGTGTGGTTGGAGTCCTGCTTAACTGCCGGGCGCCGAGAGGGACAAGAGGGCGGCAGGTCACGCGGGGCAGCCCGGGAACGGCTCAGAGAGCGGCCTGCTGTGGCTCGGCCGCTCGGAGAGGAGCCGGGAGGCGCCGCCTGCAGCCCGAGCCCGCTGGATGGGCCGAGGGGGCTCCGGTCGGACAGACCGCCGAGCCACAGCCGCCCGGGCGAGTCCCCCCCCCCCACCTCCCGGCGACTCACACTTGCTCTCGATGAACTGGTGCAGCAGGCAGGACTTGCCGGTTCCGGCGCTGCCGATCACCAGGAACTTGAAGAGGAAGTCTGCGGGGGAGACAGAGAGACGGGAGGCAGCCCTTGCAGAGCCCCCGCCGCCGCCGCCGCCGCCGCGCCCCCCCTTCGGCCCCGCCGCGGCCCCGCCGCCCACGCACCGTAGGTCTCCGACATGGCGGGCGACGCGTCGGCCCTCGCCCCCTCCTCCGCCTGCCGGCCTCGTCGCGCAATATGGCGGCACCCAGGGAGCCGGCCGAGACTGGCGTCGCGGGGAGATGACGTCAGCGACCGAGCCGACGAGAGCCGTGCCGCCAATCAGAGACGCGCTTCTCGGACGGCGGGTCTAAGGAGGGCAGCGCGGCGGAAGGGAGCCCAGACCGCCCTGCAGCTCCGCGCTCCCGCCTGCCTTTCTTCAGCCGAATCGTTCGAATGCGCTGCTCGGGGGCCCCCGCGAGACATCACGGCTGGCCCTCAGCCAGAAAGGCGCCTGCCTGGGTCCTCCGGGTGAAACCCCCGCGTCCAGCTGGCGCGGAGCTGCCTTTTTTGCACCTGGCCCTAACCCATCCGCTGGGCGCCTCCTCCCTCCCGCCAAGGCCCTCCTCTGCCTTCACGTTTGCTCAGTATCCCAGCCTAAGACGACCCTTCCTTTGCTCTCGCAGTCCCTGTGCACTCGTGTACCCACACGCTCAGGTGGGAGGGTGGTTGGGCCAGGAGATCAGGGACAATGAAGGAGCCGAGGTCAAGCCGCAAAGGGCAAAAAGCACTGACTGCTCTGGCAGCAGGGAGGCACGTGTGTGTACACACAATAACACAATGGGCAGCCTGGTGGAATATTCCCCGGCATCCCAGCCTGTGGTGAGAGACTGGCAAGGCAGCTGGACCCTCCCTGCACCTCACTGAGCCTTTCCCCTCCCCACCAGCTCCTACAAGCCCGCTCTGGGAGGCTGGCAGAAGAGACAAGTTGCTCTTGGCAGGAACACCCTGTGTGCTGTGCCCGGCAGGTGCTCAGGGGCAAGGCACAGTAGGGCACTTCCTCCTCTGAGTCCTGGAGCAGGCAGGGAGAGGCGAGGGTTCAGAGAGCCCAGAGGGCATTTACGGGTACATATGGCCTCCCCACCCCCTCAGACCGTCAGCAAAGCTTGAGACCTCAAGGGTTGAAATCGCAGCAGCTGAACCCTAACACTCCCACCCCCACTTAACACAATACGTGTTCCTTCACATCTCAGCTACCAAGCTGTCAAGAAAGGCCAGCTCATCCTGAATGTCTTCCCTCCCTCTCCTTATCTGGCATTCTTTATCTTGAGCAAGTCAGCGCTGTTGTGTGAGTCACCCTTTCTGGGTTGGGCAGTTTTCAGGACTAGGGGAGAAAGAAGCAGGATGCTCTGAAAGGGCCTGGATTGACAGCAGGTGGCAGGAGGGAGGTTGAACTGCTGCTGAAATATATATGATACTTCCTCTCTCATATCAACAAAGCTTTACTCCAACCCCTGCTCCGGTTAATATTAACCTCACAGGCCCCATTACATCTTGCAAAGCGCACAATGCTGCTCAGGACATAGAGTTAATTTTTCAATGCTTCTGCTATGTGCAGAAAGCTCTTCTTTACTAGCACTGATGATGTTACCTGGTTTGGGTAATGAAACGTCTGCAAGAAAACAAGGGACCTTGTTCTTCTCACAGAATACCTACACTTGTGGGTTCAAGGTGGGGTGTCCCAAATACTCTGTTTAGGGGAAAATACATTTAATCAGGTAATGGTTGCAAAGAAAATGCAGAAAGAAAATATTTAGTGCAGAAAGCCCAGGGAAATGGAAATATCACACCACCTCAAACTTTCTTCCATAAAAATATTTGGGCAGGGTGATCAGCTGGCACTGGGCACTCCTGTCAATCTGTGGGGCTGCAGCGATTACAGTTGGAAGATCAGCAGGATAAAGAGAGACTGGGATTAATAACCCCCAGGCATCCCAAGATAGAGAAGTGGACTAAAAATCAGCAGGCTGTGTCAAAATAAAGGCTCCGAGATTAAGGCCTGGGATTTGCCTATCATATGTAATTTAAAAAACAAAACAAAAATCCAGTTAGCACTGTTCTCTGAAGTGTTTTCTTAACTGTATTTTTTTAAGCATGTCATTTCACTTCTCAAAATCATACTACTGGCTTATGTATTTCTGTTTACAATAAAATCAACTCCTTGGTCAAAACTTTGCACCGTCATTTGGGATGACGATGGCAGGCACTCTGGTTGGTTCTGCCCTTCAAGGACACAGGGCTGTTTTTCCCCGTTTCTGCACTCAGTGAGAGAGAACAGCTTGGATCTGTCCTTCCCTCTGCACTTGGAAAGAACCCTGGTGAGTCCTGTCCTGCACAGGCAGCCCTTGCCCGCTTCAGGCTTTCGTCACAGACGGCAGGCTGGGAAGAGGCATTATGCCTCAGGAGGGGCATAGCCCTGAGCTTCTGGGCCCCCGACTCAGGTGCAGTGCACCAGAATGCACCAGTTCATGAAGGATGCCAGCACCAGGCCCCATCCCTGGGGTGAGGGGGAGGATGCTGTCCCCAGGGCTACCGCACACAAACATATTTGTTCCACCAGTCTTTGGAGAGGGCCCAGATGCAGCTGGGGGGGGCCCTCTGCCCCTTGGGGCCCTCACCAGCCCGCAGCCCCAACACAATAGCGGTGTCAAAGACTTCTTTCAGATTCTGTTGGGTGAGGGCCGAGCACTCCATGTAGCCAGCCATGCCCAGCTTCCTGGCCAGAGACCGGCCAGCAGTAGGAGGCACCGGCTTCTCCTGGCGCCGGGAGAGGGCAATCAGCACCTTGACGTCCTGGCGCAGGTCTGACTGAGTCCCCACCAACAGCACCGGGGCGGAAGGGCAGTGACGACACACCTCCGGGTACCACTTGTCCACAATGTTCCGGAAGGAGGTGGGTGCCACCACGCTGAAGCAGAGCAGGCAGATGTCGGCCTTTGGGCAGCAGGCCTGCCACAAGGCATCAAATTCATCCTGCCAGCAAACCGGGAAGGGCACAGCGTGAGGAGAGACTCACCACTCCCACCTAGAGCTCCCCCCCCTCCATCCAGGGCCCAGCCCTGGCCTTTGCAAATAGATGCTTAGGGCAAACCTGACAGGAAGCCTGGCCAAAGTTCAGTTGGGATGCAACATCAACATCACAGCTTGGACAGGAGGCCCTCCAAGCCCCGCCCCCACCTGGTGATCAGCCTCTTCGGCAGCAGAACTCCAGTTGCTCATTGCATTAATAACGTCATAAATCTTCACTGGGATTTTGAGTGTGCCTGTGTGCGTGTGTGCAGAGTGCCTGAAAAGAAGGTGGAGACCAGCGAAGGGCCCCTATCGCTCCGGAATGGGGCTCTGGGGACCAGGGTGTCTCCCAGGTGGGAGTAAAGCAGAGCGGGACTCAAAGAGCAGGGCTGCCTCCGCTCCGCTGGGGATCCCGCTGGGGCGAGGCTGCTCTCTTGGAGCTGAGCGCCGCTCGCTTCCAAAGGACTCCGAGGAGCCGAAGCCTGTCCGCGGAATCCACTTTTGCGAGAGCCTCGAGCCGAAGGCCGCCGATTCCGGCCGCAAAAACAACGCCGCGCGCGGCAGCCTTAATTCCCGCCTGGAGGGCCGCCCGCCCCGGGGCTCCAGACAAGCCCTTACCTGCCCGGCCGTGTCGCACAGCTGGAGACGGATGGGGGCGCCGTCCACTTGGACCACAGCTGGGGAAACACAACAGGCGCTCCGGTTAGCCGACAGACCGAGGGGGTCCGTCGGCCAGAAGCGGGGGGCGAGCACGCTCCTGGCCGGGCCTCCCCCGGGGGCCTCTGCTCCGGCGCACCCGGGCCCTCCGCCACCCGCCAGCCTGCGCACGCGGCGCCGGCCTAGGGCAGCGCCCTCCCCGTGGCGGATCCGCCGCGACGGAGGTACCGGAGAAGCGGTCGAGGGCCGTGGGCACGTAGCGCGCGGGGAAGCCGTTGGTGCTGTAGCTGAGCGCCAGGCTAGTCTTGCCCACCGCGCCGTCGCCCAGCAACACGCACTCCAAGGCCCGCAGCGGCCGCCACCGGCGGGCTCGGGGACGGTGCGGAGGCACCGGCGGCAACGTCATCGGCGAACCGTCGGAGCGCGGCGGCGACTGCGGCGCTCGGCGGCAGCAGGAAGGCGAGAAGCCTCCTTTGCCTGGCCACGCCCCCTGGCCGCGGGGCGCGGACCTCCAGCACCTGCACCCTGGACCCGGCGGCCTTCAGCGCGAGCGAGGAGAGCCCCGGGCAGGGGCTCCAGGAGGTCCCGGCTTTCTGGCGAATCCCGAGCGGCGGCTTCTTCCCCTCCGCACTGCAAGAACCGGGGGCACCGCGACCTCCCAGAGGGCCCCAAGGAAAGGGGCTCGGCCTCACTGCCCTCCTGCCCGGGAAGAAGTCCAGCTTCCGCGAGCCTCACCCCGGAGGGGGCTTTCTGCTCAACAGGGGCAACTCTGACGAGGTCACCCAGAAAGGACAGGGGAGGAGACACGGGAAAGGCTTCTCTCTGGCTGGGAGCACTCTGCTCATGCTCAGAAGTGAGATCTTACTTGGTGGTCGCTGAATGAGATCCCATAGGTTTTCCCAAGGGAATCGAAAACCATCCCTTTCCGGCTAAGCTTTTTTTATTTTGAGGTTGGGGGCATTTTTCCCTGCTTTTCAGACCTAGCAGGAACACCCCTCTTCTTGGGACTTGGTATCCCTGCAGAAAACATCAGATGGGGGCTGGAAGTCAGCCAGTTGCTCTGCCTTGGCAGATTCCCCAATCCCGCTCCCAGCATGTCCTGCCCCACCCCCACCCGGGGTTGCAGGATCCTGTAAAACTCGTTTGTCAAGGAACACCTCCAGTCCTGGGCAGGGATCCCGAAAGGAAAACAGCAGAGCTGGCAAGAGGCAGGCCAAACTCAGGCCCGGCCAATCCTTGGTCTTGGGAGCAAAAAGCCCAGCCGGCCCTCCTGCCCAGGAAATCTCCAGGCTGGTGTTGTAGGCAGGCAGAGAATTCCAAGGCTGAGCATCTTTTTAGATTTTGGGCAGGAGCTCCAGTGCCACCGGGCAACCCATCGCACAAGCTCCAAGCTGCCGTTCTGCCTGGCCAGTCAGGAAACCGAAGCTGGAAAGAGCTGAGCTCTGGCTGGGGGCCGATGACTCCTCCCTATTCCTACTTGGGGGATAGGAAGGGGGCCCAAGCATTGAGGGCCTTTTCTGCACTTAGCCATGAGAGCCAGAGCAAATTTGTCTTTGACAGAGGAGGGGAGCCAGAAGCTGCATTGCAGAAGCTTCCATTTGGGGAAGCCCCTCGGGCATTGCAGTATCTTCCTGAAATCTTGAGCGGGATACAGCCCAGCCCCGGAAATCTGGGTGGCCCCAGATGTCAGCCTTTTGCAAGGGTCTGGAGCCCTGGCAGTTTCCCAGAGGCTTGAGTCTCTGCTGCTGCTGATTGCTGGGGTTGTTGTAACCTTAGGTGGTATGTTTTCATCCCTGCGTGCAATTGAGAATAAAGACTTGCTATTAAGCAGAAGCTGCAAGGTCCCCTTCCTGCAGGCTGCGGGATTAAGCCCCACCCATCAAGGGTTCAGTTTTGCAAGACTTTGATAGCTCTTGGTCACTGAAGGCCCCCCCCCCTTCTGAATTCAAACGTTTGTCCACTAGGATTCTGAACTTGCAGCCAAGTGCTCAATACCTGCTCTGGCAGTTTTGCAGCAGCATAAAAACCACTCTGGAAAAACAAACCTTTACTCTCAATCAAAAGCGAACGGCGACTCTTTTATGAACTAAGCAGCACTGCAAGACCAACTTGGAAACACAATCAGCCAGGTGGGATCAGGGCCCAAGTTGGGTGCTGCTCCCCTTCCACCCCCATGGGGCAACTCCTGGCTTGGCCTGTGGTGACAGAGCGGGGCAGAAAAAGTTTCAGGGGCTTCCACAGCAACCGCCCCAAGAACCAAGACCCACAAGCCTCTCTGGTCAATAAGATCCAAAGCCAAGGGAAAGAACAAAGAAACACATTTATTGCCCAAAGGAAAAGCTCCAGGTGCGATGTCTGGCCGTCAGACTCTGGGTACAAAGCTTTTGCCAGGAATCGGCTGCTCCCTTTCAGACGCCACACATCCAACGGGCACCCAACTCTGCCTGCCTTTCGTACAACTGCAATTTGTTTCTCTTTCACTCATCCATACACATACACACACACACTTACCTGCACAGGAGACAACATTAGAGAAACAACATAAACAATTTTACAAGCAAAAACTAGAAAAAAAGGCCAACAGTTCAGGAAGTGCCCCCACCTCAGGACAGGGCCTCACTTCTTGGCAAAGGAGATCTTCATAGCATTGTTCTGGGTGATCTTGAATCCTTGGAGGGCATCACGGGCGGCACCGGCCTGCACCTCATTGTCGAATTCAACAAAGGCAATATCATGGCGCCCGGGCACCAACCGCACCTCCTTGAAGCCAGGGAACCTGCAGCAAAGCAAAGTTAGCAGCTCAGGGCTGAATCTGAAAGGTTGGCATCTTGGAAGAGAATGGGGCCGCAGAGTCCCCTCCTCTCTGAGGGAAATGCAAGAGGCCGTGTGCTCAAGGCAGTAAGTCAAAAAAGGATTCTTGCATTAAGAGGCTCTCACGGGCATCAGTGTAGGAAAGGCTGGTGCACACAGTGCGTGGAGTGAAGTCCAACCTTCCACACCAGGCAGTCCGCTGGCAGCCCTGCCCGGTCCTCCCCCAAAGCCCCACCAAAGAGCGGAACTTACTGATTAAAAAGCATGGACAGCATCAACTCATTTGTCTCCTCGGGAAGGTTGGTGAGGAACAGGATGTGGTTAGGAGGATTCTCTGACAGCTGCAGGGGGCAGAAACATCCCACCGTTCTGATCACTTAAGACCCAGGAAGAAAGGGCCCTCGGACCCCCTTATTAAAACGGAAGTAAGACACAGACCCCCAGTGGTTTCTATCCAATTAACCAGCCCCAACCAAGCTGGCCCTGGGTCACTCACCTGCTGCGCTGTAGCCATCTGTCCTGGCAGCATCTGTTGTGGTGGCATCGCTCCTGGGGGGATGGAACCCGGTGCCATGCCAGGTGGTGGCATCATGCCTGGAGGTGGCATGTAAGGGGGCTGCCCTGGCATGTGGTGCATCACACAGGGGCCCTGGTTCATGGGGGGCATGCCCTGAGGAGAAAGCCAGAGATACAAGAGGTTCATGCTATGCCTCCCTCCTGAACCTCAGCAAAGCTAGCCCGGGGCCCCACCCCTCCAAAAGGCACAAAGAGACCCCCATCTCTTGCGGCTGCAATTCAAAAGCCAGCATGAAGCTCCCAAAGAGCCCTGAATCACAAGACCAGGCCAGGGAAGAAAAAATTTCACGCTTCAGAGCCTGCTTGCATTAAAGGTGAAAAAACCCACAATCCCCCCACACTCTGCCAAGAGTCTGGGTTTCATCTTGGACAAGGGCATCCTGAAGGAAAGCAGAGTTGTTTCCCCAGAACCCGCTGGCCCCAGAGTTTCCAGAGGCACTCACCGGCACGGTGCCCTGGACAGAGGGGGCAACTGGGGCAGCTGCTCCTGGCATCTGCTTCTTAACTGCTTGTGCCTCCTGGCCTTTGGGCTTTCTCTTCTCTCTTTTGCGGTCCCGCTCCACAAAAGTGCCCTTCATCTTGGCTATGATGTCAGAATCTGCCTTGGCATACTGGATCCTCTGGGTATGGAAAAGAAGCACCGAGTTACCAGATGCCTGGCCAGCCAACTCCCAAGCTTCACTGGGTCACAATGGCAGAAAAGGCCATCTTGGTCCAACCACATGGGGAGTTCACAGGCACTTGGCTGACTGCAATTAGATCTCCTTTCTTAGTAGAGCCACCTGCCTCCCCCCCTCCTCCCCGCCAAAGCCAAGAACGGTGGCGACTCACCATGGGCTTGTCATAAAAAGGGAACCCCTGCATGGAACGTAAGGCATTGGTGGAGCTGCAAATTTCTTTGAAAATGACGAAGGCCTGGCCTCTCATTTTCAGGTTGCGGGACACCAGAATGTCAAGGATCTGCCCAAACTGGGAGAAAATGGCATATAGAGACTTCTTGAGCTCTGGAGAAAAAGGAAACATTTTAAACTTTTGCTCTATACTCCTGCAGTCAAAACACAAGTTGGTTACTATGTTAAGATAACTCAACTTTGGGACACTTATTGTCCTTCCCCCCCCTACAAGGGGCTCCCCTTGAGGAGCACTCGGAGGCTCCAACTGGTGCAGAGTACGGCCGCGCGGGTGGTTATGAGAGCGACATGGCATTCCCATGTAACACCTCTCCTGCGTGAGCTGCACTGGCTCCCGGTGGTCTTCCAGGTGCGCTTCAAGGTTTTGGTTATCATCTTTAGAGCGCTCCGTGGCTTAGGACCTGGTTATTTACGGGACCGCCTGCTACCACCAATAACCTCCCACCGGCAGGTACGCTCTCATAGAGGGGCTCCTCCGGGTGCCGTCGGCCAAACAATGTCGACTGGCGGCCCTCAGGGGGAGAGCCTTCTTTGTGGGGGCACCTACTATCTGGAATGAGCTCCCCCCGGAGATACGGAGGATCCCGGATCTGCACATCTTCTGTCGCGCTCTCAAGACTTTTTTATTCCATCAAGCCGGCCTGGCCTAAATCTTTCCCCTTTAAAATGTAAATTTTAATTTGTTTTTTAAATTATTGGGTGTTTTAAATTTGTCTCGGCCAAAATTGTTTAATTTGGTTTTATTCTGTTTTTAAATTTTATATTTATGTGTTTTATTTTGTGGCTGTTCACCGCCCTGAGTCCTTCGGGAGTAGGGCGGTATATAAATCCAATAAATGAAATGAAATGAATAAATATTAGGACAAAAATAAGCAAAATTTGCACACAAAGCACAGATGCTGCGATATACGCTAACATACTACAAATACTCTTCCTTTCCAGGAGAATCTAGGAACCCAAAATAGATCAATATGGGAACTGCAGCCCTCCTAAAGTTGCAGCCCTCCCCAACTCACCATCTTTCTTGATTTTCTCATTGAGATTATTGATGTAGATGGTGTGGTTGGACCGGGATTCTGGGACCGCCATAACAACTGCAAAGCTGAGGCTGGCAGGGAATGAAAAGATTCAACCAAAGTAATTAATTTTTGCATTAAGAGATAACACTGAAAAACGAGAAAAAGGTTAATTACAGGGAAGTTGAATTGGAACACTCAGCCAGCCCCAAAGAAATGGCCACCGCCTCCAACACTCCACAGAACGAAAGGAGCCTGTGGTTCCTGGTTACCGAGACCGGGTAGCTGAGAGCGGAAAAGAGACTACTCGGTAAAGCATGAAGTGGATGAGAGGCCACCAGTGCCTTGTTGGGCGGGGCAGGACGGAATGCAAGGAAAGCACCTTCCTCCAAACGGCCGGCTCTGGATCCAATGCCGCTCAAGCCTTTCTCCTCCTCCTCCTCCTCCTCCTCCTCGGAGCGCACCAAACGTTGTCGCATATTGTGTACAATCTACCCGGGATCCACTTTCTTTCCAAGAAACCGCGGCCACCGCTTCCCCTTCCCTCCGCCTTTCCCTTCTAATTCCGCTCGAGCTACGACGGCTGCTATCCGGGATGCTCGGGCTCACGCGCGCGCCTCCCGTCCCGGAGAAGCCAAGGAAGCGGCGGGGGGGGGGGGCCTCGGAAAAACGAAGAGCCCAGTCCGCGCCGCTGCCCTCGACGGGAAGGCCCGCCCAGCGCCTCGCCCCCAGCGACACCCCACGCGCGGATGGCGCCCCGCTCGCCCGATCCCTCACCGATCCTGCGCAGGCCGCGTCAGCTCGCCGACAAGCGATCCCGCCGAACCTTCCTCGCCTCTTCCACTATTGGACGATCGTTTGCCAAATCACCGCTGGGGGATGACGACTTCCTCCTGCTTCGCTAACGTCCAATGGCCGTTATCTTTACCCCACCCCAAATGAGGTCGGGTTAGGAAGCCCTCTTCCGGGATGTAGCCCGCCCATCGTCCCAGCTGCAATGTTCGATTGGTTGATTAATCAAGTCGGGCCAAGTCGACGCGTCACACGCTGGAAAATCCTCACTGACGCAAATAGATGACGCAATCCGACTACCGCCTAACCAACCAATGGCGATTCGGCCGAAGGTCCGTGACCCTTGACCCTCTGGGTTTGCGGCGGCATGGCGGAGGTCGTGCGGAGTTTGGCGGCGGAAAGCCCCCCCCCGCCGCCGCTCCCGCCCCCGCCAGCGCCGCCCCCCCCGCGGGGCGCCGCGTTTCTTCTGGCGACGGCGCAGCAGGCGGGAGGCCTCGGGGACCGCGGCGGCGTGAGGGAGCTCCTGCGGCGGCAGAAGGCTCGGTAGGGCGCCGGTCGCTCTGCGTGTTAACGGAGCCCGGGCGGCGCCTGGCTTCCGCGAGCGCGGCCGCCCTTTAGCCCGCTGCTTCTGGGGCGGCGAGGGCGGGGAGGGCCGCTGGTGCTCGGCGGGGCCTCTGAGGCTGCCTCCCGGCTGCTGTTGCAGGTTCAGCCGGCATCTGACGTGGCTGCTGTTCCTCCGTCCCGTCCCGTCCCTCATCCAGGAGGGCCCGCAGTGAGTATCGTCCGGAGAAGCTGGTGCGGTCTGGCCTGGCCCTCTCCTGTATGATTAGTCCCTCCGGCTGAAGATTAAAGGATGCCGGCCTTCGTACAGCCAAGAGCCTCGGGCTTTCTTCCTCCTGCAGGTGTGGTTTGGTGGCCCTTTGGATGGCCGGTGCTCATCTCTGCCTGTCTTCTGAGGTTCCCCTGGAGAGAATTAGGCAGGTGGCTTTGGCGAGGGGCTACACGGCGCAAGGAGAAATGTTCTCAGGTCAGTAGCTGAGAAAGACAAACAGGCACCCTGCAAATGTGTCAGGGCTCTAGAGCTTCTCTAGGTTGACAGCGGGTGAACCACTGGTTCGGCTGCCCAGTTATGCCAGTTGGGTTGGGGGCTCCTTTGTAATGAGCCCAGCATTCCCCTTGTCACCCCCCTCAGCTGCTGACATGGCCAAGCTGGCCGAGGAGGTCTTCCCCTGTAAAACAGAGCTGCTCTCTGGAGGCCTGCAAGGACGGAACCACGACAGGATTCTTCAACATCTTGGTGCTGGCTTCCCTGTGCTGATACCGTATCCTTCTCTAGGGAAGCTTTTCCTTTCCATTCCCTTCAAGGCTTCTCTGAAGTTTGAATGTTTACTGAGACTTTCAGTGGGTCTCTTGTCAGTGGGGGAAAGAGCGTTTTCACTCAAGGCAGCCGGTGCCATAGGGGAGCTTCCTCTTGAACCAAAGTCTCCAGGCTGGACCTTAATGCCTATCGCAGCTATGACGAGGACTACAACCATGAGCCCTGCCTCAGGAATGGCTACAAGGCTCACTGGGCTGTTGCCTCTGGTATGCTCTGCTGGCTGGCTGTTAAATGTGCACAAGGGGGTGCTGTTGCCACACTGGAATTGTGGGTTGGGGCTCATCTCTGGGTGTCCCAGAGAACAGGTTTGTGCTTTGCTTTGGGGGAGAAATGGGACAGAATGGCATGGCCCGCCCATGTCCCTGGATGGGGATTCTGGGAATCATGGTCCCAGCACAACTGATGGATGACCAAGTTTGGGGTGGGGGGTGCAGATCCTAAGGCATCTGTTGTGGAAGGGAGGTCAGTTGGGAAGGACAGATTTGGCTAAGGACAGGGTTAGATTTCAGTATCAGGACTGGCCGGCGTGAACAGCAGTAAAGACAGCACCCCCCCCCCCCCCAGTTCCACTGAGGGCCCAGAAATCTCTCCCCCCTCCATATCTCATTTCTTTCCCAGGAGCTCTGCTTGGTCTGAAGAGTGACTTCCATCCACCTGCCTGCGAGGAAGACGAGGACATCCCAGGGCTCTTCCATGCCAGCCACACTGCTTCAGCCGTCCCTTTGGAGGCCATCGCCGAGACCTACTTGCTGTCAAAGCAGGGCAAGAGTTGCCGTTACCAGCTGTGGAGCTATGCTCAGATACAGGAGAGCAACGCCCAGCTGACGGGCTTCAGTCCCCGGCGGGCAGCCGATGGAAAGGTGTACATTGTGCCTGCAGGGGGGGTGCAAGAGGGACTGTGTGGACAAGCGGTGTTGCTGCGGCCAAAGGCATGAGGGCACTCTGGTGGCACCAAGTTGCGCTGGAAGGGGGCCGCACCTAGCTTTGCAGAAGCACCACTGGGCTGTTAAAGGGTCTTAGACAAATGCATGGGAACTGCTTACATTTAGCAGTGCCTTTAGATAGGGACATTAGGAGGCAAGAAAGAGAGATGTCCGTCCCCCTCATGCAGAGCTCCAGGACACCTGGACAAGGTTGGGGAGAGACAAGCTTATACTTGAAGCTCATTTATGCCAACCAACCTGGCATTGTGTTTCAGTAGAAGGAAGAATGGAGGAAAGGTAGCTTAAATTTCCTCTCTGCAAAGTGCTTTTTGCCTTTAGAAATTAGAACAGCTTACTGTTTATCTGATTATAAATGAGATCAATTTTGAAACTGTAAGCAGGAGGGAATAGAAATGCTGGTGTGAAAGTCAAGTGACCGCCTGCCTTTTCGCCCTGTGCTGCTGGTGTTAATAAAGGAGTGTGACTCTCCGTGACGCTTTGGGCCTTGGACTGTGCAATGTTTAGAGCCTCACTGGTTGCTTTTCCCTCTCTCTTAGCCCTTTACAGCCGGCACACAAACTTTCCCTTAAAATGCCTGGCTTTTAAAACAGCCTCTCCTTCCTCGTTCTGTGCCAAGCGGCTGCAAGAAATAGTTTGTTTTGGATGCTTTGAAGTTCCCCCCTCCAAGGAGCCAGCAAGGCAAAGGTCATTTTGAATTTGAGATGGTCTTTCCAGATTTTTCTTGGATTAGGGGTCCCTAACCTGTGGGCCCACTCCTGCAAGAGGGCCAATCAGTGCACGCGTATTTGTGCGCACTCACAGCTCCACTCACAGGAGTGTCGCCACATGGGCATTTGCAGCCCTCATTGTGTGAGCATCGTCACAAACATCACAGGCGCTCACTCATGCACGTGCCCCTCCAACCAAATCATCCCCCCTTTCTCCCCTTCCCCCGTTCTGGGCTGCCAACCCAGAAAGGTTGGGGAACTCTGACCTAGAGTGCCAGTCATGGATCACTTGAACATATTTATTTAATCGACCTTACCACTCCAATCAGGCTTGCCATTCTAGGTGTCCTTTTGACTGGTTAATGAAGGGGAACCGATAAAGAAGAACCTTCCTAGGAAAATCCCCCCTTGTATTCCAAGTCATTTGAAGAGTCCTAGTGCAGAGACAGGACATGTCTTATGGTGGCCCAGCATTCGGGTTGGAAGGAAGGTTAAAAGGAACCATTTCCATCATGAAGTTTCTGTACATGTTTACATCCAGCATGTGACATGGAAGTTCTTCAGCTGAGCTTTTTCAAGCATGTAAAGATGCCCAGGAGGGCTTTGTACCATAAAACTCTATGCTTGTGTGTGCTGCTCACATGGAAAAGAGTGGCTCCTTCTGGGGTCCTTTCATCTAGCTGATTTGATTGATGAGTGTTTGAGAAGCGCACCCTCCTCTTTTAAGAAGAAATGTTGACATTGTATTCTTTAAGTCTGTTCCTTCCACTCGTTCAAAAATTGTAGCTTTGCTGCCTTCCCAAAGTGACAGGGAATTCTCTCTATATGGGATTGCAGCTTCTAAGGGACACGTGAGGACCCCAACTCTGGGTCCTCTGGCCATCTGCACTTCCGTAAAGATTGACTGCTGGGCATTCGGAATGCTGCTGCCAGGTTCTCTGGGTAGCTGCAGTCCAGTCCTAGACATTCCTGGGGTTTCTTAGGATATCTGGCTGAAATTAAGTCAAGGGTCACTGGGACTAAGCTGGCAACATGTTGCTCGTCTGGTTATGTCGGGCTTGTGTCCGGTTTTCCCAGCATGCTCTGCATGATTGCCGTGAGGTTTTCCAAGCCCCACAAATATCCATCTTCACGATTGCCTTCCACCCAGGGCAGCCGGTGGGTCAAGGTCTGTTTGTCAGGCAGTGGCACCGTCTTGCCAAAGTCAATCATCCAGACTCTGGCAAGCCCCGTTTTGTCATGCACAAAAAGGAGGGAGCTGCCTACCACCTGGAAACAGAGAAGACTCAGCAAGGGCCATGAAGGTGCCAGACAGATGCCCATCTGGTTGGCGGGAAGATGCCAGAAAGTATATCTTGCTTAGCAGAGTTGGTCCCAGGGACATCTAAACAGGGTTTACTGAACCAGCCAACAGTATCAAGCTAGAAGGATGCCACCAATTGTTAATCCTAACGTGTGCCAACCTAGCCAGAAAAGGCATCCAGGTAATGGGGCAAGGCTGCCCTTCTGGGAGGTTCTCCCCAAACAAAGGCAAAGACGCACCTCATGTGCCTTGAAGAACTCTGACTGATCCAGTGCCGCTCTCACCTCCTGCAGCTGGTCCAGGTAACTGCTCTGTGGAGAAAGGAATGAAGCAGCCACAAGCTGGGCTGGGGATCCTTCCCACTGACCCCCTGTACAGTGAAGAGGCTTGGATTATTCACGGAGACCCATAGCTCATCTTAGAGCTTTATATACCAGAGCAGCAAAGCTGCTGCATCAAGTTCAACTCCAGTGAAGGGCTCTGTTGCTGGGACTGCTGGGCCATCAAAGCCACTACCAGAGCAATGGCGAAGCAGTCCTGCAGCAGATCCCCAGACAGAATGGAACAACTAGAAAATGTTGTTGAGGGCCCTCCTGCCGGGGGTCTCAGTGATGGGAGCACCCCAATCCCCATCTTCCACTGGCCAGAAACTGGATCCTCACCAGAAGGTGTTTGTCCTTGTCCAGGAAGTCCCAAAAGGCCTCCACGACTTGCTCAGGTTGCCGGGTCTTCTTAAAGCTAGTGCTGCAGATGCCACTGGCCCTCTGGGGATGCGGGGGGAGGAAGAGGAGGAGCCTAGTCAGTCTTTATCTAGATCAGAAAACAGACTCCACAGGAAGAGCAGGAGGAAGCTCTGTGGAGTCAGCTCTAGGAGCAAAATCTTGCTGGTCTGCGTGGTGGGTTCCTTCCCACTGCTTATTCCCCAGGGAGAGGCAGCCTGAGCCTCCTTTCCCAGGGCACAAGACATGGTTCTGGCAGGGATCCCCTTGAGTCTCTCCCCAAACAGAGTATCGGATGGCAGGGAGATGGGCCAAGAGAGCCGCCAGGATCCAATGGGCAGAAGGCAACTGAGCTTGGGCAAGGGGAAAGCCCCCTCCCCAATCAACGCTGGGCTTCCCCAGCATCCAAGCAGGAGGCAGCCAGATTTTGGAGTGCTTTGCCTCCCTAATGAGGAGCCCCCCACACACCTTGACGCCCTCGATGCGGAACCCGAGTGAGCTGGTGGAGCTGAGTGATTCTCTCCATTGCATGTAGCGGGGCTTCAGCACACCACGCTGGGCATGCTCCTCCAGCGTGGGAGCAGAAGGGTCCACTTCCATCATCTTATCATACATGTCATGGCGCAGGCAGGGCTGCTGCCTCGCCTTCTCCAGCTCCTCCTCCAGGTATGTCCTGCACAGGGCGGGGAGAAGACGGTGCCCTTGGAGGCGTTTGTGGGGCAAAGCTCTCTGGGAGATGCAAGGAGCCTGCACCCCCACCCCCACCCCACCAAGGGTATCTGTGGCTGAGTCAAGTCCCCCAACTGGGAGCAAAGGAAGGCTCACCTGACGCCCATTTTGCAGTCCATGATGGAAGGATTCTCGAAGCCAGACAGCAGGTCCTCCATCTGGATGTAGGGCTGCCCATCGTGCTCTACCATCCCATAATATGCTGGGACATAGGGCTGCAACGCATCACCTCCCAGGCGCTCCAGGCACTGCTGCTCATTGGAGCAGTGTCTCTTCAAAACATGGCCCAAATCCCCGGCCTTGAAGTTTCCTGAAGAGGAGGAGGAGGATGGAGGAAAGGCTTGGCAGAAATCCCATGAGGGCCTCACCCTCTACAGAAGATGCCCACCCAGCTTCCTCCCAGTGCCAGAACCGTTCTTTACCTGCGTGGCCAGCAAGCTGAACCCAGGGGTAGTGCTTCCGGAAGGAGATCACGCAGGGCGACCACTGCACCAGGCTCTTCAGCTTCTTCCAGGGCTTGTTCTGCAGACAAAGCAGGGCTGCCTGAGGAGACTGCAAAGGTGAGCACGAGAACAGCCGGTCTGATACACAACAGCAACACTGCAGAGGATCACCTGCTGTCACACCTGAGTCGATCTCCCAAAAGAAAATAGCACAAAGTGCCAGGAAAGGCCAAGCCTGATGGGAACCAGGAGTAAAAATGGACTGGAAGGGCTTGGAGCTCATTGGCTGATGAGCCCACTTCACAGGGTTGTCGTAGGACAAAACAGAACCACCATGTTTGCTTCCTATGATTCTTGAAGCAAAAGCAGGATATAGGATGTGTAAATAACAACCCCTTATTATTTTCTCCACGGCAATGAGTTCCAATGTCCATAATACACGATTGTTACTGTCTTGAATTGCCTCTGTTTTCTTCTGAGGTAATTTCAAAAATGTGGAATGAACACCCAAAAACTGAAGGGTCCCAAGAGCAGACCCTCTCGGAGGAACTGGAGCCCCCAAGAGCACCCCATTCCAGTCCTTCCCCCCCCCCACATCCCCACAGCAGCCCCCAAGTAAAACTGGGCCCAGCAGTGGGGAAGATCCTGCTTGGAAGATGGTAGAGATGGTAGAGAGAGATGCCAGAGCTGCAGGAATGGGGGGCGGGGGAGGGGGGATGAATTTTCAAAATAAAACCACAAACATGTTGCTTTTGTTGTATGACAGGGTGCAAATGCCCTCCACAGATCTACAATATCAGGACAGGAAGGGGGTCAGGCAGGAAGACCCTTCTCCTGGCCACGTCCCCATTTGCACCTGGCTGATGAAATCTATGCCCTCAGCTGAAAAAGCCACCAGTTCCCAAACCACAATGGAGAGCAGGAACTGGCTGGTGCAGTAGCCCCACAGCCTCCTCAGGGCTCCTGGGCTCTGGGCGGGAAAAGGGGGGAGGGAGCATCATGAGAACCCGCTCTGGAAAAAAGCCCAATGTGCCCACCTCCCCAACAGGTAAAACCCAACAGGTTTGGCTGCTTAGCACAAGAGAGGCTGCAGGCGGCGGCGGCAGCAAGAATGGCAATGGCAGATGCCATGTTTTCCATCTCTCTCTTGTAAACAGACAAGCTCCGGGGGAGACCAGCCTGCCAGAGCGCACCTGCAGCATGGCTGAAGCCAGAGCCCAGCACCCCCACCCCTTAAGAAGAAGCCCAGGCCGGTCTTGTGCTGACATCCAGCTATTCAGGAGCCCCGATCCCCAGAAGGAGAGAGCAGCCCCTCAACAGAGAGGGGGACACCTGCTTACCCCCAAGGCGAGGGAGCATCACGTCCCCAGCAGAAGCCTGGATGGGGGATAGCCTTGGTAGTACAGGGGTTTAAAGCACCCTGTTATTAAGCTGGTTATTAAGACCAGCTGCCTGCAATTACTGCAGGGTTCGAATCTCGCCAAGGCTCAAGGTTGACTCAGCCTTCCATCCTTTCTAAGGTAGGTGAAATGAGGACCCAGTTTGTGGGGGCAATAAGCTGACTTTGTATAAATATACAAAAGGATGAAGGCTATTGCTGAGCACATTGTAAGCCGCCCTGAGTCTTCGGAGAAGGGCTGCATATAAATCAAATTTAAAAAAAAAAACTGCGGAGAGGGTCTGTGGCTGGAGAGTGGGGAAGTGCCTAGAGGGCCCTTGCGAGGCAGCCCCTTCCTTTCTTCTGCCCAGGATAGAAAGCAATTGACGCCCCGCCCCCTCCGTGCAGCTCTGAGGAAGACCCTCGGAAGGTGGGGGACACTCACCGGAAAGGAGCCCCTGTCCAGCTTCCTCATGACTTCCCCCAGGCCAGGAACGCTGGCTGCTCTCCAGCCCCGGGGTGCACACAGCCAGGGTGTTTATGCGCTGCTGTCCTGGCCACGCCCCTTGGCATGATGCTGATGGCACCCGTGGCCCCTCCCTTTTCCTGGAAGTGGGGAAAGGAAGAGCAGAGTGGAGACAGCAGGTTGCTCAGCAACCTAGGGACGTTGCAAGGAATTTTCCATGACAGGCAAAGTGGAGAGCAAGAGGACCGTCAACAGACAAGAGGACAGTCACAGATGACTCTGCCCTGGAGGCCCCCGACAGTGCACAGGCTCTGCTTAAATCCGAGGAGAGCGATCTGGCCAGACTCACCATGAAACAGATAATGCAGGCACACCTGTTGGCCCTGGCCAAGGGACACATTGGTGTTGTCCCTCACACAGGAGGGCCAGACTGGAACCTGCAAGCTGGGATGAGTGAGAATCACAGCTCCGTTCCTGGGCGCATCTGCAAGGTTCAATCTCCAAGCAGGGCAGGAAAGATGCAGCCTCGACATCTCAGCTGAGGAGCAGGGTGTCCATGCAACGCCTGGCGGACAAGCTTAAAAGGACTGTGTGTGCCGTGCAAGGGGTGGCACTTGAAAGCCCACTCTGCCCTCGGAGGAAAGCACGTGCAGAACCCCCATTGCACTTGGCACTTCGACTCCTCCACTGAGCAAGCAACACAGCGATCCCCACACAAACCAGCTCAGCCATTCGGCCCCCCAGGAAATACCAGCCAGCGATTCAGGACCAGAAGCTCCATTCTTCCAGAACCATCCTCTGGTACCATCAGAGGCCTTTTGTGCAGCTGGCCAGGGACCAGGAGGAACAGCCACCCTCGGCCCTTCCGTAGAGCAAGTACCGTCCCTTCTTTGCCGCTCTAGTGGTAATAAACTCTTCTGTGCTTTGAACTCAGCAAATGCTCCTGACGCATTCTTCTTGAATGTCAGCAGCACCAATGTACCCCTCCCCAAGCTGGGGGGGATGGTATCAAGGAGGTTTGTTTTCCCCAGGGAGCATTCTGTCTGCATCCAAATGCTTGCAAAAGAACCACAGGTGGGAAAGATCACCGTTGATCTACGGTGGCCTTCAAAGAAGCTTGAACTGAAGAAGCTTCTTGGATGGGAAGCGAAACATCTTCAAGTAAACAGAAAGTACAGTTGCCTTTTGAAAAAGCACCTTTGGGACAACCATGACCTGGAGGGCTGAGGATCTCCTTCTCTCACCTCCACCTCTTGGCCTCTGAAGTCTAGGGTCCTTCACAGGACCATGCAAATTCAGCACCACCGCCTCAACCTGTTTGCATCAAGGTTTTCTGGAGAGGTTCCCCCAAATACTCTTTTGCCCGAGGATCCCCGACAACCGAGGCCTCCCTCCTCCTGCTCAAGAGGGTCAGCTGCTGCCAAATCCTGAGACAGCTTCCCTCCAAGCCAGAGCAGCCAGGCACTTTAGAAGAAATTCTATTTTTATGCTTTTGTCATTTTCAATGTGACTAATTCCATTATGTTTTTATTACAGTGAGTGAATTAACTTGTGTAAACACATTCATTAGTACTTCTTTGAACACTGCCCCAGCATCTTCCTATGAAGGGAAATGCAGAAATATCTTAAACAAACATCTTGGTTTACAGAAATAAGCCCTTTTTGCTCTCCTTCAGCCTTCGGGATCTTTCTAAGGGTTTCCATTCAGGAGGCGAAAGGGACCAATTAAGAACCTAAGCCACACTTTAAGGTTCATAAAAAGCATTTAGCCCTTTTTATATTTCAAATGACCATAGAAAGGGGCCTCCTGCCATTCTGGGTCTGCCAGGACGCTTCCCCTCCTTCTGCTTTCCCCCCTTTGCAAAAGCCTGGATGGGCACATGCCCAAAAAGGCAGCCGGAGCTTGGGGGGCCAGTTCAGCCCTCCAGCTTGCATGCGGCAGGCGCACTCAGCTCCACTGACTGGCCAGAAGCACCTGAATCAGCCCAGGGTGATTCATTCCACCGGAAATGAATCCATTGCACTTGGAGCAACTGAAGCAGCTCATCAAGAGGCCAACAGGTGCCTCACAGGTAGAAAAAAGTGCTCTGTATGTTCCAGAAAACAAATGAAGGCAGGGAGAGGTGATTGGAGCAGCTTTTCTCTGAGTCAAAAGAGTACCAGCACGCTGTGGATATTCATTTGAAATAGAACTTTTACCACACTTCACCCCTTCTTACTCTTTATCTTCTCCTCTCAAGATAAGACAGTGTCCTGGGCTCACATGCAAAACCTTCCACATGCCTCTTATTCTCCAGGAAAACATGTGATGGAAGGAGCAGCCCCACACTTGGGACAGGAAAGCTGGAGCTCTATTTACCTGGCTGGGAATTCTGGAAGTCCCCATAATCAACCCCCCATTTGGGGACGAGGATTGAAAAAGCCTCTGATCTCCAAGCCTTTGATCCCATCAAGAATGCCCTGGGCCTTTCCTGGGAGGATCGGAGGGGCCAGGAAGAGATGGGCCCCCTTTCATCACCCCAAAAGAGAGGCAGGAGGCAAGCACCTTTCCCTCTCCTGAAGAGCCCAACCGCTCGCTCATGGAAACCAGGTTTTTAAAAAGCCAGAAAATGTGGCTAAATGGATGAGAAATCACAGAAGATCCATGATTCAGAACAAGAAGCCCCTGTTGATGCTCAGCTCTTGTAAAGTTGGAAATACTTTGCACATCCTGCACTGAGTCAGTGGGACCAGCTGTTGCTCTTGAGTAGGAGTACGCAAAGGGAGGGGGAGGCATGGGGAGACTGTGAAGCAAGGGAAAGACTCCCTTGACTTGTGGCTGGCAGATGTGAGATTTCATTGTGTTTTGTGCCTGTGCAGCACTTAGATCTGGTTCAATCTTTGATCCCTCCAGATGGGAGAGCATGGTCCATCAAGATAGCACCTCGCATTGGGGAAATCTCCTTCTCCTGTGGCAGCAGGATTCCCCGGTTGGTGGCTACTCTTGCTAGGAGTTGATCACCAAGCCAGTTCTACCTGACCTTGAAAGCAGGATCAGACCGCCAGGATACCCACAGGTGGGGCTGGGCAGGAAGCATCCCAGCAAGAGCAGAGGCAAGTTTGTTCCGTGTTGCTCCGGCTATCAAAGAAACTCAGTGCCGAGACCTGAGGGATCCAGAATCCAGTGAGGCTCTGGCTGTAAAATGGAGCCTAGCCAGTTACCCTCATTAGCAGCACCGTTGCCATCTTTGTTGTTTTGCTGCCCGCAATATTTGGCACATGTGACACCACTAACTGCAAGCTGCATTGGCTACCACTGTGAGTCTGTGAGGCGATTCAAGGTCCTTCTCTGTCCCTTTGGAAGTTCCTACATGGCTTGGGGCCACCTTCTTTCCTCTCCGGTGGTTTCTCCCATCTGACCAGGCAGGAGAGGCCTGTTGCGGGTTCCACCAGCCAAGAGGGAAGAGGAGCCTTTTCTGCTGCGGCACCTGCTTGCCGGAGCCTCTCCCTCCAGGGATTTGGTTGGAGCTCACCTTGCTGGCCTCTGAAAGGCCTTGGAGGTCTGGTTCTGGGCCAAGCTGGGGCCAAAGTGTGTGCAGAAGCCCAGCCATGGCTACCTCCAAGGCCTTTTATGACTTCAGCTGCTATGTGCATCGTTTTTAAAATTATTTTAGTAACTGTACTTTATTTTAAATTTTTTCACTGCCCAGAGTCACCTATGAGATCTGGGCAGCCCTATAAGCAGGATAAATCAAGAATAAAGCACAAATCATGGCTGAATGCCCACCACTCAAGAGACAGAACCTCGAGGGCAGCCCCGCACTTCTCCACCCAGCCAGCGGGGTCCGAGGCTGCTTGCACCTCGCCGCCGAGCCGTCCTAACCCCGAGCCAAAGCAGCTGAGCCTCCAACGCCCGGAAGGGGACCCGTCGGCTGGCCCTCCACCCACCGGGCTCCGGGCAGAGGCTTCTGCAGGGCGGCTGCATCCGGGCCGCGCTCGCCAGTCGGGCAGCTCGGGGTCCCCGGCTGGAGCCTCTCTGGCCAAGGCAGCTCCGGCACGGAGGGCTCCGGCTGCGGGGGGCGGGGGGGGGCGATCCTTCTCCTGGGGCAGTCGCCCTCCCCTCGCCCCTCTCGGGGTCCCGGCAGCGCAAGCCTCGGCCCGCGGCGGAGCATCCCCGGCCGCGTCACACCCACACCCCCCGCCTCACCTGCGCGTCCCCGCGCTCGTCCCCTCCGGAGGGCGCTTCTCCCGCGCCGGCGGCCTCCAGGCGCATCGCCCTCCCGCTCCGGCCGCGGGCGAGTGGCCGCCGCGGGCGCGCCCGGCGTCGTCCAACTGGAGGAGGGGCTGGCGGCGTCCCAGGCGATCCCCGACTTCTCCCGGGGAGCGGCGAAGCAGAGCCGGGCGTGGAGAGGCTGCCCCGGTGACTCTGCGACTGCCGGCTCAGGTGGGGCGGAAGGGCCGGGGAGCCTCCGGATGCCCGGACCTCGCCGAGCTCCCTCCCCCAGGCTGCCTTCCCGAAGGCCCGCCCCGCCCAGGCCTTGGCCCAGAGCCCCGTTTCACCCTGGCCGATGGGCTCGCGCGCTGGACTCCGCCACCCACACGTTGCCCGGGCCTTTGAAAGGACCCCCTTTTTGGTTCAGCGCAGAAGCGGCGAGAGGGGCTTCGGGAGGCCCGGAGCAGGTCGGCTTCTTCTGGTGGCTGGTTGCGTGCGGAGTCAGCCAGGGTGACCCACAGCACATCTTCCCCGCCTGATGCCACTGCCTGGATAGCTATTCTGGGGTCAGGGGTGTTTCGTGCTATGCCTCCCCCCCCTCCGCCGCCAACTCTGAGCTAAATGGAGCTTCGTTATGTAGCGTGACATGGCTGTATATTCTGCAATATTGGGACTGTCGATGAGTCAACAGCAGGTCAGAGGAGGAGCCGCTGTGGGACAGAGATGACAGCTGCTCTTTAAAAATTATGATTTAAATCAAATCCACCCTGGACCCTGTCTATGACTCACTTGTCCCAAAGAGCAAACCAAGCCCCCGTTATTTCATTGGTCAAATTTCTTGGCCGCACATCTTACTGCAGGGTAAGTTATGGCACTGTTAGACTGGCACGTTCAGGTTGGTGGGCCTGATCCATTGGCCAAACGTTCCTCAAGGAGAAAGGAAGGGCGAGCCAGTGATTTTTTAGTAAACACACACAAAATAGCCCCAAGAATTATAGTACAGGAGCGTTCTAAAAAAACATATTAAAAACAATGCAATCTCAAATAGCTACAGTAGGCATCCATTGACCTGGCAATTTGTTTTTTTAACTTGAGCTTTTAACAAATCTTTCAGAATTTCTGATGGGCCTGAGAAATAGAGGCTGTAGTCCCACCAGATGAGGTTAAATGGGTTTGGTGTGATTTTGTGTATGTGGGAACCCAGCCAGCCATTATGGGAGCAGACAAAAAAGAATTAATGTACACATTTACAACCAGTTTTAGGATTTTTTTAAAAAATTGTGTAATGATTTCAATGCAGGGTGTTTGGGTTATTTTGTCTGCGTGGTTAGCCTACAACACGTGGGAAATCCAGAGTAATTGCTAAACACCGCACCCCATTACCCTGCTTGGACAAAAAAACTGCGCACCGCCTGCTCACCAAAGCAGTGCAATCAAAGTCAGCCGGAGGCTGTGAGGCCGCTGGTGGCCAAGGAAGCGTGTCGCTTCCTTGCGTTGGTTCCGCTCCCCTGGCTGTGCATTTACAGGAGGAGCGCCGGCTCAGAGTCCGGGAGCGCTTTTCCAACGGATAGTGTTCCAAAGAGGGCCCTGCGGGCTCCGAGCAACGGCTGGGCTCTGTCTCGGCGGCAACAGGATTTCTTTTTTCTTTTTTTTTTTTCATTTTTTTTTTTTATTTTTAAACAAACATAACATAAAACCATCTTCAATTGCAAACAGTGTGTCGGTTACAAGTCTTTTGTGCATCATTCACCAAATTCATAGTTTACAATTTACAATTTACCTAAATTCCCATATCATCAATCTATTATATCTATATATTATTATTCTCATTAATCATTATTTGACTATGGCTATTCCTTCCCTCATTTATTCAAAATATTCTAAGATTTGAGTTAATTTTTATTTTATCATTCATTTCATTCTCTTGAATCTATCCAATGATAATATATTTTTATGTTATATTTCACATAGTTCTACAATTCTTGTATTGTGAAGATCTCTACCATATTTCATTTCCATATTTTTTTTATCTATTGATAAAATAGGTCCCATATCTTATAGTATTGTTTATCTTCTTGTCCTCTAATTTCAAATGTCAATTTGCTGATTTCAGCACATTCCATTATTTTCTTAATAACTTCATCCTGCGTCGGTATTTTCTCATTTTTCCAATTTTTAGCAAACACAATCCTAGCCGCTGTTAATACATTCACAATCAGATATCTCAGCCGTCGGGAAACGAGCGCTAGGACCGCGGGGCAGCCTGCCGTCGGGCGCCAGGCGGGAAAGGCGGGATTGGGCGCGGCCGGAAGTGGCGCACCGGAGGCGGCCACTTCCTACCGGAAGCCATACCGGGGCGATGTGGTGGCGGGGGCGCGCGGCGGGGCGGCCGGTGAGCGGGGCGGGGCGGGCGTTGGTCCGCGGCGGCGCTCCTCTCCTTCCCCGGCCGCGTGGACTCGGGGCGCCGGACGGGCCTGCGCGGCTCTCCCCCGCCTGGGCGGCGCTGCACCGGTCGGCGTGGCTGCGCGGGCTGAGCGCGGAGGAGGTGCGCAGGGCCCGGGAGGCCCGGCCGCGGAAGAGCGCGGGAGCGGCCAAGGCCAGGCCCCAGGTGAGCCCCTTCCCGGGCGGGGCGTCTGCCGGACGGGGCCCCGGTCGAGGCGGCGCCTGACTTGCTTTGTCCGCAGCTGAACGAGCGCGCCCGGGAGCGGAAGGTGCCTGTCACGCGCGTCGGGCGGCTGGCCGCCGTCGGAGGTGAGCGGGGCGGGGGGGGGAGGGAGGGGCGGCTTCTCCCGCGGCTGCTGCTTCCCCTCTGGAGACGGTGGCCGCCGCAGCCTCGAGCTCCCCGGCGCTGCTGAGCCTCCGCCCCGACCCTCCCGCGGATCGTCTGCCGCGATGCCCGGAGGGGGGTTGCGGAAGGCCGTTTGGGGCAGCGAGCCTCCCGACGGAGCCCGGTTCGGGGCTCCCTCCGCCTCCTGCGCTGAGCTGCCTTTGCGGCGATCTGGGTGCCGGCCGCTCCCCTCGCAGGCTGAAGGCCTTGCCCGCTCCTCCCCTTGCAGGACTGGCCGTGGGGCTGGGCTTCGGGGCCTTGGTTGAAGCGGTGAGGAATTCCCTCCGGGGGGACCGAAGCGCCACCGGTAAGAGAGGCCGCCTGGGTCCTCGCTGCTCCTGGGGCTTTGGGGGGGGAGGGGAGAGTGACTCTGATTGGACCAGAGCCTGCAGCAACCCAGTGCCCATGCAGGCCCCCTTTGCGGGGAAAGAGCCCACCCTGGTGAGTTTGGCTCCGCAGTGCTTGCCTCCCCGCAGAGAGCAGCGTTTCAGAAGCCAACGCGGAGCGGATTGTCCACACTCTGTGCAAGATGCGAGGGGCAGCTCTCAAGATCGGCCAGATGTTAAGCATCCAAGGTGGGGATGGGGCTTCTTTGCTCCCTGGAGCAGCTGCATCTCAGCTGGACCAGCCTCCCATTCGCACGTCTCTGACAGATATCTCTCATATGGGATAGGGGGTGGGGTTGCAGCCCAAATTCAGTAGCCAAGCACTGAATGCTTTCTGCTTTCCTGTCGCTCCATATTTAGCAAACTATATTACTTGCCATCTGTTGCAAACTTTGTGGCAGGTGGGTTTTATGGGGACCAGCCCCCCAGTAACCCTCCGCTCTCCCCACAGACAACTACTTCCTCAGCCCCCAGTTGCAGCAGGTCTTTGAGCGTGTCCGGCAAAGTGCAGATTTCATGCCACCCTCGCAGATGATGGTGTGTTGCTGATGTGGAGTCGGGAATGGTGGTGGTCAGTTTTAAGCCCTTGGAAAGTTCCAAGTGGTGGACAGGATGGAGGGCAGTGGCAGCTAGAATCTGGTGGCTTCAGACTCTGCAGAGGAGGGTCTGCCTGGGCAGCCATCGATGTAGCTGTTTGCTGGCTGGTTGACCTTCAAACTCCACCCCACCCCAAAAAAACTCTGCTCTGTGGGATCCTCCCCTTCCAGGGGGTGCTGTCCGAAGAACTGGGCACTGACTGGCGTGAGCGGGTGGCGTCCTTCAATGAAATGCCTTTTGCTGCTGCCTCTGTGGGGCAGGTGCACCTGGGAGTGCTGAAGGATGGGATGGAGGTGGCAATGAAGATCCAGGTAAGGACCGTGGAAAGAGCCCAGGAGGGGAAGAGGTGGGAACCATCGTGGGGTGCCCTGTCCTGCCCCACTTCTAACACCACCTTGACCTCCAACCCTTGTCCTTGCAGTACCCTGGAATTGCCCAGAGCATCCGGAGCGATGTGGACAACCTCCTGTCGGTACTCAGGATGAGCACAATGTTCCCAGCAGGTAAGGGAAAAAGGTGTAGCGTGGGATACATTTCTCGGGCTTCTAACAGGCATGAGCTGAGTCTTGGGAGGAGGAAGAGCTCCCAGAAGCTCAGCTGTGGTCTTGTCCACATCCGTGACCCTAAAAATGTGGCTGCTGGGCTGTGAGCCTCGTGCCCCTGCGAGGAAGGCGCTCGCCATCTGTGAGGAGCCAGAAGGGGGTGGGCACTGGGAAGGGCAGAAGGTGAAGTTGGGCAGCCCTCCGCTCTTCCTTCGCCAGGTCTGTTTGCAGACAACACCCTGCAAGTCCTGCAGAAGGAGCTGGAGAAGGAATGCGACTATGAGCGGGAAGCCGCCAGCACCAAGAGGTTCAGGTAGGCTGTGGCCGGGTGGGAGCCTTTGGGCCAGTGGCCTCGTGACACGCAGTTAACCACTGGCTCTTGCATGGGGTTTCCCCCATATGCTGTCCCTGCTGGCCTCTTGGGCCTCAGAGGCTCATTGGCCAGGAAGGGGCTTGGGGGAAGGGCTCAAGCAGGGGTCCCAACAGGGCTCTCTTTCGCCAGGCAGCTTCTGGAAGGCGACCCTTTCTTTGAGGTGCCAGAGGTGGTGGACGAGCTGTCCACCAAGCGAGTGCTGTCTATGGAGCTGGTGGGGGGAATCCCGCTGGACCAGTGCCAGGAATTGGGCCAGGAGGCTCGCAACGAGGTAAGGGCTGCTGGGCAGGATTTTCATCAGAGCGGCGAAGTCTCCCCTCGTGGACCCTCCTGCCCGTGACCCACCAGCTGCCTCTCTTCCCCCAGATCTGCTCGCAGATCCTACGTCTTTGCCTCCGGGAGCTCTTCGAATTCCGGTTCATGCAGACGGACCCAAACTGGGCAAACTTCTTCTATGACATGGAGAGACGTAAGGTGGGCCTTCCCTCGATTCCAGACGGGCTGTGGGAAGAGGCAGCCCTTCTGTGGGGGGAAGACTGTTGTTGCTGTGGTCCTCAGCACTGCCTTCCTTGCAGGTCACCCTGCTGGACTTCGGAGCTAGCCGGGATTTTCGCAAGGAGTTCACTGACCACTACATTGAGGCAAGTCCCGAGTTTCTGCCCAGGCCAGCCGGGCGATTGTGGCAGCCTCGGGGAGGGAAGCAGGGCAGGCCCCTCCCTGGAGGCCCCCCTTCACCACACCCCCAGGTTCCCTTCTCTCCCTTCATGGAGCAGGTGGGTAAGGAGCCCCACTGTGGGCCGGCTTGCCCCATTGGCACGTTAGGTGCAGGTGCTGGAGGGGGGCCAGGGGAGGAAGGAGAGGAGCAGGGAAGGTCTGAAGGCTGTTCTCTGCGTCCAGGTGGTGAGAGCCGCTGCCGATGGCGACAGAGAGAAAGTGCTTCAGAAATCAAAGGACCTGGGATTCCTGACTGGATTTGAAAGCCAGGCGAGTTGGGCAGTGGGAAGGGAGGCCTGGCTTTAAAAGTGCTTTTGGGGGGCAGAGACGGTAGCAGTTGTTCCCCCTCCATGAGCCAGAGGAGCTCGCTTGCCTGCCTTGCCCCTTTGGGAAGGCAGGGAGGTTGCACCGCTGACTGCAGCTGGCCCCCCTTCCAGGTCTTTGAGGAGGCCCACCTGGACGCAGTGATGCTCCTGGGCACGGTCTTCTCGGGCCCGGGGCCCTTTGACTTCAGCGGCCAGGACACAACCCGCTGCATCCAGGACCTGATCCCCTTGATGCTGAAGCACCGTCTGTGCCCACCCCCAGAGGAGAGCTACTCCCTGCACCGCAAGATGGCTGGTGCCTTCCTCCTCTGTGCCCGTCTCGCTGCCACCGTGCCCTGCCGGGAGATGTTCGAAGAGGCCTACAGCCAGTACACAAGCCGGGAACATGCCGCCCATTTGGCAGTGGAGCAGGGGGAGACCCCTTCTAGGCTGGGGTGAGGGTCTCGGCCCACATCCACTTGGTCACGGCTGCTTTGGCACTCAGGTAGCCCACTGTGTCTGCAGGGTCTTCGGAGAGATTAGCTCTCTGTAAGGAGTGAAGAGAAGGGGGTCGGTCTCCCGTCCCCAGCCTTCCTCCCCCAGGAAATCCTGCTGCTTGGGCTGCAGGGGCCGAAAGCAAAGCCTGCCTTCTCTCTGCTGCATTTCTGTGGGAAGCATAGAGGGCTGCGGGTCTGTCAGTTGCCCCACAGGGAAAAGGAAACTGACTCCTGGGCTCCAAAGGGAAGAGAAAATGGCCGGACCTTTTGTGACTCAGGCTGCACTCAGCTGTCAGTTGCTTGTCCGGGTGTCCCATTACACAGCTCTGGATAAACAACTGCTCTCTCGATGAGTTGGGATATCACTCCCATCATCCCCAGCCAGCACGGACCACATTCTGGAGGAACTCTACAGGAGAGCAGAGCAGGGTGTCCAGGCTGCCCTGCCAGAGGTGCTGATGGCTCCCCTGCAGGAGCACCAGGGGCTGGCTGACCAGGCCCCCAACTCTCAATGGAGGGGGAGGGAAGGAGCCGCCTTGCCTTCGATTACAGCCCTTTCCCTTCCTGCCGGTTTGTCTCTCAATACCTTTTGTGGTGGCTACTTGACCTCTGGGTTTGTGGAAGGCTGGCCAGGAGCCAGAATAAAGACAACTGACCATCTCGGTGGCTGTAGATCAAGTGGGGCTGAGCCACCCCAAGGCTCCTCCACGGGGGGCCCAGCCTTTCTGCGCCTTTCTCCTTTTTTGAGCCCTTGGTTCTGAGTATCACGAAGAGCAGTGAGAAGGGGGGAGAAATCTCTGACATCCCTCCCCAAGGGTTTTAAGCTGAGAGGCAGGTCCAGAGTGGCCCAGGGGAACGTTCCCACACGCCCATGCTGGTGCTGGGAAGGCAGCTGCTCTCTGGGCCTGCAGGGCCTCGGGAGAGGAAGTAGGGGCTGATGGTTGATTGGGGAGGGCCCCCGGCTCCTCTTGGCCTCCCTGCTCTGAACTTTGGGGAGCAACTGTTGCCTGGCAGGGAGGCCCACAGCAGTTGTTCATTTCCCTCCATGCCTTCCCCTACCCAGTCAGCACTAGACTGCCAGCGTGGAAAGCAGATCCCCTGGCATCATCTGGGGTGCTTTCGCCTTCTACGTGGCCAGATCCACTGTTTTGTGTGTCCAGCACTTGGAGGCAGGGGCGGGGGGGGGGGGCCTCTCAGAAGCACGCTTGGGGCCTTGGGAGAGGAGTGGGACTTCTCCAGGTGTTGCCGGGCTCCGTCCTTTTCAGTTCAAGCAGCCAGGTGGCATTTGCCCACTGGGGGCTCTGGCATCATGAAGTCAGCCCAGGGGGAGCCACAGTTTGGACCAGTAAGCTGACTTTGCTGCCTCCGTTTCTGCTGGGCCAGGAGCCGATTGCTACTCTTGCAAAGAGGAAATTGATGCATAGTTTGGTTCTTGCATGAGAGATGGATCTTGCCGTCGGTGTCCATGTTCATTTGCCAAGTTTTGTAACCTTTAAAAAGTCCATTTCAGAACTAAATATAGAATTCAACCCGGTTCCATTTCAATGTCAATTCAGCATAAATCAATTATTTGTTCCTGGAGAAAACTCTTCCGATTGTGTTTTCATCCTGGAAATTGCTTGTGAGGACGAGAAGAGCTTTCTTGGAATGAAGCCTCTGAAGCGCAAAACCCCTTCTGGGAAGTTTTAAGCAACCTGCGCACACACTGGTTAGCACAGCCGTCGCAGCTGTGGCTTCCAGGATCAGCAGTGCAGAGCAAGATTTCTCGGGGGTCCCAAGTTGGTTGGGAGTGATGGCTTATTGCTACATATGCCAGCTGCTTTAACCTGGGTTGTAGGGCCCTGACAAGCCCGGAATGTGGGTGGGGTTTCTGCTCAGGCTTTTTTGGGAAGGCAAGATGGACTTGAAAGTCGACGGGGGATTTTCTGGGGGCAAAAATAGCCTCCTGGGGGGTTTCCGCTCCCTGGAAACTTCCTGCTTATAAGGGGGAGCAGGCTGGCCAAGGGGGGACTGCCCACTATGTTTGAGGAGGCTTGACGGGGGGAGGGGGTGTTGGAGGTGGCATCCCTCTTCCTGGAACCACCCGTGGCTTCCATTGCATGGAATCTGGAAGGGCCTGGCTCACCCCACCCCCACCACTGATCGCTTAATGGGCTGGCAGCAAAGCCCTGCCGCAAACAAGGCAGATCGATGGGGAACACATTGGGGCAAGGCAGGGGTAGATACAGCAGTGAGCATTCTGGCCCCCCTCCAAGTGGCAGGTTTGGGGAGGGGGAGCAATTGGAGCCTTGGCCCTGGCTGCCTCTTCACTTGCTCAGCCTTGGAGGCATCTAAGCCTCTTCTGGGTCAGGCAGCCTTGGGCCTTTCCTGAGGGGGGCTATGTGGCCAGAGGGGCAGAATCTGCCCCTCTCTATCACTGGCCTGAGTGATCCCCCTCCCCAAATTATGAGCACTTTGGTATTCTCTGTACTGGCCCTGTGCACTTCCTGGCATCCAAGAAGTTTAGGGGAGACAGTAGGCAAGGATAAGTGGTGCTGGCAAAGAGGTTGCTTGGCCTAAGTTTAGCTGAGCTTTGTGCACGCTATCTTGATTTGTAACCATGGTTAGCCTTGCAGTGTGCAAATCTTAGCTTATTCAATAAACGACAGTCAAACCATAGCTTGATGGGCAAATCCAGTTTTCACCCTGCCTTGCTCCTTAAAGGAGCCTCACAGATCAAACTGCGCCAAATTGCTGCTTCCAAGGAAGCCGATGGCTGTTTGCTGAGGGTTTGAAGCCAGCATCCATTAACCCTCATGAAGGAAAGGCCATCCTTGACTGCCCAGCCTTCTGAAGCTCCTTAATGGCCGTAAGGTACTTCAAAAGACATTCTGGGCAAAGACTCCATGAAACCTTTGTTGGGCTTTTTCTCTCTGGGCTTTTCACAGCCTGGGCGGGGTCTCCCAGGTGTCTGTTTTGGCCCGTTCAGTGGGCTGGTCTTCTGCACAACTTCAGAGGGAGGTTGCAAGTGGGTGGGTGCGTGGAGAGATTACACAACACATAAAGTGCCAAGACCTCACTATTTTTACTGTTAATTTTCCTCCTGAGTATCTGCTTGGAGCTCCAAGCCTCTCTTTTAAGAAAGCTGAAATGCGTGCTTTTTATGGGAGATGTCTAAGAGCCCTTGCGCTGCACCGCCACATCCCCCTCCCCTCAGCAATTCCTGGAGGCTCTTCCTTTCCAGCCTTTTTTTTTTTTTTTTTTTTGGTAAATATTTTTTATTTATTTTTTCAAATTTAAACATAAAAACATAACTTTCAAGAGCAAAAATCTCGATCCGGTCATAGATGGTTACCATACTTACATTCCTTTCACAAGCTCAATTCACAATTTCATCTTTTATAAATAAACAAAAAAAGGAAAAAAAAGATAAAAAAGAAATTCAAAATTTAAGAAAAAACCAATTTTACCTCAAATTTAACATTTTCATCTATATAAATCCATTATATCTATCCAAAATTAGTTTCAAATTCACTTTCACTCATTTTTACATCTGCATAACAATTCTAAACCTCTTTATTCTTCTTTACCTTATATCTTATACAAGTCATGTCAAAATATTTTTTACAATATTCTAACCTCTTGTTAAGTGTTTACCTTACAATTTTATCACCATTTATTCTTAGTTTCAATTCAATACCACTCCATTTTTATTATATTTTATAAAACAACATTTTATCTAATTTTAATCCTTTGACCCTTATCCTCAAATCAGTTTACCTTAGTTTTTTTTTTCTCCCAGTTTACATATTACACAGATTTCTCTCAAAGGCATATTTTATTTACTCCAATTTCTAATATATTTTCCACTATATCTTCCTCTAATATTTAACTATGTTCCAGCTTGTTCTATTTGATTAATTCTCAGCTTGATCCCCTCCAAAACACCAACTATTTAGTTGATTTTAGAATAGTTCCTCAATCTCCTCCAACTCTCCTCCAATTTGTTTGGCTGTTTCCAGTATTTTATGGGCTGATTTCCAGCATAGTCTCCTCCTTGACTCCCTCCATTGTTTGGCTGATTACCAGCATAGTCTCCTCCAATTCTCCTCCTATTTGTTTGGCTGTTTCCAGCATTTTGAATTAATTTCCAACGTATTTCCACCGAGTCTCAAACTCTTATCTAGTTGGTATCCATCCCACACATTTTAACTGTAATATAATTATCTGTTTTATATCATTTTTCCATCCTGCTCTTTCAGTTTAAATCTCAGTATATTTCATAATAGTCATCGTTTCCAACTTGTATTACCTTAATTCAAGACTAATCACTAGCATCTGTGTATCTTGTATTTTGTTCAATCAATTCTTATTCATCAGTTTAACAGCTGAAATGCGTGCTTTTTATGGGAGATGTCTAAGAGCCCTTGCGCTGCACCGCCACATCCCCCTCCCCTCAGCAATTCCTGGAGGCTCTTCCTTTCCAGCTTGTTAATCCTCCCCGTTCCCCGCTGGGTAAGCCTGACTCCTGGATTTAGGATTTAAGAAACAGGCTGTTCTGTGGGATGCCCACTCTCTAAACTTTTCATCTGTTATTGTTCCTATAGCACCATTTCTGCTAGAGGCATTTTCCAAAGGCAGCAACTCATACATCTTGCCCAAAAGAGGGCCTACAAAGGGTTTTTTTCTTTCTGCCCAATACATCATGGCTCTGAGAGGATATAAATATAAAAAATACAATACAAATCCAGAGTTTTGAACAATAAGAGATACCATTCTTGCAAACCGTTCATCCCTGAAAGGGTCCTGTTGCCCAGTGTAGCCCAAGGAAGCTTTTCTGGGCCCCTTTGAATAAGGCCAGAGAGGGGGCATAATGCCAGGACGCCTCCAGGTAACCATTACAGCTTATGGAGCTGTTGTGTGATGCAGGCAGGCCTGGGAATGCCAGGGCAACAACATTCTGAACCAGCTGAAGTGCCCTTCAAAACAGAAGACATTACAACTGTCTAAATGCAAGGTGATTGATGTATGAGTGACAGTCTGAAGGATCACCCGCTCCAGCAATGGGTGCATTCAGTGAATGGATGGCACAGCTGCCTCTCAAGAAGGAGCTGCCGGTCTATGAAGGTCCCCAGAGTGGGAAGTACCCAGTTCAGAACAAAAGTTGGTCCAACACCCACAGCTAATCATCTCCGAATTGAGCTCAAGTTCCCTCCCAGCCTCCAAGCCCTGGGACAAGACCTTGGTGGCAGCAGATATCCTGGCTCAAGAGGTACAATTGGGCAGCATCAATACCCCACCTCTGACAGAACTGGGTTTTGATCATCCATGCCTTCCAGGGTGCCCTGAAGCGGTAGCCGCCTCAACTTCCTTCTCCGGGAAAGGAGGAGTGGGGATGGGGATGGGGTGAGTTATTTTGGTCAGATCTGCAGGTAGAATGGCCCCCTTGAAAGCAACTCCTTCCTTCTAGGGACTGAGGAACGAGTCGGAGTTTCTTCTGAAGTCCAGTGGGCAAGGATGTCCTCCACAATTTCTCTCTGGCAGTGATCTGGCCTTGTGGGCTCCACCTGGCTTCCAGGTTCAATTCCTGGTTCCTTTGCCCTTTTGTGTTTTCACCAGCTGGTTTTCCCAGCATGTTTCCTCCTGACCCAATGCCCGCTGGGAGGGGAGCGCTTCCTTGCTGGCGAAGCAGAGCCCCTGCCCCAAGGTTAGAGAAGGAGGTACTTTCTGGGTCCTCCTTGAAGCCCCTTGGAAGCCTGGCTTGCCCTGCCTTCTGGTTTTCCTTGTAGAGGCGGCCCGGCTCCTCCCTGCCCAGCCCATCAGGCGCTGCCAGCTGGATTTCATCGAAGCCTCCTTTCCCGGAAAAGAAATCACCACGGGGGGTGGGATTTTTCCACTGCAAGGGTGTATGAAAGGGGAGAGTTGTTAACCGTTGCTCTCCTCTGTGCTCTGAGAACGGAGGGAGCCCTAGATCCCTGCCTGGGGGAGGGGAGCAATCTCCTCGACCCATAGATGCAGATCATAAGCGCCCCTGAGATCCCCGAAGTCCCACATCCTGCTCTCCTAGCCCGTCAGCAGCATCTTCCCCAGAGTGGAGACTCCGCTTGTAATACCCAGACTCCGGAGCGCTCCACCCACCCACCGACCCAGCACGTGCTCTGTGCCGGCCCCTTGAACACTCGGGAAGGCGCAGAGGGGGCTCCTGCACGCAGACTGATCCCCTTCCCTCGCCCCAGGACAACGGCGCCTCCCCGCTGCCTCTTCTCGGTAGCGCCGGCTGGCTTTTCCTCCCAGGCGGCAGGATGTCGGTCTATCAGCCGGCCTGGCTATTTCTTGGCTCTCGCAGTTAGATGAGGCAGCATCGTTGGTTCTCGCGGGAAGGAAGAGGAGCGGCAAGCATGTACAAAGTGCCGCCGGCTTCGGAAAGGCGCCGCTTTCTTTCAGGCAGGGAGGCGCCCTCCAACGCCCGGGCACCCACCGACAGCAGGAGCCGGGCCGGGCCGAGGAGCGAGGAGGGGGCGCGGTCTGTCTTGCATCCTCCGGGCCCGGGGCGTGGCCAGGCGGGCTGGAGTCTGTCCTCGAAGGGAGGGAGGGGGAGGCGCGTGCGTGCGGCGGCGGCGGCGGCGGCGGCGGCAGAGACGAAGCGGGGTCCGCGGGCGGACGGAGCAGCAGGGGCGGCATCGGGCCCTTCCTCGCTCGCTCCCCTTGGATGCCGAGCCGGGAGGAGGATCGCCGCTACCACATCCAGGTGAGGACGCTGCCCGCTTGCGGGGACCGCCGGGGAAGGGTCTCTCTCCGCCTTGACGGCCCCCCGAGCCCCGTTCCCCGGCCGCATCCTGTCGGGCGCGAGGGCTCCGAGGCGCGCTTCTCACAGAGAGGAACCCCCGGCCCAGGAGCCCTCCCCGCCCTTCGCTGCCTTCCACAGAGAGCAACCCTTTCCGGGTTGCCCAAAGAGGGTCGCGGGGAGGGGGCAGGGATCGCATCCCGACGCCCCCGCGCCTCCGCCCAGGCGCGCCGGGAAGGACCGGCTTTCCATCCTTGCGAGGCGGGGGCGGCCTATCCGATCCGCCCCCCCCCTCTCGCCCCGCCACACCTCAGGCTGGCCGGGAAGCTCCGGCACTGGCTGCCCCACCCAGCGCTCCGGTTCCGGCGCCCGCCATCCTTCTCCACCCGCACCCGAGGGGGTGCGATGGAGCAACCCCCAGACCCGGCACCTAACTTGCCAAACGGGCTTGCGGGAAACTTTTCGCCCTACCTTCCCTGCCCCCCTTTCTGAGAGGGGCTAGTGAGTTCCCCGCCCGGCTAGCGAGGTTTTGGGGGTGCAGCTTAGGATGCTGCTTTTGCTGCATTACTGGGAATTTCCAGGAACGGCGCTGTGTGTGTATGTGGAAGTTTGCAAGAAATTGGGGGGTGGGTCACAGAGGGCAAAGCCTGAAGATGAGGCTACCAAGCAAGGTCTCTTGAAGTGGGGAGAATCAGGGGAGGAGTCTTCGTTTTCTCTGTTCTGGATGGTTTATGGGAGATGGTTTCTCTCCCGAATTCTTTTGGAGGGGGGGGTGATTTCCTGTCTGAGCCAGTCCCTTGGACCTACTCAGAGAATGGGCTCCATGAATTATGCTGATCTGCACCCTTAATACATTCTGTGATGTGCTTCCCCACAACGACCCTTTTGGAGAGCAGCCTTGACACAGAGAGGCTGGGTGGGCTGCAGGTTTAGCCCCCACCTTCACTGGCCCCCCTATCTCCCAGAGTTTGCATGGTGTGGGCTACCTCCAGCCCCTCCACCTACCAAGCCCCAGTTCTAGGCAAAGGGGCCTGCTCAGCTCCAGGAAGAGAATGGCTCAAGTTTTCCTGGCTTGAGACAAGTCCCCACTTCTCCCTCCATCTCCTCTCCTGGGAAGCTGCTGCCTCCCACAGGACTCAGCCTGCGAACGCCCCATTTGCCTCCCCATGGCCTGGCTGCCTCAGCTATTTTAAGCTGCTTAGGAAGTCTGCCTGGTCTGCTTCCTTCCCTCCAGGAGACTCTTTTCCTGGGTGGGGCTGACAGAAAGCTCCGTCGCATGTTCAAACCAGGCTTGGGGGGGGTCTCCCTGGCGGGCTCACTTGTGGTCAGCCTTAGAAGAAATGAGGCTGCGTCAGGGACTGACCAACATCCGGGGTGCAGGATGAATGAGGGCCTTTTCAGGTGAACATTGGGGAACCCCATTTTGGAAAAAAGCCATGGAGAAAGCCAGGTAGCATAGCCCCCCCAACACCCATAATTTCCTGGGAAGGAGGAGGGTGAGTAGATCTAGAGTTCAGGAAGAGGGTCCCAGGCATTGGACGGGGCCACCACTCCAGAAAAACCCTCCCTGTACAAGAAAAGATTCCAGAGCGTTCTTGTGCTGGCCCCAGCAGGGAGATTTGTTCAGATTCCCTTCCCCAGCAAAGCTCTGGTGGTTCCGATGAAGGGCACCTCCCTCCCACGGGGGGCATCTCTTTGGGGGGTACACAGGCAGAGGAGTTGTTTCTCTGTCGTCATCCCCCAAAAGGTGCTGCTCCCATCATCTGTAGTGAGTGGAGGCTGGGGAAAGCTGTTAGAGCTCCAGTTGGGTTGGGATCCATATAGCGGCCAGGGGTGAGGGTCATCCTTGGGGAAGAAATGCTGTCTGCACTCTGCCTATTGCTCAGAGGACACCTGCTCATTGCATATCCTCAGCCTCAGGACCTCCCTGGGCTAGCCCAGGCAGGGAGCTTCTGCACACTGGGATGCCGTCTCTGGGTCTTGGCCTGAGGAGGTGGCAGCCAGAGGGGCCGGCGGCATCTTTGGGATCCTTTTTCATTCCTGACACTGCAGACCTGCCAGGCGGGCTCTCTTGCCAGGAACAGTTTGGCCTGCAATTCCACCATGGAAAGGCCAGTGCATTGGCAGCCCACAGGAACGGGCCCACCTTGGGTCTTCCCAGTCCTCCTGGCATCTCTCGGGCCAAAGGGATGGGCTCCGGCTGGTCTGCCAGGTCCTTCCAGAGTTTTCCCAGAGGGAGCCCGGGTGACCCAAAAGCCTTCCCTGCTGGACAACCTTTTCCCAGCTGCAACTGAGTGAAATCCTGGGAGGGAGAGAAGAACACTGACCAGGAGGCCTGAGTAGGCCAGGACAGGGCCGGCTGGAATGGGGGGGGGGAAGCCCACTATTTCTCTGGAAACCCCCATGCCCTATGTGGGAGACCTGTTGATCTAGGTCACACTTGCGCTCTCCACACTGCCAAAGTTATAACATGATGGGGGTGGGGTTCCAGAGCGAGCCCCAGACAAATGGGGGCGCCCACCCAGGATGGCCTGGAGAAGATTGCATCTTCCCTCGGCTCCTCTTGGGGAAAGCAGCAAGCAATGCTGTGGACTGGCTAAGAGACAAGGAGGCCGGGGGGGGGGGTGCGCCCACCTATTTTTAGTGTTCTCATAACACCCAAAAATGACATGCAGTTTCACACAGACAGCTCTGTGTGTAGCTGGGTAACTAAAGTCCAGCCATCCTGCCCTGTGCCACTACTGCCCTGAGCTGGGCACTACCCTGGGGTTTGCGAAAGGGCTGGAGGGGAGTGATGGAAAGGAGGGCCCGTCTCTCCTGGTGAGGCAGCTTCTGCACATGGACCCCAGCACAAGCAGGTTGGCTCACGGCCTGACAGCTGCACTTGCACACAAGGCCAAGCTCACCTTGTTTCTTTGGGGGGGGGTACTGTCTTGTGCAAGCACCCCCATTTAATCAGTGGGGTTCAATAGTTGACCAAACCTTAAAAACAGAATGACTCAGGAAGCAGGTTGTGCAAATGTAGTCAGCTTTGCATTCGGAGGTGCTGCGCCTGCCTCTCTCAGGGCCTGCCAGCCCCAGAGGGGAGGGAGAGGGAGGGTCTGACTGTTCTGAGGTGTCCACCCCCCCTTGCGCCTGGCCACCTTCTTCCCTGGCCCAGCCAGGAAGCACAACAGAAGCTATCAGGGGCCTGTTTTGATCAGAAGGTGCATAGAGCTTATCCAGCCCCACCCCATCCCACCCTCACATACAAACAGGCTGTTCTCTGGTGCAGGAGGCCATAAGCTCTCCTGGGTGAGGACAAGCAGCAGGCAGGCTGGGGAAAGGGCCCCTCCTGTTTCTCCCTCCTCGAGGCTTGGCCTGCTTTGCAGGCTTTTCTGCACTGCTAAGATGAGCTGCCAAGGGCAGGATTGCCGAAGTTCCCTGACTCCGCTTCCTCCAAGAGATCCCCAGACTCCCTGGATCCTTCTGCCCTGGTCCTGATCACCAGGGAGAATCTCTCTCTCTTTTCTAGGCTGCTCCCTCTCCTGCCCTCCTTCGTTCGCCTGGGAATGAGTCCCATCTGCCCCCCATCAGGGCCTGCAAACCCTTCAGCCGCTTGGGTGTGCCAGGCCGCCAGTGGCCGGGGGGGGCATTCTGGTGGCAGCTGAGAAAACTCTCTTGGCCAAATGTTTGCCTAGCTCCGGTGCAGCTGGTGCGCTCGATGAGGAAGGGGGAGGAGGGCCGGGACACACACAGCTGTTGAGGGCTCCCCTAAGCCATTCAGGGGCAGCTGCTCGCCTGACGTGGGGGCCCCTCCATGTTGCCCTATTGTTCCCACCAGCTCCAGGCAGCTGTTGCGTGGAGAAGCTTGACTTTGTTAAAAGGCCATCTTTAAACAAGACCTCATCCCCCTCCCCACAGACACACATCCCCTAACCATGTCTACGTCTGGGCCCCTTTGTGTGTCTCCCCAGCGTTCCAGGGGCTTCGCTTTGTGGCCATTGTGTGGGGCACACGCTCTGCACAAAAGAGACCGGGCTTGGTCTGCACTGTGGGGCAGAGTCCCTTTAATGGACTGGACCATCTGTGAGCTGAGGGACGCCTGCTGGATTTCGGCAGAAACTTTCCTGTAGACTGGAAGAGTTTGCAAAGGTGAAACGAGGCCGTCCCCTCAGCCCTCGATTACATCTGCCCAGCCAGATTGGCTTTAAGCAGAGTCCAGGGCTCAAGGAAGCCGCATGAGGGGGGCTTTTCGCCCTTCACTGCAGGTTTTAAAGACAGCGACACTGGCAGGGAGCTGTGGGGGAACACAGGGGGGACAGAGGGGGACAGAGATGGGGTTCTACCTGCCCCCCAACATTGGGGTGCCAATGAAGCAGCATGCAAACTAAGGGGCCCCCTTCTGAAGGGGCCAGGATGCCGCCTCTGAGACCGGCCGCTGTTTCCAGGAGACAGGAGAAGGCGGCAGGGGACTGTTCAGCTCTTTGCATCTTTTGCATTATCAGAGCGTGACTGAGAGCCCACCCCACCCCCACCGCATGCAACGGCTCCAAAATGGAATGGGAGAAGACTCTCTGCCTCCCCCACACCTTATTTGATGGGGATGAGGTGTGGTGGTCCAAGCCAAGGCAAGTCTTTCTGGTGGGATCCAGAGATTGAAGTAGGGCTAAAGCAGGAGAAAATAGGGACAAAAAGGGCTGGGGGTTTACGACCCCCCCGCCCCCCGAATGGGCTGGGAGGTGACAGAGGAGAGATCTTGCAATGCCAGAAGCTTCCTTTGGTCCTGAGTTCCCAGGAGGCTGCAGCCCTCTGAGGAGCCTGAGAGGAAAAGGGGGAAAGTCTCCACTCAGCAGGTGAACTCTACTCCCACCTCACCTGGCAAGGGCTGGCTGGGCTGTGCCTCAGGAAGCCAAAGGAGCAGAGCCCAAGGTTAGGCTCTGCCCGTCCCTGGCAGGGGTGCATCCGTGGGGAGCCGATGCCCCGGGGCCCCTTTTCCTGGGAAGAGCATCTTCTATTAGGGCTTAAAGACATCCGGTGGGAGGCCCGGGGGAGGGGGCTGCCCAAGGACCTTAGCCACCAGCTCAGGGTGAACTTGGAGCATCTCCGCCCCTCCCCCCAGCCAAAGAATATGTCCCCATTTCTGACATCCTGATGAGGAAAGGCTGGCTTGGGGTTTCCTGGGCAGTCCAGGGTGATGCTGGTCAGAGGCCGACTGTCCTGGGTGCCGGAAGGAGAGTCTCACTGAAGCCTGGGCCTGCCTGCCAGGGCTCTGCGTGGCTCCTTCCCTGGAGGGCAGCTGGGCTCACCTGCCCTCTCCCACCTCAGGCCCGGCAGGGGTGAGCAATGAACAAACTGCGGCAGAGTCTCCGCCGCAAGAAACCATCCTACGTGCCCGAGGCCAGCCGCCCCCACCAGTGGCAGGCCGATGAAGAGGCGGTGCGTAAGGGGCGCTGCAGTTTCCCGGTGCGGGTGAGTAGCTGCCCCTTTCCTTCTTGGGCTGGCCCCAGCGCCTTTCCACAACCCTATTAAAGCCCTGGCAGTAGCTCCAACCCTTGTGGGAGGGCTGTGGGGGGTAGGGGGCCCCTTTATTTGTCTTGCAGCCCCAGGGCTCTGGTGATTGGGGTTGAGCTGGGTCCCCTTGATTTGTGCTTCGCCCACCAGTGCGGGTGGTCAGATTTGGGCATCCTGGGCAACTCCACGACGTGGCTCCTGCTGCTCTTTCACTTCCATGGCACAAAGATCAGGTCCTGTTTGCTGACTGCATCCCTTCCCTCCCTCCCTCTCTCCCTCCCTGCAGTATCTGGGCTACGTGGAAGTGGAGGAGTCCCGAGGGATGCAGGTGTGCGAAGAGGCAGTGAAGAAGCTGAAAGCGGTGAGGGTCCAGCTGGTGAGGAGGGGGCTGATGCCCAAGGAGAGCTCTGGCCAGACCGGAGGCTGCGCACACATTCCGGGCTCTGAGCAGTGGGAGTCCAGGGGGCTTAAGTCCAGTTTGCAGCTTTCTTCTTTGACTTTTTCTTAATTCGGCCTTTCCTAGTGGGGGGCCCAGATGGCCGCAGGGTCTTATTGGCCATACAGAATCATAGTTGATGCTGGACCCCCTCAGTGCCCAGTGGGACTTCCTGGCCGGATGTGGGGGGGTTGCGTCCAAAAACACCTCTTTGGTCCTTGGGTGACTCATCAGCAACTTTGCACAAAATATTGCCGGGATTTGTCTTCACTCCATCCGTGAAGCCAGTTACTCACCCAGGGATCTGAATTCCCACAACATGTTTGTTAAGGCTGACCTTTGGCAATCTCAGCATGTTGTGTAAGTGCAATGGTTAAGTGTGTCGTGCCATCGCAGTACACTACAAAACAAAGTTGCTCCTTCTAAAACTTTTTAAAATAATTATTGATGAGTTTTAAGGATTATCTTCAAATCACAAGACTCAAAAAGAGCAGGCAGAATTTATGCTTTACTCTGTGAAGCTGCCATTTGTATGAATTCCAGCAGAGGAAGCCGAGGCATTGATTAGTGAAAAATAATTTGATGTACGCAAGCTTTTATATAAAACCATTGTTTTGCAGAGGGGGTGGGCGGGCACCCTTTGGGTGGGGAGGGGCTGCACATCTCGGCCCCTGAATCTCCCAGAAGGCAAAGAGCGTTTTTCCCCTGGGGGGGAGGGATGGAAATGTTTCCACTGCAAACTGCAGTGTTTATAAATAATTTGCCAACAAAAATAGAGAGGCCTGACTAAGAAGGCCTTTTAGTCTTTTGAATAATTTAGCTAATTAATCCGAGGCACAGGTTGCAAGGGGCACTTTGATTGCTTGCTCTTCATCCAGGAGTCTCCTCTCTTCACTTCTACCATCACAAGACACTCCCACCCCCTGGCTTGGACTGGGGGAGCAAGTTTGCAGGCACAAGGCTTGGTGCGATTCATCCATGTGAAGTGAGAATTCCCTGACACAGACCCCATCCACCCAGGAACTGAACATTTGGGCATTTGGCACAAAATTCAGTGGCCCCCACCCCGGTGCCAAGGAAAGCAAAATGACCTGCAGGCTTCTCTTCTGCTCTCCCCCCCCCCCCGCCCCCAGTGGGCCTGTTTCTGCCCAGAGGAGTTTGGAGAAGGAGAGCGCCTGGGGGCAAGAGGGCTTGGGAGGTGGGCCCAGGCCTGCCCTTAGTGGCCCCTGCTGATGTGGTCCTTCTCTGTGGCCTCCACAGAGCGGCCGCAAATCTGTGAAGTCCGTGCTGTGGGTTTCAGCTGATGGGCTGCGCGTGGTGGATGACAAGACCAAGGTAGGCATCTGGCAGTGGGGAAGGGCAGCGTGCCAGTCCGAGGGTGTCTCACCTTCTCAGTGCCCAGAAATTGCTGACCTTGACCACAGCTGGGCTCCAATTAAGTGGGAGGGGCATGGCAGGAGGCCATGCCCCCCTCCCCTCACTTCCTCCCCCCTTGAGCCAAAGCAAAGCAGTTGCTCATGGCAAGGTGGGAGTGGGGGGATGTCCTTCCTGATCTGGGTGCAAGCTACAATGATGAAAGTGTCCAGAGCATGTGCAGACTGCTCCCCCCACCCCAGGACCTGATCGTGGACCAGACCATCGAGAAGGTTTCCTTTTGTGCTCCGGATCGCAATTTTGACAAGGCCTTTTCCTACATTTGCCGGGATGGCACCACCCGGCGCTGGATCTGCCACGGCTTCCTGGCCCTGAAGGACTCGGTGAGTGCTGGGTTTCCTCCCTGCCACAAGGGCTGGACAGTCTGCTTCTCCTCCCGGCCCTCTGCCCCGGAGGAGAAGCTGCCCCTTGCCTAGTGGATGGCCAGGATGCCCTGCAAGCCCCTCGTGGATCTGAGAAGGTCTGGTGGATTGTAGGGCTCTTTCGAAACGCTGACTTGTCAGTCAACAAGGGAAACTGAGGCAGACTGGCCCATTCTGGAGTCACCCTTCTGTCCCTCTCTGGCTCTTTGGTCATCTTTCCAGACCCAGGAAGGGAAGGGCACACCCTGTTTGCCAGATCCTTCCCCACCCCCCATCAGAACCCCATGTTCACTCGTTTTGCCCCTCTATGCCAGGGGGAGCGCTTGAGCCACGCCGTAGGCTGCGCCTTTGCTGCCTGCCTGGAGCGCAAGCAGAAGCGTGAAAAAGAATGTGGGGTGACTGCCTCCTTCGATGCCAGCCGCACCAGCTTTGCCCGGGAGGGTTCCTTCCGACTACCTGGTCCCCCAGCCCCCACCTCCCGCCCCTCTGGAGCACGGCCCCCCCAGGATAAGAAAAAAGGTAGGGGGCACCGGGGCATTCGCGTGAGCTGGCATCCCGGGCTGCAAGCCTTGTGCTGGGGCTGCCCCATTGAAAGATATGGAAAGACCGCTGACTGTGGATGCCGGGTGTCTGTCTAGAGAGGTGGGGACTACTTCGGGGGGCGAGCCAGTCTGATTCTCCTTCTGCTCTACTGCTCCCCTCGGATGTCAGGGAAGGGAGCTGCTCTCTTGTGTTCCCTGAACTCTACAATTGGGGTCTCTTTACTCTCCATGTGCCGGGAACAAGCCGGGATCAAACTGTATTTGTAAGGGTTGACATGATGACTTTCCAAGGAGGACAGAAGCCATTCCGAGAGACTCGGCACCCTGACCTCCCCCTGGGCCAAGCTTTGCTCCCCCGCGGGGGACAAGGAGGGGGGAGGGGCTTGACCGGCTGCTGGGGGCACTCCAATGTACAGCAGGGGCTTTGGGGGAGCAGCACCACAAGAGCCCCGGTTTGTTTCCTCTTTTGCAGTGGAAGCAGCTGCCACCCCCTCAGCCCCAATCCCAGCCCCTGCCCAACCCGGCAGCGCCTCCCCTCCTCAGGGGGCCACTTCCCCAGAGGAGAAGACAGAGGCAGGGGGGGCGCACGCCATCCCGCGCCGCCACGCCCCCCTGGAGCAGCTGGTGCGGCAAGGCTCCTTCCGAGGGTTCCCCACCCTGAGCCAGAACTCCCCCTTCAAGAGGCAGCTCTCCCTCCGCCTCAACGAGCTGCCCTCCACCCTGCAGCGCAAGGGCCATGCAGACAGCAGTGCAGGTGAGGCGGGCTGCCTGCCAGGGGCAGAGGCCATTTCCGGGGCCTGGCACTCGGTGCCAGGGAGGGAGGCAGGAGCTAGTGGCAGGAGGGAGGCCATAGGGGCTGTCCGGTCCAGGGGAGAAAGGGGCAGAAGGAAAACGGGGGGGGGGAGGGAAACAGATGCCCCAAGCAACCAGCTGCATTGAAAGTGGGACTTCTCCCTCCCTCTCTTCTGCCTGTCTTAGAGGCGGAGGCAGCCTCCAGCAGGGACTCGGATGGCATCTCGGCTCTCTGCACTCAGATTGACACTTCGCTCGCCCAGCCAGCTGGAGAACCCCCTGCAACCCTCATGCCTGTGGAAGGGGGCAGCACAGGTACAGCCAGAAGGCCCACTTTCCCTGTGCTGGGGGTGGGTGGGTGAGTGGAACTTTGGAGGCCTGTTTGGGAAGGCCACTGCTTGACCTTTGTATTGCCCTCTTCTCAGGATCCCCTTCCTCATGGAACGACCCCCAGGCCAACTCCCTGTTCCAGCCAGGACACAAGAGGACCCCCTCGGAGGCAGAGCGCTGGCTGGAAGAGGTTGCCAAGGCTGCCAAGGCTCAACAGCACCAGCAGGTGCCCTTGGCCACCCCCCCGCTTCTGCCCAGCTTTCCTCTGAGCTATGAGGCAGCCCCCCTCCCCACAGGCATCTTTGCATCTCCCCACATGCCCCCCACCTATGTGCCTGTGGGCACTGCCTACGTGCCTGCATTGCCCTTCCCTGCCATCCCCAGTGTGCCTGTGGTGGGCATCACGCCCTCCCAAATGGTGACCAATGCCTTCTGCTCTGCCACACAGGGTCCTGTTACAAATTTGGGAGTCAAGGCCAGCCCCTTCCCTCAGGCCCGCCTGGACCCCCCTCGGCTCAAAGCCAATGGGACTGTCTGGCCCTCCGAGCAAAACCCCCCAGGGATTTCTGCCCCCCACCCCGAGCCCCCTGACCCCTTTGAAGCCCAGTGGGCTGCCCTAGAGTCCAAGGCTCCCACTGCTGCCTCCAACCCCTTTTCTGGTGACCGGCAGAAAACCTTTGAAATAGAATTGTGATCCCGATTTTTAAGGTTCCCCCTTAGCACCCCATCTTGCTAGGCCAGCTTGTCTAAATCTTCGGGTGGGGAGAGCTGGCTGGGAGCAGCACTTCAAAAAGCAGCCAGTGGGGACCGGGAGAGCTGCCCCCAAGAGATGTGGGGAGCCACGCAGGAGCTGCTGAAAAACCAGTTCCTCTCCCGCCCAGGCCGAGAACGGGTGGCCAGTTGGAAACCAGGGTAAGCAAGAGGCCTTCCAGGCCTGCCACAACCTCCAGAGAGCAGGGGACAGATGGGGGGGGGGGGGCTCTGCTCTCTACCCCCTCCTTTGTGCAGAAGCAGCACCAGAGTGTCTCCGTCTTTGTCAGTAACAGCGTCCATTTTTCTTTGGGGTGCCCCACTCTGTGCATGGCAGGCCCCTCCTCCCTGGGCAGCTGTCCTCTCCTCTTCCCAAAAGGGGGGGACATATTTGTGGAGCTGCTGGGGAGGCTCTGGGTGCCTCTACTCCCCCCCCCAAAGCTGCCTGTGGTTTGGCCTGAAGCTACGAAGGAGGCTCCTTTCTCTCCAGAGGCGGAGGGACCCTTCATCAGGCTTAGGTTGTGATATGTGGTGCACGTGGGGGACCACAAACAGGATTAGAGTTAGGGTACTACAAACCCTCCCCCAGGAGCAAGAGATTGGATTAATGGGAGATCCATGATCTTTTTGTTCCTGGAGAGGGGGGGCAAAGGGAGGAACTGGCTTTCCTCTCCAAAACTTAATGGGGGGGGGGCTTGGTGGAATGGTTATTGCAGAAGAGGTGCCCCCCTCCTCTCAGTTTTGGCTTGGATGGAGAAAAATTCTTCAGGTTAATCTTGTTTTTACATATTCCCAATGTTGGGTCTGGCAGGGTACTAGTGCTCAAATCGCAGCAGGAGGGGGGGGGGGACAGGACATTCCCGTACATTTCAGGGTGATGCCTGGCCTTGAGAGGCTCCCCTGGCTTCACCTCAGTAATCCAAGCATGGGGAGTGGGAGGTGGGGAAGAATCCCTCCGAGATGTAAAGGCTTGGGAAGAATTTATTTCCTGGAGGACCTCAGGGTCACTGTTCAGGAACAATAAGGCTGAGCGTTTTCCCACAAGGCAGCCCAGGGGTGATCTTGAAGGGGCAGCTGAAGGAGAACTTGGGGGAGGGTGTTCCTTTTCCAGTGGGACAGCCAGCTTCAGGCAGGCTCTTGAAAGCAGCTGCCTGGCTCAAAGGCAGCAGCCCCTCCCACAAGGCTCCTTGGCCTCCTCAGCCCCCCCCCTCCAAAAGCAGAATTGCCCTTGCTTCTCCCCCACCCCCTCACCTTGGGCGAGCAGAGAAGACAGAAGTTGAGGAACAAGGCCTCTCCTGACCAGGCTGCCTGGAGAGTTCCAAAAATGTCGGGGGGGGGGTGTTATTTTTTATCTTATTTTGAAGCTTTTTGTATTAAAGAATCCCACCTATTTGTATTATATAATAAATAACAGAGCCAGTAATATAATATCCCAGTGCAAAGCTTGTATCTCTTATGGAGGGGGGGGGGTTGGAGGGGGCAGAGGTGGGACACCGGGAGCCTCTCAGCACAAGAAACCGATGTGGGGAGGGGCTTCTTGGCTTGGACCCTTTTGCAGCCTCTGCAGTCCTGTCTGGTGAACCAGGAAGGTCAAGCGGTGGTGCCTGCAGACCACACACCCGGGGTTTTGGTGCCGCCATGACCAATTTTCTGGATTGGTGTGCCAGGACATTCTGCTGCCAACTGAGGGTGGCGGCTGGAGTTGCTGCTGCCAATGGTGCCCACAAACGTGGATGGGAGTCTTATCGCACACCCAGCCTGGTATTGGTTTCTCAGGCCTGGCCCCTTCTCCACTTTAGCAACGTGTTACGACCCTCCCGCAGGGCCAGGCGCAACACAGCCGGCGGGGGGCGTCGCCTCTGAACCCGGAGTTTTAGCGCAAATCGAACTCGAGGCAGGCTGGCTGCGGGCGGCAAGGCTTCAAGGCAACGGCCCCGGGACCTCGCTAGGCCGCCTTAAGGGCGCCCCGAGCGCAGAAATCCCGTTTCTCCGCTGAGCGGCGCGGACGAAGGAAGAGCGAAACCGCCAAGCGGAGGAGCGGCCAGGCAGGAGGCGCCCCTTCCGGCGCGAGGCAGCCGGGCGGCCGAACGGCTCTCGGGAGGCGAGGCGCGCCAGTCGCCTTTTGCACAGAGATGCCGGCGGGCGCAGACCTCCGCCTCTCACCGTGCGGGTGTCTGCCCCGCCCCCCAAAACCTGCAGGGCTCTTGTACGAACCTCGCGAGGGGAGGGACCGGCAGCCACCGGGAAGGAGGACGCTTATGCCCAGCGTGGCGGGGGGGGGGGTCGCCGTCCCTCAGCCGGCGGCATTCCTTGAAGGAGTCGGAGGGCGGATTCCTGCTGGTGCCAGGAAGCGGGGCTGCCGGCCAGGCCTTCGCCCGGAAAGCAGGAGGCGGCTTCCCGGTGGCCAAGGCTCTTCTCTGCGCCCACGCAAACGGCGAAGCGGCAGGAGGGGCGCTGCTCTGCCCACCGGCTTGGCCTCGGGGACTAGCGACCGGCGGGGGGGGGGGAGGAGGCTTTGCCCCGGCCCCAACCCTCACCGCGGCTAAGGGCCAAAAGAGGAGTGGTTGAAGTAGCCCCCCCTCCCCGGCAGGTCCTTCGAGGGCGTTTGCGGCTCAGTTGAGTAGAATGCCCCCTCCCCTCCCCCCCCCGGTTCTTCGGCAGGACCAAAAGGGGCCTGAGGAAATGGGGTGGAGGTCGCCGAGCGGGGCAGAAACTGCGGGGCTGCTCGACCTGGAGCGGAAAAGCTCTGCGGCCCCGCTGCCCCTTGACCCCAGATATTTCATTCCTGGAAGCGCTCTGCACATGCTCGGGAGCACCCTATCGGTTCCGTAGCCAGGGACGGTGACTTAGTTTAACTCCTGTAGCCTGCGCCGATTCGACATCCCCGGATTGCGGCCTTGGCGGTCTCTGCTCCGCGCCGAGAGCCCCGCCCGCCCGAGCCGAAGCCGCGCTGCAACCGGCAAGGAAGGGCGGCTTCTTGCAGCAATGCCATTTACAGTGAGATTAATCCCTCTCCCATTTTTTTAATATCTCCTCCCTCCCTCCCTCCCTGTGGAGGTGGGTCTCCCAACTGTCAAACGCATGGCCTTGTGGGAGTTGAAGTCCTCTTGTGACAGTTGCCTGCTTCCCACCCCCAGCGGGTAAAGCGCTTGCAAAGGAAGGAGGGGAAAAATATTAATGCCAAAAAAGTGTCTGCGTGTGTATGTGGAGGAGAGAAGTCCTCTGTAAGACCGAGACTACATTCCCCATGGTGCACCGGGCTCAAAGGAGCTGGACTGTGATTGGCCCCCCTTGCTGCAAGCTGCTCGAGAATGAATAAAATTGTACAGTATATTCCGATGTGAGAGGTAAAGGGGGGGGGGGGCTGGGAAAAAGAAAAAGAAAGAGAGAAAAGAAAGGGGGATCCGTGGCTTCTCCCACCAGCCCAGCCAGGCTGGGTGAGGCATTTTCTCCCGTATCAAAATGGCCACAGCTGTGCACAAGTCTATCAAATGGTGAGTGCCCCACATCTGGGGGGTGGCACGATTCCCCGGCAGGCACGAGGGGCAAGGATGCAAAATGGGGGGAGGGAGAGGACTGGAGTCTCCCTTCCCTCCCCTCGCGCGGCGGGGGCTCAGCCGTTCCGGCAGCTGTTCTTGGCGAAAGGAGGAGGAGGAGGGAGGGGGCAGATGGGGGGGCGAGAGGCTCGGTCTGCCTGGTTGCTGGCAGTACAGATGGGCACGGGGAGGGCACTTGGGGCTGGGAGGCATCTGAGAGAGGCCCCCGCGGGGATGTGACTGCGCGTTCGGCGGATCGGCACCAGCGTGGGCTGGTCTCGGCGTCCTTCCCGGTGTCCCGCGTGGAGGTCTGTAGGCACGCGTGTTGTATGAGGGCCAGCGGTACAGGTGTGCCCGAGGAAACAGGTGCCGGGGGTCTCCCCAACAGGACGCGACGGCGAACCCAAGCAGCAGGCGGCCCGGCTGCCGGGGTGGGGTCCGCTACTGCTCTTTCCCCCATTGTTCGGTGCCGGAGTTGCTCAGCCTTCCCGTGGGAGGAACTGAAGGCATCCCGCACCCCCGGTCACTCCTGGGCCGGGCTAACAGATGGGCAGAGGCCCGCTTGATGTCATGCCCCAGCCGGTGCCTTCGAGCCGAGACGCTGCCTGGCCAGGAACAAAGTGCCCGGATCCCTTCTGGGGTGGGGTCTCTCGGGTTGGTTTCCCAGGGGAGGGGACTCTTCCAGGGGCAAATGGTCTCCTCCTCACCCTTTGGGTCCCGGGCCAGCCGTGGCCATCGCCTCTTCCACTTTGGGACCAGCTCTGTTTTCCCTGGACGGTGGGAGGGAACACGGGGGTCCCATGCCCTGCCACCTCTAGGGGCGCGGGCTCTCTCCACGCTGCAGCGGGCGGTAGCCTTCCCCAGCCCCTGCGGGGAATCCCTGGACCCGCTTTCTCGGCTCCCGGCAGCTTCTGACCCGAGGGCTGCTGTGTGAGCCGCGCCGGGCGGCCGAGGCGTGCTGGCTAAGGGCCGGGCCTTCTCTTGCAGCCTGGGCGAGGATTTCTACCGAGAAGCCATCGAGCACTGCCGTAGTTACAACGCCCGCCTGTGCGCCGAGCGCAGCATGCGCCTGCCGTTCCTGGACTCGCAGACAGGGGTCGCTCAGAACAACTGCTACATCTGGATGGAGAAGACCCACCGGGGCCCAGGTGCGGACATGCCCGCTGGGCACTGTACGTAATGCTGACCCTCCCCCAGGGGCCACAAGAGCCGAGTGCCTAGCTGGGGGGAGGAGAGAGAAGCACAAATTGACTTCATGAGGACTAGGAGCCTGAAACTGATGTGCAGAGAGGCCCGTAGGTGGGCATCAGTTCTCCTTCCTAAGTTCCGTGGGCATCAGGATGGGCTGAGTTCAATGGTGGAATAAGAGCAGAGAGAAATGCAGCCTGCCTTTAAAGGACTCCCCTCATGCCAAACACCATGCCAGGAGGCATGGCAATCTATTTGCCCTTCAGCTTCCCCCCAGATGCCATGAGGCTGCTCCACTTCAGGGGCCTGGCAGAGTTGAAACTCCTCTGCCAACCTTCAGATGCCAGGGGAGGGAGGCTTGCCCTCCCTACTTTCCTGCCAAGTTCAGGAAAGATTGTGGGCGTCTCTCCTGCAGGCCTGGCACCCGGTCAGATCTATACCTACCCAGCTCGCTGCTGGCGGAAGAGACGGCGGTTGAACATCCTGGAGGACCCACGGCTGCGGCCCTGTGAGTTCAAGATTGGTAAGGAGCTGGGGGGCTGGGGGGGCGGAGAGTGTTGCCCTGGGCGGGTGCCGTATCTCGAGCGGGCCTTCTCTGCAGCTGCCTGGCAAATAATGGCTGCTGGGATTCTGAAGCCTTCAGAGTGGTGAAAGATGCCAATTGCCAACCAAGTAAAACAGACCCGATTCGGGTTATGGCTAAACGGGAACTCTGGAAAGATCAGATCAGAACTTGGCTTTGAATCATGGTTTATGAAAAGACACATCAAGTGCTTGCCAGGTAAGTGGGCAGCCTTGCTTAGAAGCGGCGGGCAGATTATTTAGTTATTAAACAAATTTACGGAGCTGCCCATTCCTCAGAAGGAGCACTGGTCACCAAACAAAATTAAAGCAGCTGCCAGTGAGGAGACCATTGAAAACAGTTCCCTTCCTGACAACTTTAACTCTTTCCTGCCTGTGGAATTGCTGCCTGCAGTCTCTGGCCTCCCATCTTGCACAGGTTGAGGTGATCCTCAGAGTTTGCAAAGCCCTGGACTAGCCATGGGCAGGGGATTCCAGCTTGCCAGGGATGGGGGCAGGGCAAAACTGCTTTTACCCCTCAGGTCAAGCCCTTGGGGATAACTGTGTGTGAGGAGGAGGAGGAGGATGCCCTTACCTTGGAAGAGGAAGGGGCCAGAGGCAGGAGGCCTGGGGAGCGGGAGTGAGCAGGAGCTTGTGCTATTCTGGAGGTTCTGGGTGCGAATTATGCCAGGTGTTACTCTGGGATGAAGCATCTCCCTGGCAGGAAGCAGCAGCTGGGGCCAGTGGAGGGGAGGGAGGTGGTAGTGCCACAAGGAAGACCAGAGGAGGGGCTCCTTCTGTCTGACCCATCCTCCGCTTTCCCCCCAGATTGTGAGCCTCCCCTGAAGAAGGAGGCCTCTCTCCCAGAAGGGCCCGTCCTGGAGGCCCTGCTCTGTGCCGAGACGGGAGATAAGAAGCCGGAGCTGAAGGAGGAAGAGCTGATCTTAGACTGCCCGGTGAGGGCCGGGATCCCCACCCCCCAGGCCCTCAGGAGTCCTCCGGGAGTAGGGCGGTATAGAAATTTGATAAATAAATAAAGGATGAGGGAAGAATCTGGGCGGTCTCCTTGCTGTCCCACCCCCCCAGCTTCCTGGTTTGAGTGTCTGCAGGCCCTTCAGCTGAGCCTCCCCCGGGGCCTGGGGGGAGCACCCTGTGATGCACCCCCTCCCCTTTCTCACAGAAGGCTCCTCTTGGCGAATTCCTGCATGATTTGGACCCAGAAGATCTGGAGGAGGACGTCCCCCGGCGGAAGAACAAAGCCAAGAGCAAGGTGAGGCCGGCCTCCACTGGGCAGCAGGGCGGGTGAGGTAGTGGGGATGTCTGGGGCACCTTTGGCTGACAAGAAAAATACGTCAGGCGTAATAAGCCTGAGCCTTGCCCCCCACATGCTTCAGAGCCATTAAATTTGCTTTGACCAGCTCATGAAACCCAATATGTTTTCTACATCTTAGAAAATATGATCTTCACCAATGAGAAAGCTGGAGAGAAAAAGATTGCTTGCTTTCCGACTATTTTCAGGCAGGGTCGAAAGAGAGACCCCCGTCCACCAGTCGCAGCTGTTTGCTGGGATAATTGGCAGAAACTCCAGCAACAGATGCAGTCTAGCTCCAGGCTTTCCAATCAGGAGGCAGTGGGCTTCCTCAGGCCACCTCACTGGCTGCTTGGGGAGGGCCCACCTGACCGAAAGGGGCTACCTCAGTCCAAGGCCTTCCGCCACAGCTGCCTTTGGGGCTCCTGGAGCCTGGGGGTGTCCTTAGCTGCTAGCCTGGGCAAGGGGGGAGGGCCCCCACCAGAGGGGCTCCTGGCTAGCAGTCGCCTTGGAGGCCTCTGCCAACCAGGGCAGCCCCTGAGTTCCTTCCTCCTCACAGCAGGTGGCACATCAGATGGCAGCCCCCCACCCAGGCAAGGAGCCTCTAGCCAAAAAGCAGGGAGGGTGACAGCACAGCTGAAGGTGGGGTGAGGGACCCCCCCAAAAAACTCAGAGATGCTTGTGCAGGGAGGGTCTACCATGTGTCTCGTCTTTCCCCACAGACCACCCACCAGTGCTCATGAGGCAACTCTAGAAAGTTGCCTCCATTTAAGAGTCCTGGGAGTGTCTCACTGCCTTTCTTCCCCACGCAGGCCTACGGGATCGGAGGGCTGCGGAAGAGGCCAGAGGCGGCCCTGATGGAGGACCGGGACAAGCCCTACGTGTGTGACAGTGAGTGCGGCTTCCTTCTGGGAGGGTTGGGTGTGATTTCTGGGCTGAGGCTGGGGGGGGTGTATTATGTGGGGCCTGTCCCACCAGGCTGACTTCTGTCATGAGCCCCCATGGCCACCCGATATCCCTGATTAGAGGCTGTGGGGGGAGGAAGGGGGAGCGGGCTCAGGGCGGCCAGGAGAATGACCCCGTAGGGCCTTCTGGGGGCACCCTTGGCAGCTTCCCAAAACCACCTAGGAGAGAGGAGAAGCCTGCAGTTTCCAGGATGGCAGAGAAGCTGGGCTACTTGGGATGCCTCCTCAGCAATTTGCTGGCCTTTTCAGTCTGCGGGAAACGCTACAAGAACCGTCCTGGGCTCAGCTACCACTACACGCACACACACTTGGCGGAAGAGGAAGGCGAGGAGGGCCCGGAGCGGCACACCCTGCCCTTCCACCGCAAGAACAACCACAAACGTGAGTGTCCCATCCCATCCCCCCCCTCCGCTGCCCTTTGTGCCAGGGTTGCAGCCTGCCTGTAGCCCCTTGAGTGGGGGAGCCAGCCTGGGGTGCATGCTAAGGCAAGGCCAGGATGCAGCTTCCCAAGTTGGGTTTAAAGGATGGGAGAGTCTCCCAGGGAGCCCCCAGAGGGACAGCAGCACAACTCTTGGGGAAGGGGCCGCAATCTGCAGCCCCCACCTTGCACAGGAAAGCTCTCAGCTCCAGGGCCTGCCAGAGTTCCCAGCCGCCCAGGAAAGCCCCTGGCCCAATCTCCATCCCTGCTGCCCTTCTCTCCTTGCCTTGAAGGGTGTGGAGGTCCCAGCCTCCTTTGCTGGATGTTTCACAGGCCTTCCTGTGGGGGAAACGCCCTAGACGCCACCCCACCCACGAAGGAAAACATCCTACACCCCAGTGGAGCTGCAATTGCTGTCTTTTGTGAAAGTGCAGCAACTGGAGGTGTTGGACTGCGGTGGGGGGGGGTCTAGGTTCCAAAGTTGGCACATTTCAGACAGGCAGCCACTTCACCCTCCCAGAAAGTCCCCCCTCCCTGCTCATCCGCCACTGAGGGACGGCTCCGCTCCGAGAACCTCCCACCCTGATGCAGTTGCCATGGAAACACGGTGGGCGAACTTGGCAGGTGGAAGATTTCCAGCTTGGGTTTATCCAAGAGTGGGGGGACGGGTCTGGGGGAGACTGAGGCTGGTTGGGAATGGGAGCTGGAAAGGCAAGGGGGTGGGGGGGAAGCATTCAAGGTTGCACACATATGCACGTGGAAACCTCTGCCTCCCCAGGAAAGCTTGGGGGCTGAGTGTGCAAAGGGATGCCTGCACAGCTTCGGAACAGAGCTCAGGCTTCTCCGCTTGTCTGTCTGTGTGTGTGTGCGCGTATGGATGAATTTCAGGGAAGGGAGAGGCCAGATGGGGTGGAAGAGCCTTCCTCTGAGAAGGCTGCAAAAATGGGACCCCCGTTCCTTTTGGGGAGGAGGGGGAGGGGGAAAAGGCTCTGCAAGTGGGTGCCCCGGATGAAGCCCTCTCCTGATCCCTTCCCCAGACCTGAGGGGAGGGGGAGGGGGAAGAGGAGGGGGAGGGAAAGAGACCTCCCCCTCCCTAACAAAGACATCCCCTCCCCAGTCTTGGTGGTTGCCATGGAGATACCAGCGCCGTCGCTGGAGCAGTCTGCACAAAGCAGCCCGAAGGTTGGGAGAAGGGGCTGTTTGGAGCCGCCGTCCCTTGAGAAAAGGGGCCGGGGGGGCCTGCTGCCTCCCCCCCGCCTCGGCCGAGACCTGCCTTTCTCTCTCCCAGCGCCGGTCGCGGAGTCGGTCGCTCGCACCGCCTGGGCTGCTTTTCGCCCGAAAGCTACCTCCCGCCCCACGCCTCACGGCCCCCCGTTTTTCCCCAAAGCAGCTCGGCCGCTCTTTCGGGAGATCCGCTTCCTTGCTCGTTCACCTGCTCGTTCTGACAGGCCAGAGGTCCGGAGAAAGCAAACGCCCCTCCCAGGCTTGGTTCCCCGATTCAAATCAAATATATTCCTTTCTTTTTTCTTTTTTCTTTTCTATGCTTATTTCCCTCTTTTCCATTTCTTCTTGCCATTTCTGGCTTTCTCTAGAGTTTTACAAAGAACTGAACTGGGTCCCAGAGAACCAGCGCAGGCACACAGGTAAATCCCACAACAGTGCTGAGAGGTTGGAGGCGTGGGAACGTGGGGTCTGCCTGGGACCCCCGTGCGGCCTCCCCTCCCCTGTCCCTCAGGAGCTTCTCCAGAGTCGTGGGGAGGGTGAGAGGAAGCGCGCTCCCACCTGTCTGTCCTGCGCCCAAAGTCTCCGTTTGGGATCAGCCTCCCAACTATTCCGGGATCCTCCGAAAAGCGGCAGGGAAGGGGAGAGAGCGGAAGACCACGGAAGGGCAGCATTTTCTCAGCCACGCAGGCGGCTTCCGTGAGGCAGTTGCGCGATTGCCATGTTTTGCGATGTGCCCACCTACCAATGCAGGCTGCCCGAGGAGTGCCTGGGTGGCAGCTGCTGGCAGAAACCTGAGCTGGGCGCGGAGGGGGATGTCTGCTCCCTTTGGGTCTCTACAATGCACAGCCAGGTGCTTGCTAAGCACCCGGGCGCAGGAGGCCGGAGCGAGCGTCTTCCAGCCCCGGGAGAGCCGTTTGGGAGTGAGCGAGTGAGCGAGCAAGCGCGCTTGTGGCCGGCTGGATGTGGCGACCCCCCTCGGCGGGGTGTGTGTGTGTGTGAAGACAGAGGGGCGTGTGGGTCCACGCCTGATTTCGACCTCTCCTTGCTGTTTTGCAGCTAAGAAAGCTCCGGATGGGACAGTCATACCAAATGGTTATTGTGATTTCTGTCTAGGCGGCTCCAAGAAGACTGGCTGCCCGGAGGACTTAATCTCCTGTGCTGATTGTGGACGCTCAGGTGAGCCGGCTCAGCTTCTGGCCAAATGGCACCTGTGGGCATGATGCAGCAAAGGAGTTCGGGGTCTCCTGGGGACCCATGAGCCCAAAACTTTGCTCCCCCTTTTTTGAGGGAGGGAATAGGGTGGCAGTTGGGAATTTGGTGGCTACACACAGCACAACAAATGGGGATTGCTAAAGCCCTGCTAGGGCTGGCATGTTTGTGGCTTGGCATGTTGAATATGCCCAACACTTTTATTGGGTACATGATCGGATGTATTTTCTGAAGCCTCCTTGCCACCGGTCAATAACCAAGTGATGCCCAACCAGCAGAGTCCTTTTTGCCCAGAGGCACCACTTGAACATGAGGGGGGGGAGCAGGGATGGGTTCTACTTACCTTTACTACCGGTTCACAACGGGGCCGCGCGCGCATGCGAGCGCTCTTCTGCGCATGCACAGAAGCGTTCTGATGACAGTGGGCAGAGCCTCCCGCCAGTTTTACTACCGGTTCTATAGAGGGGGGGGGAGCATCCCTGGTCCCTGCAGGTGCCTTAAGGTCTTCTGCTGGTGGGGTGTGGAAAAAGCCGTAGGGCCTGGCTTGTTAGGACGGCTGGAGTTGGGGTTTTGTGTGTGCGACGGTCCTTCCCCAAAGCTCTTCCAGCTTCCCCTGCTGGACGGCTGGCCCTTGGAGGCCATTCCGGATGGGAGCCCAGCCTCGCAGGTCGTTGCGGAGGCAGCTGCCCACCTCAGAGGCTGCTGGTTCTTCCCCCCCCCCCAGGGCACCCGTCGTGCCTGCAGTTCACGGTGAACATGACGGCCGCTGTGCGGACCTATCGCTGGCAATGCATCGAGTGCAAAAGCTGCAGCCTCTGTGGCACTTCAGAAAATGACGTACGTGAGCTGCTGCTGGACAGCAATCGTGGCTTCTCCGTTCCCCCTGCAGGGTTGCCTGGAGTTGCCCGCTGTGGCCTGCAGAAAGCGTGGCACTTTCCTAGGCCGATGGCAGGCTGTCAGGGCGGCCATGGGGGGGAGGGTTGCTTCCCCTGCCCCTTGAAGCAGGATCCCAGATGGATGAGCCTCTCAGTGGCGGCCCCTTCTTCCCCACCAGGACCAGTTGCTCTTCTGCGATGACTGTGACCGCGGCTATCACATGTACTGCCTGAGTCCACCGATGGCTGAACCCCCTGAAGGTAAGAGACCCCCAGCCAGCTGGGGAGGGCAGGGAGGGGACTCCCTCTGCTGAGAAGGCCAGGATGTGATCCCCGGCTGCTTTGGCTTGCAGGGAGCTGGAGCTGCCATCTGTGCCTGAGGCAGCTGAAAGAGAAAGCCTCTGCCTACATCACCCTGACCTAGGCTGCAGCCTCAAGGCCCCCCTGCCAGCCTCAAGGCCCTCCAGGGGGCCTGGAATTGTACTGCAGGCCATGCCCGGGAGCAGTGCAGGACCTTCACTCATCACTAAGAGGAACATCGAGGTCTGGCATCCAAAATGTTGATGAGGCTCCTGTAGTGGGGACTGGCACTTGCCACCTCCTGGCTCCACCTAGGCCACCCCAATGGGGCCAGTCCACACAAAGCCATACGCCGGGGGGGGGGGGCAGAGACCAGCCCCTCTGCCCTGGTGGGAGTGGGGGGGAAGCTCCATCCCTCCAGACTGATGCATGTGATGAAATTGTTTGCCTTTGCTTGCAAGTCCAGAGGCTGGCTACCTGGAGGGGAGGGGGGGCATCCTGGCTGTGGACCCCCTTCCTGCCCATGGGAGCAATGTGCAAGGCCTTTGACAAGAGTTGGGACCAGCCGGCAGGACGGGGGTTGGGCTGGGGGAGGGAGAGCCAAGAGCAATGGGGGGTGGTAACCACTAAGCTGTTGCAAGGCTGAGGGGGGGGGTCTCTTTATGATTTTAAAGGTGGGGGGAGAAGAAAGTTTTAAAAGGGCAGCCTTGAAATAGGGTGGGTGGGCTACTCCAGGGACAGAAACGCCTGGGAGCAGCCAGAGGCCTGTGGGGGCCTTGCCCTGCCAACCTCTTGTGTAGCTGTGTTGTTCCGTTGCCTGCAACTTTTGTGTGCTTGGATTGTTACGTACATTAAATGTGGTCAGAATCGCTGCCTTTGCCTCTCTCTGCCCCACTTGCGACAATGGGAGGGCAAATACTGGCTGGGGGTGGCTATCGGAATGGTAGCCCCTTTCCAGCCTCGGTCAGGGTCCTCCAGGCACCCTGACAATGGAGAACCTGAACATTGAGCCCCTCTAGGAGCTGAGGTTGGAGGGGATCCCCCCTCCCGTCCGGAGCTTTGCCTCCCCCCCAAAAAAGTACGCTGAGATTTCCAGAGTATTAGAGAATTTATTTTACAAAAACTGATGGTCCTCTCCATCAGCAGCTTTAAGACAGAGCAAAATTAAATAAAACAGATTTGATCTGCAAAGATTCTTATAAAATTAAAAACGAACACATAATACAACCGATAGACATGAGGAGCTGCAGGAGACATCGTGCCCACAACCGAGGAATTCTTTCTAGAAAGTGTGTGTGTGGGGGAAATCCTTAGGATACAAATTCCAGTGAGGTCCCACTACAAAATTAAAAAAAACCCAGGAAGGTTGTGGGGTGGTGAGCCCAGAAGAGAGGCAGTAGGGGGCCCTGGCACTGGTCTCCCCCCGACCCACCCAGAGAGGGAAGTGGGGATTCCTGGAGAGCCCCTTGGGCTCATCCGCAAATGGCTTCCCAGCACTGGGGGCCAAGAGGAAACAGGAGCCCCTCTGCCCACATGCAGAATTAAGGCTAGAGTGGAAGGGGAGGTCGTCCGCAGCCCCAGTGGTGCTCGAGAGAGCCAGCTGGTGCGTCTCTGGCCGGGAGCCCTTTCGCCTCCCTTTCTTATTTCCCTGAAACCCTGGCAGATGGAAAGATGAGGAAGGGGGAGGAAGGCTGACCCCTGGCAGGTCTGGGCCAACCCCCGGGACAGAATGTGCTTCGCATAGATCATACGCTGGTTTTGCAATGTGAAGTGTGTGTGGGGGGGAGAGAAATGGTCCAGGCCAGCTGCTCCAGGTTGTCGTTGGCAGAAGCCTCAGCCAAAGAGGGTGAAGGGCCCCGCAGGTCACTGAGCAGGACAGACACCCTCCTTTTCTCAACCGACACCCCCTTTGGGTGGAAGGGGCCCCTGTAGTGGAGACAACAGAGCACCCTCAGTGTGCCCTGCTGCCAGCCAGGCCGGCCCAGCAGAGGACTGGCACAAGGGCAGGAGGCGAGGCAGGAAGCCCTCATGTTCCAGAGCAGGCACCTGGGAGGGCCAGGGGTGTGTGTGTGTGTGGGATGGGGGGCGGATCCCCCAGCCAGGAGCCTTCCCCTGGGCCTCTATGGCTTTGTGCCAGGACAGGGTCCCATCCCTGCTGCCACTGGAAGAAACCAAGTGTGCTGAATTCAGTTGCATGCACAGAAATGCAATTGAAAAAGATTACAAACAGTACCATTGATACAAATATAGTGTTTTATAAAGAATGTAGACATTTAAACTTTTTTTAAAACTTCCTGAGGCGCTCTGCATTCCCTAGAAAATAATTTAGTTGTTAGAAAGTGCTGAGAAGCTTGGCTGGACTTGGCCGCCCAGCCTGTTGGACACAGACTGGCCCTCTGATGGTGCTTGACTTTGGGGGTGGGAGGGGAAGCTTGGCTGGCCATCTCCAGCCAGGGCTTAAGGACCCCTCCTGTGTCGCAAGAGACCCTCTCTCCAGCCGAGGCACGAAGGGGGCCATGGGGTCAGAGCCCAGCTGGCAGACAGGGCACTGGCAGCGTACTCTCCAAGGGAGCCCCCCCTGTGCAGGTGCCACGCCTGTTCTCCCTCCGCCCCCCCCCAGCCGCTCAAAGCTCCTCTTTGTCGACGGCGCTGGAGAAGATCTGGGCGAACTTGCGCAGCTGCTCGTTGGCAGTCTGGGACTCCTCCTGCAGCCGCTGGTTGCTCTGCCTGAGCGTGGCCACTTCCGCCTGCAGCACCACCTTGTCCTGCTTTTCCTGCAGAGGCCAAGAAGGAGCAGGGAGTCCCAGGCCATGCAGAGCCCGGTCCCACCTTCACAGCCTCGTCCCTCCCACTGGGGATTCTGCCAAGCCCCCCCAGCTCCTTACTTTCTGCAGGTCACTGTGCAGCTGCTTCAGCATCGCTTCCAGGTGGGAGACCTTTCCTGTCAGATCCGCCGGCAGCTGCTGCTTGCTGCAAGGGCAGACCGGAGAGGCTGTGACGCCAAGCCCACCCGGGGCTCCTGGAGAGGCTCTGCCAGGGGCTCCCCCGCCCAAGCTGTCCAGAACGAAGGCCGCACACCCACACCCCAAGCCCGGGGGGGAGGGGAGGGCTGAAGTCACATGGAGGTGGGAGGAGGTACACCTGCAAGGCGGGGCACCAATCTCACCCAAACTGACAGGCAGACCTTGGTGGTCCCAACATCCCCCCCAAAACATGACCTTCCGTGAGAAAGTTTTCTCACCCTCTTCTCAAAACATACGTCTGCCCCCCCCCCCCCGCCCCCTGCTCACCTTAAGACAGCAGCAGTATGTGGCGCTGGCTGCCTCTCCAGGCTCAGATGCCCAAGGCCGGGGCTGCCAGCCGGTGCCGCATCTGGGCTCAACATGGCCTCATGGAGGGAGAAGAGGGAGACAGCTCTCTGCACTGGGGGTGGGGTGGAGAAGAGGGGGAAAATCTGTAGGCTGTCAGGTGAAAACCTGCAGGCCCCGATCGCCCAAAACTGGCACCGCTGCCAGGGCAGAGAGCCATGCCAGTCAGGGCTCATATGGCCTGGAAGGCAGCCCCCGCCCAGGTCCTGGAAGCCCCTCTCTGGGGCAAGAGAAACATTTAAGGGGATGGAGCACCACTTGCAAGGCCATAGACATCCCTGGGTGGTGGGAAGGGAAGGGAAGCCCTGTTTGGAGAGTCCAGGCTGAAGGCCCAACCTAGCCCCTAAGCAGCAGCCCTCCCACCCACACCCTGGTATCCCGGCAGGCCTTCTCACTGTTGGCTTCCATGTGCCACCGTAGACTCCAACTCAGAGTTCAGAGAATTCAGCCCAGCTGCCCCCATCGCCCCTTGCCAGCTACACTCTGCCTTGCCAGGGAAAGTAGCCCAGGGCCAACGTCCCCAATTTGCACAGAAAAGAGGCATAGCTGGCATGAAGCCCATGTGGGGAAAAGCCCTGCTAAAAACTCCACCATCCACCCTGGCACAGTGGCCGGTCTTGCCCCGTCTTCTGCCTTTGCCTACCTTTCTGCTGGCTGACTGGGCAGCAGGAGGAGAAGGCAGCACCCTGAGCCCCCGTCTCTCACCATGACTTGGGGAGTCAGCCCCTCCCCTTACCCAGCATGCCCTTGCCCAGAAAGGTGGTGTCAGCTGAAGGCAGCCAACAGACCTGCCAGTGAGGGAGACGCCTGCCTGGGCCAAAGAAGGAGCTGTGCCCTGACATGCAGGCTGCCTGCACACTTCCCTCCAGAGGAGGCAGGCAGGTGGCGGGCTCGGGATGGGGTGGGGGGAGGGCAGACTGGCCAAGAAAGCTGTGGCACCGCTGACAAGCAACTACCACAGCTCCTGCTGACACCAGCTCTACCATCCTGAAATTGGGGCAGCCGAGCATCTGGGCTGGAGGGCAAAGCACTTCGTGGATGCTTGTTTCCCATCGCTCTGCATGAAGGGTTTGCCCTCCCCCATGCCATGGCGGGGGGTGGGGGAATACATGGGCAGCAAAGAAAGCTAGGGGGGATCAGGGCTGCCCAGGGAAGGCAGAGGTCCCCAAAGCAAGCGAGGCTCCCAACAGCCAGCTGGCTCTGGGGCCTGATGCCAAAGTCCTTTCCCGCCTCCTTGGAAGCAGAGCTAGAGACCCCGTTCCCCTTCCTGGCTGCCGCGTCACCTGCCTGGGGAGGAGGAAGGAAGAGGGTGCAACCCCTTACCTTCGTAGGCCTTTGCGGCACTGACCAAGCTTGACCACTCCAGGCCTGCGGCTGTGTCCGGCAGGGGCATCAGGGCGGGGTCAAGGCGCCGCAGGGACTGGTCGCGCACCTCGGTCAGGGAGAGCTCAGAGGCAGAGACGGTGGCTGCAGAGAGGGAGGAGGCCCCCAGACCCATCAGCCAACCTATGCAGGCAGCCCTGCTGGTGGAAAAGGGTCCCCAGGCAAGCTCCTCCTCCTCTGGATGTTGGGGTTCCCCCTGTACCCTAGGAATGTCAGGGAAGAGAGGGACCCCCATTGCCTGCCTGCGACCGACACTGCCCCCCCCCCCACTCACCCTTCTCCAAGGAGCCCCCCCGGCCGCTGCTGGCCGGCCTCCGCCCAGGAAGGGTGCTGGTGAAGAGCATGTCACTGGAGAGGGGCTGTTCAAAGCAGGCGCTGCTGGCGAAGGAGGGGTCTCGCCGTCCGCTGCATAGACTTTCATCCGAGAGGGTCCGCTGGAGTGTCTTCTGGGGGGTCTGCGGGGGAGAGTGGAGACCTTCTTCAAAGACCCAGCAAGTCTGTGTCTCTCAATTCTCCTCATCCCCAAACAGTTGGACGGGATCCCTGGGAAGCCTCTAAGTGGTCATCTCCTCCAGTGCGTAAAGGCTGCCAAGACTTGATCCCACCGAGAGGCCCAGGGGAGCATTCAGGCACCAGCCCCTCCCCTCAGCTCACTCACTCAGCCCCTCCCCACCGGCTCACTCAGACCTGGAGCTCTGATGGGGAAAAGCCAGTGCGAAGCTCTCAGACACATTTATGCCGCAGGTTCTAAAAATGCCCCCCTCCAGCAGATCCCCCTTCCATGGAGAGGAAGGCGGTTGGGGGTGGGCGCGCACCAGCTCATCCTCCTGCTCCAGGCTGGTGGAGTCCATGATGATCAGCTTCTTCAGGTCATCTTCGATGGTTGACTTGTGGGCCTTGCGTGGGGAGCGAAGGTCTCGCAAAGAAGCTCGGAGGCGAGGCTGTCCGAAGACGTTCCTGGTGCTCAAGTCAATTCCTCTGTGGGTACAGGGGCGGGTCAATCACACTCCTCAGTCTCAATCAGAAGCCTTCACGCCCCCCCCCCCCCACCCCCCCCCCACAGCAGCTGGCCATGGCACCACCCAAAGCAGAGCTCACTGCTGCCCCCTGCCGGCGCTCACTTCTGGGACTCTGTGAAGGGAGCTGGCCTAGCCGAAGCCTCGGAGCTCTTCTTCCACCCAGCGGGTTGGGGCCTGGCACTCCGGCCGCTCTGCTTGGACAAGAAGGACTTGGGCACAGAAGCCGAGAGCTGGGAAGAGCTCGACTGGGGTCCAGGAGCCGCCTGGGAGCCGTCTGCAGGGGGGGTCTTGTAGACCTGGATGGGGTAGCTCACCCTGGAGCCACTGGGGCTGAAAGAGAGACGGAGTCTGCGGATAACTGGCCCCCAGCTGGACATGCAGGGGCCATTCCCTCAGCAGCGCCTGGGGCATCCTGCCCGTCCCCCTGCTTGGCCCTGGACACACGGCACCTGCCTCTCTTGGGTGGGGAGGGAAGAGCTCCACCCCAAATCCAACCCTGGAAAAATCAGGACTGGAGCTGCTATCAAGGACAGGTCTGGCCCCGAGGCCCTCGCCATTCACCTAGGAGGTCCCCTTCTGAAAATCAGGTCTCATCTTGCAAGACACCCCCCCCCGGCGCCCAACAGGCCTGCAAACCCATCACGTGTTCAGGGTCCTGGTTATGTTGGGGGGCAGCTGCAGGGTCCCTTACCTGGCCTGCCAGAAGGGCTCTGGGGCGCTGTTGTTTCCCCCCCTGGCAGGGCCGCCAGCACCTTTCCCAAAGGCCCTGGGGCAGTAATTCCAGCTCTGCCTGCCCAAGTGGCCAGCGGGCCAGGCCACCTCCGTCCTCTTGCTATGGCCTTCGGGGAGGGCGGGGCCAAAGAGAGGTGAGGACACAGGCACTCGGTCGCGCCGGATGGATGTGGCACCGCTGGCATCGATGCCGCTGTTGTTGGAAACCCCGCCCTTGGCCCAGAGCTCGGGTGTGCCATCGCCAGGATCGGCTGGGTCGTCGCTGTGGCCACTGGAGGCGTTGCTGGAGAGTGTGTTGCTGCTGGAGGTCTGCCCCTCGCCCTGCAGGGGGAGGGGGAGTCAGCCACTCGGACATGAAGGGAGGTACCCAACAGGCAAGCCCCAGGAGCCCATGCTCACCTTGGGAGGTTGGTCTGGGGAGTCCAGCAGCTCCCACTGGCCTGGCCTCTTGTTTCCGGAAGCCGCTGAGAATCTGGAAGGGCCTGGCATGTGCCATAGCAGCTCTGGCAGGGCAAGGAGAAGGGTTAGGGGGAGCCGCTCCTTTGGGGCCTCCAGGTGGGAGGCGATTGGTTTCCTGCTTCTCCAGAGTCCCATCCCTTGGCTGGAGGGCTGGCCTCTGCCAGCCCTCTTTTCCTCCACCACCATCCTGGGTGAGGCTTCTATTACCCAATGCCAGGCTGTAGGAGACAGCAATAGCAGCCTGCCCTTCTCAGAAGCTCCCAGGAACCTGCCGCCTGTCCGGCCCCATGCTGGGAAGGGCAGCCCTCTCTGTGCCCAGGGGGACATGGCTAGGCTTCCCCTCCCCAATGCCTGGCAGCTTCAGCATAGAGGCCGCTTCCAAAATCTCAGCCCAGGCACACCACCAAACCCCCCCTGTGCCCGCCATCCGTGCTCACCGGGCTTGAGCCTCTCCATGGTGCCTTCCTGGCTGGCCAGCCCTCCGCCGGACGAAGAGGAGTCCCCGTTCGGGGTCACCTCAGAGGGACAGAGTGTCTCAAAAGGCCCCAGAGGCCGCAAAGGGACCACGTATCTGTGCACAGAGCTGAAGCAAAACAGGGCAGCTGAGAATGCCACCGACACAGCGGGAAAAACACCACCCAGCCCATTTGTTAGCAGGTTTTAAAAATACCAGGCTTAAAGGAGGGAGGGAAGAGGGGCACAGGAGCGGAAGAAGGAAGCCAGCTCCTCTTGCACTCAGCTCCATGGGTGGGCAATGGAGGGGCATCCGGAAGGGGTGGAAGGCCAGGCCGAAAGGCCAAGCCAGACCCTCGGCTGGAGCAATGCGGCGCAAGAACCATAGGTGGCACCCTGGAGCCTTCGGGTGTGCATCAGAACGCCCCTTGGCAACTGTCCACGGCGTCTGAGGGTGCAGAGAGAGATCTCCCTCCTCCCTCCCTCCCCCCCTCTCTCATTAACAGCCTCTCTTGAGGCAGAATCGGGCAGGGTCAACGTTTCGAGCCGACAGACCCCGTTTGCAGCCCAGAGAGGATCTTTCCCACTCCAAGCCCCTCTACCAACGCAGCCCCTTGCTACTCCCCAGAGCAAACAGCTCAGGCAGGAAGCGGCTCCCACCCAAACAGCCCAGGATGACAAAGAGACGGCTGGGAGTTCAGCTCTCTGCATTTCCTCTCTTTGCCCCTCTTCCTGGTGGGGTTGCAAGGTCTGTCCCAGCGCGGCCTCTGGCTGCTTCTTTGAAGGAAAGCCTTCCCTCCCCCAGCCCTGCAACTGGAACTGGAGTGGGATGCAAACTGCTACGCAGCAAAGAAGCCCCCCACCCTCGGAGCCAGGAGCTCTTCTGCTTCTCTGGAACAAACTCTGCATCTTTGCTGCCAGCGGACAGCACCTTGCTCAAAGAGAATCCGCAGGATGGAAAAACAGGCTGGTCAAGCAGGTGGGACCCAGGGCCTGGGCATCCACCCACGTACCTGTCCGGTGAGGGCTTGTACCAGGCGAAGGAGCCTCCTGAAGAGCCCGGAACAGAGAAACTGCCTGAGGGCTGCCGGTATGACTGGCTCTTTTCTGTGCCACTCTGGGAGGAGGAAACCACACGGGGGGTCTCTGGGAAGCTGGCGGGCCTAGAGAAAGAGGGAGAGCCCTGAAGACTGGGCCCATGGCTGCCTGGCCCACAGTCGTGCCCAGGAGTCATGCAGGCCTCCTGCGGGGCCATGGACCGAGGCAGAAGAGGGCCATTGGCCAGGCTGCATCCGCCAGAGGCCACAGCAGAGCACACTCTGCAAGGCTCCAAGTCCCAAAATTCATCCTGGCACGGAGCCTGCAGGCCAGGCCAGGAACATTGGCTGACAGTCATCGGAGCCCAGGCTCTCAGCGAGCCCCAAGGCCTCCTCACCTTTTGCCATGCAGAGGCTGGACCTGGCGGTAAGGGGTCAGGGTGCTCTGCTTTGGGGTCCTGGTGAGGGACTGGGACTGGCCATGCCCTGGCTGCTCAGCCCATTTGGGGGGCTGGGAGGAGCCTTGGGTGGCAGAGCCACTCCACTGCCAGGCTGAGTTGCTGCGATACGGAGGCCGATAGCCCCCAGGCAAGCTTTCGGGTTCTCCTCTGGTCTCCATCGCGCTCATCTTCAGGGACTCGGCCCACCCCCTGGAGAGAGAGAGAGAGAGAGAGAGAGAGGGAGGGAGAGAGGGAGGGAGAGGGAGAGGGAGAGAGAGAGAGAGAGACGCTCAGGAGGCATCAGGAGGCGTGCAGAGAAGGGTGCCGGGCAGCTCCGTGAAGAGAAGTTGCAGGCATGGAGGTCGGCCTTCCTGCTCCTGGTCCTGCCTGCCAGTCGCCCACTTCAGGACCTGCTCCAGGGGCACTGCTGTCCCCCTGAAGACCCACAAGCATTTGCTGACACAGCCTACCTAGACCCTTGCCCACGAGGCCCTACCATGGGCTGCTTCAGGTGCCTGTGAGGGGGCCCAGCCACTGCGGTGCCTGAGAGGCGGGCATCGTTGCCCCCCTGCCCCTAGTCAAACCTTTGGCCAAGCAGGTTCCAAAAGCGGCCTAGTCTGCAGGAAGGGGGGCAGCCCTGGCAGCCCCCCTTTCTCAGGTACCCTGTGCTGGTGGGGGTTCCTCCACCGCTCACAACATGCAGTTCTTGGCAGACGGAGCCATCTAAGCCGGCTCTGTAGCTGCCAACATGGGAGATGCCTCAAAGCCTGGGGCAGCTTGGCAGGAAGGGACCCTGGGCAACCTCAAGCTTCCAGCCCCCTGCCCAGCCACTCCCCCAGGCCAGGCCTCGCTACCTGCCACCCACCTCCCCGACTCCATGCAGCAAAAAAGCCACCAGATGGCCACCCTCCAGCCCAGCTGCCAGGCGGAAGCCAGCTCAGTGCAGGATCCTCTCAGTTTTAATTGAATTCGGTTTTAATTGGGTTGTTTTAAATTTTGGGCCAAAATTATTTAATTGTTTTTTAAACTGTTTTTTAAATTTTATATGCTATGCTTTATCTTGGCTGTACACCGCCCTGAGTCCCGCAGGAGAAGGGCGGTATAGAAATAAAATAAAATAAAATAAAATAAATAATAATAAATCCTACCCTGCCTATCCTAAAGCTGACGGGGAGGGAGGGAGGCGTTGCTGGAAGCCACTGGATGCTTTGCAAACCACACCTGGAAAACCAGATAGGAAGCTGGGAGCTGGGTGGGGGCTCCTCCTCCTCCCTTCTCTTAACTGTGCAGGTTTCCTCTGGAGGAGACAGCAAGCGACTCTCAGGCAGGAAGGGGGGACGTTCAAGACAGCGGAGAGGAGTGATAACTGGAGAGTCAGAAGGCAGCAGGGGAGGGCCAAGCCCCGGCAGTTCCCCTTCTGCACGGCCTACTGGATTTTAAGCCTGGATGCCACCCCAGGCCTCAGAGGCCCACAGGAATCCTTGGCCTCTGGGCTTGCCTCCCTCCACACGCATTTAGCGGCTTCTTAAGCCAGATCCAAGGCAGTGGCACCTTGACCTAAAACGAAGGCAGCCCCACAGGTGGTCAGAGCAGCTGCACCCTGAGCCCCAGGACTCCCTCAACCCCTTTTTTTGACCTGAGGAGCCATCGGCCGGCCTGCCTCTGTTTCGCTCCAAGAAACAGCTGGGATTCCCAGCAGCTTCCCCCTCTGAGCCAGGGGCTTTCCCGAACAGCAGCCCAGATGCCCAGCCAGCCCCGGTACCTGCCAGAAGAGCCGCTGGTGCCACTCCCTACCGGCTGCCGAAGCCACAGTCATCCCAACAGGAGCTGCCCAAGTGGTTCCCCTCTCAAAAGCCAGCTGTCTTCTCCCGGGGGTCCCAGACCAAGAATGGACAGCCACCCCCGAGAGGGGCACCGCAGCCCAAGAGAATCAACCCAGCAGAGTAAAAGCCCTTCTCTGAGGAGCTCCAAACTCCCACCAAGGCCAGGAGCCAGGAGAGCAATGTAGAGGCTGGTAGCCTTGGGGCTTGGCAGGGGGCCTGAAGGCGCAGAGGCTCACCTGCGTGGAACACCATCCTCGTGTGGTGGAATCACCACCACTTTCACAGTGACGGAGGTACGCAGCCAGTCGATCATCTGGTCGTGGGTGAGGGTAACTACGGCCACCTTGCATATCTCCACCAGCCGGCTGCCCTGCCGCAGGCCTGCCTGCCAGGCGAAGCCGTAGTCCTCCACCTCGGCCACCGTCCCGTCAAACTTCACATGGAAACCCAGCTGCCCCAGCCCGTTCCTCCGCAGGGTCATCTCCACCGTCTCGGCACCAGAGGTCATGACCTGGGTGAAAGCATACAACCCCGGGCGGGGTCAGAAATACCAGTTTCCACTCAGGATGGTGGGGGCATCTTAACTAATCAGTGGGCAGGGGTGCTACTGACCTTCAGTCTCTGCACAATCTCTTTAACATCTTCAGGATTATTCTCTGGGGCCTGGACAAAAATGTGGTCCCCCCGTCCATAGAAAATTTTGAGGCTGCAATTGTCTGGCGTCCAGCCAATCACATCTGCGCAGAAGCAATTGAAGACGACTTCTTTGGTGGCCAGGTCCAGGAGGGCCATGAACTCATTGGAGATGCCCAGCAGGCACTCGATCTCTGCTCCCTGCGAGTAGTCCTGGGCCAGAACTCGCCAGACGAGGGCCCCCGCACTCTGCTGCTCAGCCCCGGCCCGAGCCCTCATTTTTTCCCTCTTCTTAGAGGCCAGTGAGATCAGGTTGAACTTCCCCGTGGAGTCGATGGGGGTACTGGTGACGCTGTTCTCAGCCAAATCCTTCAGGTACTCGTGCCGCGTGCGCGTGGCCATGGTGTGGAACTTGTCCGACTTGTGCGCGGCATTCTCGGCATTGATCACCTTGGCGAGCAGGAAATCCCGGAAGACATCCGACTTGTGGAAGGTGGCCTGACTGGGGATGGCTGGCCCAAAGGGGGGCACATCCTTGGAGCGAGTCACTGCCACACTTGGGACATGGAAATGAAAACACAGGCCTGTGGCTGAGACTACACAGGCCGCTGCCAGGTTACTCGGCCGTTCCCTGTGGGCCAATCCAAGGGAGCAGGACCGAGGCCCACTTCAACCCAAGGGCCCAAGATCGGAGGATCAGCTGCCCAAGAAGCCGGAGTTGCGAGGATCACCTGCAGCCCTGATCTGTCGTCCAAGAGAGGCCGCCTAATCGGCCCGACCTCTGGAGAGCTGAGGGAGTCCACTGACGCCAGGATGCAATCAAGGCCCGGAGGCTCGCCTCCTCAGGTGGCCAAGCCCAAACTCTGCCCAGACCCGCACCCTTACCTGTAGCGGACGCTCTCTGTGCAGGGACTCTGAGCACAGACAATGATGAAGACGTGCTGGAAATGAGAGCGGATGTTCTGGGGGGTGAAGGGCAAAGCCCCCGGCTCCTGGAAGATGATGGTGACGATGTCGTTCCCGATGTGTCTCTTCCGCAGCAGCTGGGAGGGGAGGGTGGCACTTGAGAGCCTGGGAAGGAAGCCTGGAGCCCAGCCAGTGGCTCGGGAAACCAGAAGGAAACATGGACTCCCTCCCCAGTGGGATGAGGGGGGGGTCATGGTGCAAAAGAGAAATGGCCAAGACCACTAAATTGAGCCCCACAATTAGTGACAACCCCACAGCTCAGTATGCGCCATGTGACCCCCAAGGCCAGTCTCCTCTCTCCTCTGAGCCAGGCCCCCACCTGCCGTGCCCGGTACCTGCTGCCTGTTGTTGGGGGTGTAGGGAAGCATCGTGGAGACGTGGAACATGATCTCGTAGCCCTGGTAGGTCGTGTAGAGGGAGTGGGTGCCGGTGGAGTCGGCTGTGAGAGAAGCAACAGGGAGGACTCAACAGGGTGGCTGAGTCCCTCAGAGGGCAGATATGGTGCAGCAGTGCGTCCCACCCTACCAGCCCCCAAGCCCCCCTTGGCAAGGACTTACTTTTGGTGTCTAGCTGTGCAGCATATTTGCGGAAGCCCCTCAGGCAGACCTTCTCCCCCAGCAGGGCCAAGAACTCCTCAAAGGCCGGGCCTGCCTCCTCGTTATTGTACATCTCCTCCTCTGAACTCTGGCCAGCCTTGCAGTACAGGACACCCACCTTATGTTTCCGGCAGAGCTGGGGGGAAGGCAGGAAGAGCCCCCTCAGAGCTAGCTGGGGTCCAAGGGTTAGGGTTAGGGTTCCCAGTGACTCTTGGGACGGGGGCTCTGGGAAAGAACAGGGCCTTCCTGAGCCACAGGCAAGGTGGATGGGCAGGCAGGAAAGCCTTCCACCACCACCCAGGTTGCACCCGTGGTGCTTACTCCTTGCTCGTCCAGCTTCCGCAGCTGCTCACAGACTTGGGGCACACTCAGAGCCAGGCGTAGGCAGTGCATGTTCAGCTCGGGGACCACATGCTCCAGCACGTCCTTCAGGGGGATGCCACGGACGGTGCCGTGCTTGGTGGTAGTGGGTGTTGCGTCTTCTAGGATGGCACCACGGAGGGTGGTCAACTGCAGGGCCCAGAAAGAGAGGCAGGAATGACGCTTGGCTCCCTCTTGTGCCTGGGGCCAGTGGGCCACATCCTCTACACTGGGGCTGAGCGAGGACAAGAAGAGCCATCAAACCAGCCTCAGAAAGTTCCTGGACAGTCTTCCAGAACGGTGCTCTATGCGGGAGAAAGAGCTCTAGAGAAAATCCCTAACCATCGGACAGGCTAGAAGGAGCCCAAGGCTCCATCCCTGCACTATCCAGGACAAACGGCTTTATCTCTTAGCCTCACTCCCAGCATGCAAAAGCCCAGGAGACATTTTTATCTTACAACAGGAAATGTGCAGGAGCGCCAGCCCACCACATTCAGAGAAAAGGCCCCTTGGCCCTGGAATGGACCCACCACCCAAAATCCAAGATGCCGCATGGAGACGGCAGCCCCTTTCACTACTTCAGACAGTTTGCCAGGGTCCAACGCATTCGACCCTTGGTCAAAGGGACAGTTAGGGTTTTCAGGGGGTACGAATAACTCCGACTGTCCTTGCAAGGCAAAAGCAGCCCTTTTGGGAAGTTTAAGCTGCAGGGCTAAAGGGCCTTTGGTGTCTCGCAGGGCCCACAGGGGGCTCAGGCTGGCCTCCCTTCCCTTTCAGTGGAGAAGTGCTGGGCACAGCAGACATGCTCCTCCCAGGCAGGAACTGGCACTGCCAGCTTCATGGCCAGGCCCTCTTGGCGCTGCCATGTGCTCTGCTGGCTCGGATGGACTTGCTTCACAAATAGCTCAGGTCAGACAGAGTCCAATCTCCACAGGCTGTGCTTGCTTACTTGTGGCACCTCGGACTAGCAACTCCACCATTAAGCAACACACAACATCACGTCACTGGACTGACTTATGATGGCATTCTATCAGTCCTGGCCGCGACCGTTAGATGAGTCCCACCTGATTGTGGCATCCTGCGCTCATGTGATTGTCTTTTGTGACCTCCTGCCAGCTTCCCCAGCAACTTTGCTTGCTGGAAGGGAGCAGTGAAGGCTGTGAATGGCAATTGTGGGACCCAAGGCTGCTGCGATGTTCTATTTAGCCAAGCACTTAAGTCACTGTCTTGTGACCGTGGGACACTGCAATGGCCAGAGTTACAAACACCCATACGTCTCCCCATTCAGGCCACTGTATCTTCAAACCGTCACTGAACACGTGGATCACTTGTATATTATAAATCGGTCAGACCCCACCTGCTGCCCAGACCCCACCCTTTGAGGAGGGCCAGGAGGACAGAAACTGCCTGCTGCAAAGAGATGGACCTCAGCCTTGCAAGAAATCCAAGGGGCCAGAAAGAGAGCCACCGTCATTCCAGAAGGGAGTATGAGCGAGGACAGAACTACACCAGAGATCACAGCTGAATGTTGCAGAAAAAGGATGAAGATTACGATGAAGATATCTGCCAGGGCACATGCAGTTGCTGGTTCCTTTCCTAGAGATGGTCAAGCTAGGGAGGCTTCAGTATGGAAGGGGGACTCGACACCCGGGCTACGGGGACCCCTTTTTGTTGTGGGATTCTAACTCTCAGGCAGGAGACCCTCCCACAGAAAGGATTAAGGCAGCCTCTAAGCTGCATCCCCAGTGACTAACTGTCCTCCTGATGTCCTGGTAGGACAGCAGCTGAGAAGACCAGAGACCCGTCTTGGATGATTTTCCTGCCCCTTGAGCTTCTCTGCACTAGGAGGAGGTATATCTCCCAGCTAGTTTGGGAATTAATGGGGATTAAAGCCCAGGGACTCTCAAGGTATCTTTTTAAAACCCACTATGTCCCAAATCCTGCAGCTTCTGCCTCACCCACTGCTGCCGAGCTGCAGGATCTCCAGTGCCTCCGAGCAACAGCAACTTACCTCGCTGGTGCGAAAGATAATCCTGTACTGGTACTGAGGCCCGTAATCCCGATGGTCCTCCAGCTTCTCACGCCTGATGCTGACTGCCACGGGGCCCAGCTTCTCATCCACCCCAAAGTAGTTAAAATGTTCTGATGGGGCAGAGAGGAAGAGGGGGAAAAGACTTAGCAGTTCATCCTGCGCATCCTGCCCTCAACTGCCCCATAGTTCCAGCCATTGTTTACCAATCGGCAGTGATGCCCACCCACTCCAAAGCTCCTCCAGCAAGGCTGAAACCTGGCTGCCCAACTAAGCCAAAGAACAGCCCCTGCGGCTGAAGGGACCGGAAGGGGGGGGGGAAGAGGTGCACCAGGGGAACCGAAAGGAGAAATTTGGGATTGCTGTCCCCATTCATGTAGGCATATTCTGGGATCAAGCCTCATCCTCAACTGCCCACCTCCTCAGGGACCACTCACCCTCTAGCACCCCAAACGGCAAAGCCCCAAAGTGCCAACCTTTGCCAGAGAAGTAGTCCCTGTAGTACCGGGCACCCAGGTCCACGTGCTCAATGCTGTAGTGCTTCAACCGGCTGAGACTGCGCTGCAGTTCCTGTGGCGTCTCCAGCACAGAGATGCTGGCATTTGTACAGTAAGGGGCAGGGGTTGTCTCCGCAAAGGCCCCCTCTCCACAGCCACCCATGGAGGCAGGTGAAAAACTGATGTTGCGCTCCCCCTCGCCCCCAATCTCGTTGCGGAAGTGAGGGCAGCTTAGCAGCAGACTGTTGCTGCTGTTGTCCCCCAGATCATGCTCCAGATTCTCCTTGGAGTTCAGGTCCTCAGGACTGAAGAAGGTGCTGGGCACATCCAAGCCGGCCAGGCTGCAGACAGCAGCAGCTGAGCCTGCGGAGGCAGCCGAAGCCCCTGTGGTGGTGTTCCTCCGCTGAGCCACACAGACCCGTCTGGCCACCACCTCATTCAGGTCAAAGAGCAGACTCTGGACGTCATAGTGGGCCAGGCCCTTCGGGCACAGCCAGCCCCGGCCCGCTTCCTCCGCCTCCCCCAGGGCCCTGCTGCAGTCTCCCTCCGCCCGGCCACTCCGCAGCTTCCGGAAGATGGAGTCCCCCCCCCCCCCCTCTGCCCGGAGGCCCTTCTTGCGGGGCTTCTCCTTGGGGTGAACAGGCAATCCTGATTCTGCCCGGGCCTCTGCCTTGGTGCTCCTGGCAGGATGGAAGGGATCCACCAGCCGCTGCCGCTGCCCAGTCACTGCCTTCCCACTCCGGAACTCCTTCAGCATCTCATAGAAGCTCTGCTCAGAGAGGCCTTGCGCGTCGATGGAGGATGTGCTGCCATACTCACGGAAGAGGGGCAGGCCGCCAGCCAGCCGGGCTCCCCGGGGCTCCACCGCGGCTTCCAGGTCACACTCGCTCAGGGTGACCTCACTATTGCTCCTGTTCCTCAGCGCCAGGAACACCCTGCCAGGAGAGTGCGGCCACCCATCCTGGAATTCAGTGTCCTTGGACCTCCTCCGAGCCAGGCGCCGGGAAGGTTTCGGCCCCAACGGGAAGGCAGCCTCTCTAGATGGCTGCCCGTTCTGAAGCTCCCACAACATGGGGCCCGGGGCCTCTGGAGCCTTGGCAGCACTGGAGGCAGCTGGATCCTTCAACCCTTCTCTTTTGGGAGGCCAGTCGGCAATCCGGGCCCGCACCCCCATTTTTGGCACAGCAGGGGTTGTGGTAGCTGGTCGCAAAGGAGAGGCATCGTCCACATGTGGGGTGCAGCCGTTCTGGGACCAGGATCCTGAAGAGGAGTAATCGCCCCCTGTGGGGTCCAGGCCCACCACATTGCAGCTTTCATGCACAGGCCGATATGCTGTCATAGTCTGGGCTGGGCTCCCTGCAGGAAGACGCTCTTCATCTCCATCGGGACATGGGCACACCACAGCCGGCGTTGGGGGAGCCTGGAACAAGCTGAGACAGCTCAGGGCAGCATTGCCCCCAGCCTCTCCTCAAGGCCCAGCAATGGAGAATGACGACAGCAGCTGAGCTTCCATTCTTCCAGCAATATGAATCATTCTGAGAGAGAGGGAGAAACAGCATTAGCCTTGGCGCTCTGGGGCAAAACATGGGGCAGGCCCACTTTGCTGCTGGGGAACAGAGCTGGGAATCTACTCTTCTGCAGAAGCCAAAATACAATGTAATATGCTCTATGCTGGGCAATGAGGAAGTCCAAACTCCCTCAGATTTGTTTTATCCAGGGCAGCCCTCGCCTTGCTAAGCAGATGAGCGGGGGGGGGGGGGGGCTGACTTTGCCTGGAGATTGTGGTGCCCAAATTCCCCCTAAATCTGGTGGCCAGAGGATGACCTGTGAAAGTCCTGAGACAGGCTGGGGACCGCCTGAGTGGCTGCTCGCCTTTGCCTGCGTGGAGCAAAGCATTGTGTGTTTTTTGTGTGAGTGTTTGTCAGCCGTCCTTGTCTACTCATTTCTTTAAAATATTTGCATAGTCACCTATTTTAATCACAACTCTGGAACAACCCACAACCGGGTGCCCCACCGGACACAGTGGGGCCCCAGACATCCCCCTTAGGGCAGAAGGGAAGGGGGCAAGGGGGGGGTCTGGGCTTGCAGCCATTTCTCAGGAATGCTTCTCATGGAGCACTTCGGCTCTGCTGCCTCCATGCCTCAAGCGATGGAAGAGGCAGGGGGAGGAGGAGAGGGCAGCCCTGAACCACGGAGGAGAAAATGGACCCCTCCCTCCGAAAAACAAAATGGAAGTGCCATCTCTTGAGCGTCAGCCCTGCACTGCAAGAAGCATCCCGGCACCTGCTGCTGGCTTGAAGGGTCCCCCGTAGGAGTGCAGGAGCTGCCCTGCCAGTGCCAGACACTGCCAAGACAAAAAAAACTGTTCCTGCTGAGCCTGCCCCCTTGCCCCCACCCCACCCCCCTGGAGGACATCATGCTACAAACGCTCACAGAGCAGAGGGCTCCTGTGTCCATATGTCGGTCTCACAACATCCCTGAAGCTTTTGGGGAAACATCCAGCTGCCCCAGCCTCAAGAAAGGTTGGCAGCCGCCTCAACATTCTGTGTCCCCTCAAATAAGCCTCTCCCGGCCATTTGTGCTCCAGAAGCCGTCCTTGAAACACTGCAGTGGAAGGCCAGCCTCCCATTGGGCCCCAGCCACATCTCGCTCGCACAGCCCCCCCCCTCTGCCTGACCCTCTCTGACATGCCCCATGCTCAGGAACCCGCAGGCGGAAACATTGGGCACCCTTGACTTTTGACCCTTGTCCAGTGCTAGACAAACATTTCAGACTGATCAGAGGCTCTTTAGTGAGAGCTCTGGCTTTTGGCTTTTGGAAGCACTGCGGGCCGGGGAAGGGCAATGCGCACACACACACACACGCACACGCACACACACACACACACAAACAGCTCTGATGCTGAGGTCCAGAGATGTCCAGAAACTGCCACTGTTCATGCCAGGCAGAGCTGGGTGTTTTTCTCCCCTATCAAAGACTGTGCAGCAGGGGGGAGTTTCAAAACCCTTCGCTACCGGTTTGTTTGTGGACATGGGCACGCTCGCGTGTGGCCACAATACTTCTGCGCATGCGCAGAAGTGTCCGGGCAGGTGGAGGAAGCCTCCCACCGCTGCTGTGCAGAGCCCTGGCCTGTCCGGGCTCCAGCAAAAGCAGCCAGTAGCCCCAGCTGCCCTTGCGCAACCAGGGGGATGGATAGGAGCCAGGAGTGCCTTGCAGCCCGGTCCATGCCTTGAGCTGAAGTAAGGGAGCCCTTGGGAGCCTCCTGCCACAGCCACAGGGTCCCAAGCACTGCTGCCCGACCAGGCAAGCCAGCAGCACAGGCTCAGGTGCTCAGACCTGAGGAGGCAGCAGGGACACGTACAAACCCTCATTGAATCCTGCAGCTGAAGCATCTATTCCCCCCAGGAGCCCTGCAGAGACTGGGTCAAGGAGAGGCATTCTCTGGGAGAACTTTGCTTTGGCCATGCACCCCCCACCCCCCAGCAGCTGCAGGAGAGCACACCCGGTTTGCCTCCTGGGCAGCAATGGGGGCTGTTCAAGTGGCTCTCAATTCCTCCTGCCTTGGATTGGAAACCTCCGTGCCAGCTGCCCCCCACAAACCAAACACTCTGCCCACCTCCAGACTCTTCCCAAAAGGCCTTCACCCAACTGGACATATGTGCATGTGAAAGTCTTAACTGTTTTCAGCTACATGCAAAAATGACCAACGATGCAAGTTTCTAAGACTCCCTCCGGGAAGAGAAGCCACCAAAACCTCTGCATGGAAGAAAGTTTCCCACACATTTTCCCTGGAGGCTGAAGCAGACTTCCTATTCGGGTGCAGTCATGCACAATCTGCACAGAGCCCACAGTCTGGCACATGTCACAGCACTTTCCTCTGACGGAAGGTTGCTCAAAGGACAACGGTGAAGAACTATTTTGTATCGCCACAGAACCAGGACAAGAAATACCAGTTGCACGTGCCTGAATTTTATTTAAACACAGGAAATAAGATCTGTGCCTAAAACTCTTGGCCAGCTGAAGAAGCCCAACTCAGCCAACTGACTTCCACATCCTGGTGGAACCTAGGACTGCAAAGCCCATTCCTTAGGGAGCTACAGCCTCCTTTCTGGGCTCCTGTTTCTAGGCAGAGTGCACAATGACACACTCACGCTGCGCTTCCTACAGTGACGTTTTCTCCAGTGCTGGAATACAGCAAACCCCGTGGACCCACATGCCCGTAGTCACAGGGTGCTCAGGAAATAAAGCCGCAGGCTGTACCTCAGTTTTTCCACTAAGCAGGCCCCTGGAAGCCAGGAAGGAGCCAAAGGAACATCCAGAGACTGAAGGGGAGAATCCAGGAAGCAAACCCCGAGGCACCAGCCGTTTCCCACAGGGGCATCTCTGGCCATTAAGCCACCACTGGACCAGCCTAGGAGGATCCCCACCACTGCAGGACCATCTCCAGGGCTTCTTGTCTGACAAAGCCACCCAGGCAGAGTCCATGGTGGTCAGCAGGCAGCTGCAGCCCCCTTTAGGTCCAACCACCTCCCAGAACTAGAGTTGCTCCCATGGGGGCAGAACCAGGCTGGCAGCACGCCCCATCCTGGAGTGGGGCAGTGGGGAGAGCCCAGTCGATTCACTAGAACCCGGAAAGCATTGGCTCCTTTCGCCAGCTGGTCAGGAGAGCATCTGAGGGGGTTCTTAGAAGGAGCAGAGGGCAGAAAGAGAAGATGCGGCACCAAGGCTGTCCTGAGTCCATGCATGGAAGGAAGCCAAAGCTGGCCTGCATCGGAAAGAGGGAGTCGTGCTGAACCCAGTTCCAAGTCAGGTTTACCTCATCCCACCCCTAATCCGAATTTGGGGCATGAGGCACCAGAGCAGTGACATTCAACAGCAGGAAGGATCAAACCTGCAAACTGGCAGGCAGGCAGGCGTGTGGGCAGCTTCAACTGCTTGCCAGCTCCCTGGCAGTGCACCCCACTCATTACAAGTCCCAGACAGGCTGACCCAGTGCCTTCTGCTCCTTCCCACCGATTCCTCCCCAGGAGCAGACAGGGGTCACTGATCAGAATTGTCTTGGGGGAGGGGAGGCTTTTGAAGTTGCATCACAGGCTCCTCCCACCGACGGTTTCAAGGCAGCTCCGGACTGCAGGCTAAAGAACATCGCTGACGCTTGGCTTTTTCCACTGGCTGATTTTGGCCACTGCACAGGCTCTTCCTTTTGCTGCCTCACCTGCGCAGAGCTGCGAGGCCACTACCTGGGGTGAGCCAAAGACTGCTTCTCCCTCCGATCTTGGAGATGCTGGAGCCTTTGAAGCCCAGCCCCTGGGGAAGCAGTTCAGCACTTCTGGGGTGATCAGAAGAAGCAGGGAACTCCTAGCAAAGAGCCCAGGGGGAGAGGGTTGCAGGTGGGCAGGTCTCAAAGGTGCACCGATCAGGATCAGGATGCGGCCTTAATGGTTCGCTATTGGGAAAGAGCAATTGTTCTGATGACAGCGTGGACCAGCTGAAAAGGGAAACACCTGTAGCATTTCAGGAAGCCAACCCCATAGGATGAGGCGGAAAATGTGGGGAGCAGATCTCGGGGGCATCTGCCACTTCCACTACCCAACCTAACCCTTAAAGCTGCCCTGACAAAAGCTGTTCAACTGCACCCCGAAGCCTCCAAGCAGCCCACTGAGGGCTCCCCTCCAGGAACTGGGGGCGCTGACTGAGCCTTCATGTCTGCTGCTCCAAAAGAGGCCCCTTGTAGCTTGCTTGGGGTCCCCTGGCCACCTTCAACAAGAGGATGGGGGGGAGCCAAGGAGCATCTCACTGGGACCTGCATTTTATATACTCCTGGAAGAAGACAGGAGTCCTGAGCAGACTTGTCTGTTTATTAAAGTTTGTTAAACTATATAGTCCTAGACCAAACACCCAGAAGTTAAAAAGTCCACTGCAGACACACACACTCGTCCAAAAGCTGTTCATGCCTACAGTTGGAGAAGCTGTTCTTAGCTACCCCGGTAATCATGGATTACGTAGTGTAGAACTGCTGAACAGGAGAAGTCGGAAGAGTTTGCAATCAGAGGAAGATCGACTCAGCTCCCCAAAGTGCCCCCTCCCCCGGGGAAGAGAAGAGATTCCCCTGCCGAGCTCTTGGCACTCCAGGGTTCCCTTGCAGGTGTCTCACTGCTGGACTAGGGAGCGTCTTTGGCGCTCGGAAGAGCAGATCACTCAGAAGCAGGAGCTGCTCTCTAGGTTTCAAAGGCCAAGCAGATTTTGTGAGTGGTCAAGCAGAAACCAAAAGCCCACAACCCTCTCCCTGAGAGAACTCCACGAGAGGAACAGCGCTTTCGTTCTTGATTCGGAGCTGCCCAGTTTGGCATAAGAGGAGCGACCACGTAAATGGCTTAAATACCTACACACAGCCCCATAAAGAGCCACCACCCAAGCCAGTGTTGATGAGAGCAGAAGTAACACAATTTTGTCCTGCTAGCATTCTATCTAGACACCACCAGCCTTCAGACACGGCTCCAGCTTGCCCCCAGGTGACCTCTTGCAATGGCCATCAGCATATGGGTGACAACTGACTGGAGGAGAGGGGACCCTCCGCCTTCTCCATCTAAACTGGCCTTCCTAATCCAGTTGGCTGCAGCAGTGAGCAAAAGAGGTCCCAGACACGTTAGAGGATTACTGGGGGGGTATTGGTGGGAGTGGGGGTAGTAACAGGAAGTTAAAGAGCTGGCTCTGCAAGTATGGGGAAGGTACATGTTGTTCTTGGCTAAGACAGTCATTGGGACCAGGAGGCACGACATCGTGAGACACATTGACTTACGACAGCTGTTCCAGTTGCCATTGTAAAGTGAATCCCATGCAGTCATTAAGCGTGAAGTCACGTGATGGCCACTGGCCACACCAGCCAGCTTCCCCATTTTGCTTGTCAAAAGCTGTAAACTGCAAATGACGATCACGTGCCCACAAAATATTGCAATTCCCACAGGCACCCAGCGCCCAAATCAAATCAGGCAACTGCAAGGACGCTGCGACGGCCACAACTTCAAGGAACGGTTGTAACTTTGAATGGCTGCTAACCAAGCGCTGTCTGCATTACAGAAGATCCAGTCGGACCACGCCAACCACTAAGCGTTCTGAATAACATCCCATCTGCAAAGATCTCTGTGCTGGGCAGAAGGAACCAGGCCTCCTTGAGTGATCTGGCACAGAAAACGTTTGAAACAAATTGAATCAACGTCTATGTTTGGGGTTTTAAATGAGGGGTCCCGGCTACTGTTTTGCAGTCCAGACTAGCATCCGTAATTAATTGCCCTGTGAATTTTGCTACATTCTGCTGTAAAGATTTCCACCCGAACAGAAGGTGGGATTCACAAGAACCCAAAGTCTGAGCTGGAAACAGCTTGCAAAGCTCTTGGAAGCAAAGGCAACTGTGCTCCAGCACCAGCTGACTGAGCGATCCCACCGGCGGCGGCTTATGACACCCACGCATTTCCTGTAGACTTCAGTTCCTGCCCGAAAGGGGCTTCGTGCCACTTTCCCCACAAAAGCCTTTGTGGCCAGACAAGCGGTGAGTAAAGACCCCGGAGGAATCTGCAAGAGGGCAGGCTGAAGAGTGCTCACCCGTCCTTAAAAGTCAACAGATGTCTTAGCTGATCTTGGTTCAATCAGATCTAGTCCAACTGGACCCACCTTTGTCCACGATAAAGGTCTAGGCTCGGTAATCCTGAGGAAGAGGAGGAGGAGGAGGAAGAGGAAGAGGAGGGAGGTAGAATAAGAGGGGGAGGCGGAGGAAGAGGAGGGAGAAGGAAGAGGAGAAGAGGAGGGAGGAGGAGGAAAGAGGAAGGAGGAAGAAGAGGAGCAGGAAGAGGAGGAAGAGGAGATCTAAGACTCTCAGCATCTCTCCATCTACAATGAGCCACAGTGGTGCAGTGGTTAGAGTACCGTACTGCAGGCTACTTCTGCTACCTGCTGGCTGTCTGCAATTTGGTAGTTCAAATCTCACCAGGCTCAAGGTTGACAGCCTTCCAATGTCGGTAAAAGGAGGACCCAGATTATTGGGGGCCAGAGGCTGACTCTGTAAACTGCCTAGAGAGGGCTGGAAAGCCCTGTGAAGCAATATATAAGCCTAAGTGCTATTGGTATCGCTAGCTTCAAAGAGAAAAGGAGTTCTTTCCCGTCATCTTAAATCGCTCAATCATTCTTCATATACCAGCTTCAAACTCCACCCTAGCTGAAGGAATGGGGGGGGGGAATCCCCCCCCCCCCTCTTATATACACACACAAACACAAGATCACAAATGGTTTAGAAAACCTCCTTGCAAAAGTTCAGTGCCACTCGGGAAAAACATTCCTTGTCCAGAGAAAGACCAAATTAGCCCTCCCTGCATGCAACTAAAGGGGGGCTGTCAAAGCTAAGGGGGGGCCTGCTCCCTCTCCAGATCCTCCTATCCCAGGCTTGGCCCTACCTAAGGAATAGGAGGCGAAGGCCCATGGAGGCTTCTGAGCACAAGGCCGAGCTGCTTCCTAAAAACCACCAGGCGGGTCTCTGGTGCAACAGACAGGCACACTGTCTGGGCAGGAAGAGGCAACCAGCATGGCTCCCATCAGCCCCAACCACAGGAGCTGAAATGTTCTCTCTCTCACATACACACACTCCAAGTTCCAGGGTGCCTGCCTCCCCCACAAGAACCAAGCCCCACTCCAACTCACAGAGCTCTGAAGAGGGGCAGAGAGGCCCTAATCTCAGAAGCCACCCACAGACCATGGGCCCCACGGTGCCCCTTCCTCTGCAGACTGGGTGGATTCCAGAGCAGGATTTGCCCTTCGGAGCGCAGGACACATGCCTCGAACGCTGAGCACTTCCAGCTATCCCTCCCCCCACCGGGTAGAGTGCCCCAGAGGCTCCGGATGGTCTGCCCACCCCACTTCCAGGTGCTTAAGCAAGAATGCGGGCAAGGCAAACACAGCCAGGTATGGCTATTTGTTTAAGGGAGCGATTGTTGCCTCAAAGTCAAATAGAAATCTCCCTCCGCCTTTGTTTTTATCAGGGCAGGCTTGCGCTGAACAGAGACGTCCCGCCACGTGGTTTCTCCAGCGGACAGGCCCACTTTTCAGGTGCCACCTGGGAAGAGCGCGGGAGGCACCTGCTCTGTGTAGAAGAATGGACTGGGAGGAAGCCTTGGCATTGCGGTTTTCTCAGGGCCACCGCCACAAGGCCAGCAGAGATCCACTGAACCCTCTGGCTGCCCCTTTGAGAGGACTCCGAGCCACAACTCAGGAAGCAGCCACATTGCTCGCTGCCACGGTCCAAAGGCCCCGCCATGGGCGGGCTCTGCTCCTGCAGGGATCTGTAAATGCCTAAGGTGGGATCCAAAAATTGTCCCGGCCCAGGAATCTTCTGAGTTACCTGCTGGGCAAGTTCAGGAACAGAAGCTGCTCACCGTGGAAGACATCTCTGGGACAGGCTGCCACCCACAACCTGCTACAAAGTCAGTGCTGATCCCGAAGGGCGTAGGAGTCCGCCCGTCCGCCAGAGGGGTGGGAAGCGGCTGCCTTTTGGCTCAGGGTCCTTTTGGGCTATAGATGGCTGCTCCCCCCCCCCAAGCAAGTAGACTTTGCAGGGGTGGCAGGGAAGAGATGGGCTGGCCTCAGAAACTCCCATGATGCCCCCAGAACTCTGGGCCCGAGACAGGGAAGGCGAGCCAAGCCTCTGGGTGGAGTTGCTCTGAGAACGCCCCTTCTAACTGCGAAGGGTCCTACCCTTCCTGAAAAGTTACTTCAGCAGATAAAAGGGGCAAAATGCAGGCTCTCTACCCAGGCAGCAACCCAAATGGTAAACTGGGTCTGTGGCAGAGAGGGAATGGGGGCTGCTCTCTAAAGCGCCTGGAGGCTTAGGATCGGTTTAGGCGCTGCGGGATCCGGTCCCGTCTCAAACCCTGGCCAAGAGGCCCCCCTCTAAGGGCTGAGCTCAGGGGGAATCGGAAGCCGGGCCTGGGAACTAGCGGCAAACTGCAACACCCATCCTCCTCTGCCCCGCGGAGACAGCCTCCCGCATCCCCGGCGCCGGGCGGCCTGGCCACCCCTACCTGGAGGCACCGCCGGCGACGCGCCAGGGGAGCAACAGGAGGGCGGCCGCGCAGCCCGCCGCGGCTTCTCATGCGAGGGGCGGCCGGAGCGTTTTCGGGAGCGGTCCAAGCTCGGCCTTGCCGGCCCAGTAGCAGCGCCCCCGAGGCCGCCTTGGCACCTGCCGCCAGGTGAGCCCGAGCCCGAGCCCGGGGCGGGGGGCGGGGGTCGTCCCGGCGCTTCTCGGCCCTGCGCTCGCCGGCCCCGGACGCCATCCGCTCCCCCTGCCGGCCCGGGGCGCCCACCGGGTCGACAAGGCCCCCGCCCGGCCCGCTGCAGCTGCGGCTTCCGGAGCACAATGGCGGCCGGGCAGCTCCGGGCAGGAGCCGCTTCCCCCGGGCCGGCGGGGAGGTGGCCGCCGCTGCCGCCGCCGCTTGAACTCTGGCGCCAGGGAGCCCCGGCCGCCCCCCGCCAGACGCCCCGCAGCCCCGCGCGGGGACCCCAGGGCGGCTGCAGCGACCCCCTCCCGCCCCGCGCGCCGATCCCGCGGCCTCACCTGGCGCTCGGCGGCGGCGGCGGCGGCCGAGCGCGGAGCCCCGGAAGGAGGGCGGGAGGGCGGGGCCGCGGAAGCCCCGCCCCCAGGACCGAATGCGCCAGCGCCGGCGGGGGGAGGGGCGGCGGCTCTGCTCTCCGGCCGGCGGCCAGGACGGCGCCCCGTTTCAGCCCCTGCCCGGCGGCGGCCGTGCCCGAGCCGACGCCCGGCGGGGGAAGGAAGCGGCGTCCGGCTGCTGCAGCAGGGGGACGGTCTGCCCTCTGGGCTCCACGCGGCCTTCCCGGGCGGCCTCGGGGGGGCTGCGGAGCTTCCGTCCCTCTCCCCTCGGGGGCGGAGGATAGTTTTGGCCAAAGAACACGAAGGAGCCTCTGCTTTCCCCCAAGGTTCCGCCCTCGCCGTTAGGTCGGGTCCCAGGCGGCTCGCTTGGAGGATGCCGCTCCCGACGCTTCTGCCTCGGGATCCGCCCCTCCGCCGCCGAGGAGCGGGAGCCGTTTGCAGACGAGCAAGGCAGGCGCGGGCGTTGGCCGGCGGGCTCCCGGTCAAAGGGCCGCCCAGTGCAGGCCCCCAGTTCTGTCCCCTGGCCCTGGATTCCCGGGAGGAGCCCGCAGCTCTCAGCCAGTAGGAAGGCTGCGTTCTTGATCCGTTAAAGCAGCCCCAACCGTCTCTCCTCCTTTTTCCTTCCTTTTGGGATACAAATATTTGGACCAGTGACCATCATGGCCTCCCAAACAGAGCATCCCATTCAATGGAGAGTCTCTGATTTTGCAAGATGATACAGAAAAAGATCCACCTGAGCTGAAAAGGAAGATCGCCATTGCTACTTATAATCCTCAATAAGGTTGCCCAATTGTATGGCTGCTCAGGGCAGCTTAGTCGCCTCTTTCTGCCCCCCCCCCCCCCCCCCAAATCAGGAGGCTCCACAGGGGCTCCTTGCCCATTGGGCGGAATGCTGTGATGTCATAAAACCCTCCGGGGATTCTCCGGGGATTCCAAGGCTCCAGGCAAGTAATTCCTGGTCCTCTGGGCCTTCCCTTCCCTCCCATCCCATCCCACCCCCACTTCATCCAGATACCTCCCATCAGGACTCCCCTGGGCAGTGCCTACCAGCCACCACCAGGGCCCCTCCTGCCAAAGGCCTGTTTTCCTCCAAGCCGAGGTGGCAGCACCCTGAAACCATGGGGGAGCTTAGCCTTTTTTTAAAGAAAGAAAGCTCTAACCAGGATGGTGGTCTCTGGAGGGGAGACCCTCCATAAATCCCAGGACTGAAAGGGAGATTGGGACACTCACAAAAAGCTTCTGAAAAGGAGAATGCTGGCTGCCATTGTTTTGTCAAGAAAAACATCAAGCAGTTCATGGCACCCTCAGCATCCGAGCCCCCCCCCCCCCCCCTCCAGAGGCCCTTCTGAGCTTGTTCTGCTTTTCCCTGGGGCTGGCTGGGATGAAGCCACTTTCATGCAGCTTTTTTGCTTCAGAACCCAGCAGCTGCTGTGGTTTATAGCCCAGCCATTATGGCTTCTTCCACAAACCATGGTGGAACTCTATGAAAACTGAGCTGATGCCCGCCATCCATATTTCCCAGGCTGCTACCAGGGAAGGTGCCAGCAGAGACAGGATGCTGAAAGGCCCCGTCCGTGTCGCCCCTCAGTGGAAGGAGCTCCAGAACCAACTCAGGGGGAGGCTGGAGCTGCAAAAGGTGAGGGTCCTGAAGCCAGTCTGGGAATCTTCTTGGCCCAGAGGGGGAGAGGGCCATGGGACAAGGTGGGGGATCAAGACCAGAGTCTCAAAGAATCGGGTTTCTTGAAAAAGAGGATAAAGGAGGACAGAATCCTGGGAAGGGGATTCTTTGACTGTCGCTGAAGCGATGGGGAGGGTGCCCCTGGCCTTGCTGATCCGGGAGAGGGTGCAGCTGTGTCAGCAGCCAGCCATCCCCCCCTCCCTTTCCCAGCCATACTGCTCTGGCTTCTGCCCCTTGCTCGGTGCTGCCCCCCCCCACCTTGCAACCTCTCCAGCCCCTCTCTCTCTTGGTCCAGGCCTTGCCAGAAGGGGCAGAGGGGATCCCCTTTCTCCTGAGTGACAGGCCCAGCATCGTCTTCCGGGAGAGCTGCTTCCCCAGCTACATGCCGCTTTTCTGCTACTACGCAACCGAGTGGGGGAACTTCTTTGCCTCGTTCACCTGGAGGAGGGCCAAGCGAAGCAGGGTGAGTGCAAGGAAGGCCCTGCCCCCAGCCTAGAAAGAGGCTGCCCCAAGAGTGTCCAGAGGTTCTACTGCTGGATCAGGCCAAGGCTGCCTGCAGGCCACGAGCCTTCGGATCTCTGCTTGATCAGAGCAGGCTGCTTTGATGGGCTCTTGCCAGCCGTCCTCTCCCTATCAGCACGCGGAACTGTCCTGGCCCTGGCGCTAAAAGGGGCTGCTGGAGTTTGGGTCTCCTTGGTTCCGCCTAACTGGTTTAAAGGAGGACCCGGCTTGTCATCCCCCATCCACCACCACCCGCCTCCCCCCGCCCCCGTGCCTGAGGACGCTCTGGTCCTGTGTTCTCCAATCTGGCTTGAGCTACCCTGAGCCATTCAGCCTTCCCCAGCCCAAGAGGAAACCGGCCCTCTGTGCCCCAGTCCTGCTGGTGAAACAAATCAGCAAGTCCCTCCTACTTGTGCCCAAAGATGCTCAGACTGTGGTGGGATCCTCTTTCACAGCTAGACAAGATCCCAAGCCCCTAGCAGTGTGATCTCCCAGATCCCTTTTCTCCCTCTGAGCAAAGACTCCCTGGCAGCCCAACTCTCTTTTCCTAGCCTCCTGTTATGGGCCTGCTGCAGGCAGGGCCGAGGAGGAAGGGTCTGTCCACTCTGTCCATCCAGCCTCTTCTCTTTTTGCCATAGAAGTCCAAGCAGCGCTGGGTTGAAGGGCTTGACGGGGCAGGTGGGCATGAGCCTTGAATGGAGGAAAGGTAGCGCTTGCTCCCTGAACGGCCACTTTTGCTGACTCTTCTTCTTTCCTGGCAGGTGCGTGTCTGGAGTTATAGCATGGAGGACGAGAGTTCAGTGACGGAGAAAATGTACACCTTAGATGAGCATCCGGGGGTCCTCACCATCACCTATGTCCCCCACGTGCACCTCTTTGTGGCTTACTGCGATGACATCCACTTTCGCTTTTTTGGGGACCACACTCGGGACTTCAAGCTGCTCTCCAAGATGTCTTCCCCCTATTCGGTCACCAGCCTGTGCTACAGTCCTGAAACGTGTGAACTGATTTCTGGTGCCATTGGAGTGGTGGCTTTTTGGACCTTTTTGATGTTGGAGGTTCCCTCTATGAGTGTCACGCAGGAAGTATGTGTTGCGACTGGTGAGTTTGTGCATTTTCTCAGGGTGGAGCAGGAGCGGAGGATGCTGGTGGCCCTTTGCGAGAACATTATTCGGGTATATGACTACCAAACCAAAGCCCAGATCCGCACCTTCCAGATGAGCCAAGGCGTCTCTCTCACTTGCTGTGCTGCCTATTGGCCGCAGAGCTTCCTCTACACAGGAGACCTGGCTGGGGATGTCAAGGTGTGGAACTTTGATACGGGGACCCACGTCAACCAGTTCAAGGCCCACCAGAGTGCCATCAGCAACATAATCATCCGGATCGCTGTGCACAGCTTCATGACTGCCTCTTTGGATGGAATGCTGAAGGAATGGAACCTGACGACCTGCGAGCTTCTCCGACGGGTGGACATTGGAGAGGAAGTCTTCCAGATGCAATTCCTCAATGAGCAGACTTTCTTCCTCCGCACCCAATATACCTTCTCCATCCGTACAGTCAACAATTTCTACCAGCTCTTCAACAGAAGCAAATCGACCCTCAAGAGGTTGGTGCGTGTACAGTGTGGACCAGACAAGGCCCGCATCCTGGCCACCACTGAAGATGGAGTCATCCGATTCTTATCCCCTGTGACAGGAGAAATGTTGTTTGTTACCTGGCCCTTCCAGCTGCTAGAAAAAGCTCTGGACTATGTTTATGACCCAGATCGAGAGGAACTCTTGGTGACAATGGGAACAAGTGACATCTACGTGTTGGATACTACCAAGAACCCTTGCCCAGCCAAGTACATTTTGCATACTACAGACAGCATGGACGACAAGGTCCTGTGTTTGGCCTACAGCCGTCTGGACCTGAATGGCCGGACCACCAGCTTCATCTTCAGCGGGTTCAAGAGTGGCAAAGTGCGCTCGGTCACTCAGCAGCTGTATCGAATGGGCAGTCGCAAACTGCACGATGGCAATGTGGTGGCCCTCAGCAGTCTCTCAGGCTTAGGGTACCTGTCGTACCATTCAAGGGAAGCCTCCTTCCTCTGCTCCTATGGACTCGACGAATACATCATCCTCTCGGAAGTGATCTTGAAGAAGAACAGCCTCCTGGAGGTGCTCCCTCTGGTCGTCATTCCCAGCACCAACTGCAGGATCAACATCCTCCTGCTCATCCCCGGCTACATCTGTGCCTTGACGGAGCAGAACCGAGTTCGGCTGTGGCGCCAGGCAGCCCTGGTTCCTGGTGAGAAGAACCCCTTCTGGAAGGAGACAGCAGCCATGCACTCGAGCACCATCACCTCTTTTGACTACTGCCACACCCTGGGCATATT